CCAGGGAAATAAACTGAGACTGTTTACGAGAGATTTAACAGGTTTTGTATTTTTTTAAAATAATTTTCAAATCGTATTTTTTTCTAATATTGCAATTAATTACTATTTACTACATATTAATACAGATGATTTGTCACTGTAAGATAGACGCAAATAAATATTATTCCAAGTTCGTTGACCCAGGAATGTGAATACCAATGTGCATGGGTGAAAGAGAAAAAAAAAACACCTCCAAGACCAACAACGTGGTGCCAACTCGCTGACCAAATTTAGCGCGAACTAATTAATCAACGCCTGCGGCAGAACCATCCAACTTGTTGGATGAAAATTGCTCCATTTCGCCACTGCGAAACCGCAGAGCTGGAGCAGTTTCCATTAGTTTGAGTAACAAAAGCAAAGTTTATAGTTGGTGGTTTCGTCTGACAAACACACATGGACCACTCACTCGAAATGCCGCCTGCGCGTCTCTTCAAATCACTTCCCGATGCGTGGTCCGATTCACGCAAATCTGGTCGCCGCCCGTGACACACAAATGAATAGAGCCGTTTGCCAAGTACATGCAAATTTAGCTTTTCCTATGTGTGCAAAAGTTAGTGTTATGGCTTCAGAGCAGCTCTCCCTCGCCGCATATAATTAGCAAAGTACGATAATTATTTTGTTTAGCGCAAAATTTCTCTTTCTAAAATAATTGCTTTGCGAGTTAAATAGCGCATTGCTAGGCAGGTCATATTCGTTTACGGTGTAAACTGACGTCTGGTCGTTTAATTGCCTGAACAATGAAGCATGACGCGTGTCTGTCCATACGTCTGGTCTCTGGCCGTGATGCGAAAAAAACTCGCGGGTCATTTGATTTAATAATGTTGCCAATTAAGAAGAAGGGAGACGAGTGTTGATCCTGCCAGAATTCAAACTGGGTTTGTCTGAATGTTGGCAGCAGACAAGGTAGGTGTTATGCAATTTTACGATCTGCGAGCATGGGCCATTTTCATAATTCATCGCCTTTAGGATGAATGATCAATTAGCTTGGAGAACGTTCTGCTTTCTTTCAATTAAGGCTTCCGAAGTATTGATTAGGGGCACGTGATAGATGTGCTCCAGAAGAAGCATGTGCGAGGTGTGATGAAATTTAATTTTCAATGTTTTTTAATGCTTGCAAAATATTTAATACAAACGCGGAAATCTATTGGTTTTTAATGATTTTATTTATTTATTTTAAATTTAACTTCGTGTTTTTAGTTTACAAATTTAAAAAAAGGTGCTTGAATGGAAATTTGACTTTTCCTTTATAAGATATTTGAATGGGGATTTTTTTCAGAAAAAAATTGGATGATTGCGTCTTCTCTCGACCTCAGCTAAGAATGCTTAATGAATTATAGCTGCAGGCCGCAGCTGAAAAATGTAGAGCAGGATATTGTTTTCTACGAAACAATAAACGACTCAAATAAGCCATTGAGGAGAATAACCGAAAATCAACCATTTTATTGATCGTGAAATTCTTCCACAAAAAAATCAAAGATTTGCATAATAATTATTTAAAAAGATCTGTTTATACTAAAAGCAGTAGGAAATATCTATAAAAGTTATGAAAGTAGCTGCAAAAGAAAAAAAAATTGGAAACTTTAATCACTGACGTACTTGAACATTGAAATGAAATATCTACTGAGAAATAAAATAAAAACTCATTGAGAAAATCATTTGGTGCCACATTTTCTATAGGAATTTATTCTTCAAATTGCTACAAAAAAAAAGAAAAATTAAAAAAAACGCACAATTGGAAACCCCTACAAAAAGCTGATTATGCAACTCCGCAAGCTCATGTGTCGAGCGGGCTGCATAAATCTTGTCCACCCTGTTAGGGTTACTGACCTCTCAATTTTTATGGTTTCAAATTCTCACGCTTATAGATACTTTCAATTTAACCTGAGGACTGACCTTTTCATGATATATTTCCAGCGACTCGTATGCAATACTCGACATGTAATAAAATGTGAACTTTTTACCGCACTTAAATGTACAAACGGCGTTTATAGCTGCCGTCTAAATGCCGCTTCTATTAATCGCCATGATTGAACTATCAATAGCCTCAATATTAATGAGCGGCGAGATAAAAATGCGCTCACGATCTTGTTCAATGGAAATTTTGCGAAATTAGAAAAATGTGTGTTTGAATAATATTCGTGCAGACCGCGATGATGGTGCGCGTTTCAATCAAAACACAATTATTACGTCATTCAAAACGCGGTACTTAGCTTTCGATTGCGAACCGCCATAAAACCATTTCGCCCAACTCTAACAAGAGAGATTGATACGACCGTTCAAAATGCACGAATTATCTTCGGTCCACTTGGTAGAGGTCAAACGCCGCCGCTGCTTTTGCAAAAAAAGAGTCGGCCGGCCGGCAAACATATATCGAGGAAGCCGAATCAAATGACTGACAGCTTTGTATCGCGCATTGGTCATTTTCATATTATCCATTTGAGGGTGATTGAAAAATAGAAAGCTGAGTGGGCAGCTCGCATGCACTTCTGGGTGTATAACAGTGCGTGTAATTATATCGACAGATCGCCGGGACACGCCAATTTCACCATCGCAAAATACAGAGTTACACTCACGCTAACTCGCCTATTATTATATTACGAATTTTCTGGAATTTGTGCTCCGAAATCACTCAAGGCGACTTTTTGTCCAACACTTTTGTTGTGGTTTTCCTCTAGCCTTGGAAAAGCAAACAAACAACTTGATATGTATTATTCCTGTGCAAATTGATGTATTATTTTATTATCAAACTTTAAATCTTGATTGGAAAATTATACTCTGCCATATCCTTTCATCTCTGTTTACTTTTTATTTCATAACTGCATTTTGCTTGCCCAAAAGCCACGCTTAAATGCAAAGTAAGCGCTATGAATAGACTGGATCCTTTTGATTTTTATTCAATTTGCTCCAAAATTCACATATAGCTGAGAATATTGTTCTTTCCAAAATTTGCCTTTCCTGAATAATTTTTTAGAAAACTAAGAACACTTTGAACCTTTTCTCACAAAAAGGCTTGATTAAGATTTTACGGTGAAACTATTCTATGGAATATTTTGGAACTATTTCCTTGTAAAATTGTAATTAAATTCGCCTTTTTAGATCAATCCTGAAACTAGCGATGAAAGTCCACTGCTGTAGCCTTGCCAATAAACTCGATGTTTCCTTAGTATAACAAAAAATTAATGTATTTTCTTGTGAGTAATTAAAGCTTTGCTATTTTGACACAAATTATAAATTGGAAACGCTTGTTGTTCAATCTCAAGTGAGCTCACCTTTGTTTCGACGAGACGCGCCCACAGACGTGAGTGGCGAGACAAGTTGAAAGGAGACGTGTTGAGATCAATTTTAATTGGAATGAAGGGTACTCTGGGGTTTTTGATTGATTGATCTTGCAGCGAGCAGGTGACACTTCGAATTCTATACCTTTGCAATTTGCATTGAGACTTTGTTACGCAAACGTTGCACTCTCCCATTACAAAAATGTCCTCGAAAGAGACGCACGCAAATTAATGGAAATAACTTGGCCACTTTTCTTATCTTGCTTTGGTTCTATTTAGTTGTGCGTGCGCTAGGCGCGGAATTGTTTATCACGTTCAGCCTTCACATTTACGTGTCATTTTCTAATTCAGCATAAATAATAAATAGGCCCTGCAACATCTCCAAATCACAGCTGCACCAGGAGGCCACAGAGTCGTAAGTCATAATAAAAGTTTTCACGGTCTCTACAAATAACAAGCGATTGAAATCTAGCAATTCCATTGAAGGATTTCCATGTTTGTTCATAATACTGAAATTTGCCAGCTTATTGCTATCTAGCATAATTGCAGCTATAATCATCAAGAAGCAGAAACACATTATTAGACTAATTAAGTTTCATTAAAACAATTAAAATAACAAAAAATATATGTTTAAACATTATCATAATATTTCCAGTGAATTATTAAATATTTAATAAGCCATTATTATATTATTAATAAATACATAAAGGGGTAGGAATTATTTAAGGCAGAAAATTGATAATTGTTTGAATTTTGTATTTTAATATGCACGTTTTGTTATGAAATATTCTTCAATTAATCAGCACAAACAAACAATGTACTTTTTATTTTTAAATTACACACTAGAAAACACAAAAGCAAAGAAAAATAAATTCTATGGGCTGGATAATAAAAATAAGTTAAAATTAACAAAAAGCAAACAAATTATGGTATAACACCTCAGCCATCACTAATTGTAAATTAAAGCAGTGTAAAACTTAAGTTCTTCACTGAACTGCAAAGGAATTGGTCTTAAACATATAGAGCTAGCCCACTCAATTATGTATAAGGACGCAATCCGAAAAGGCGCTAAGTGCGACTGTAATTTTCTTTTTTTCATTTGTGGAGGTGCAGCAAGAGTTGCCTGAACACTATTTTTATTTTTGAATCCTCCTATAGGGAATTCATGACCTTATGTCTTGCTCAAATTCTGTAAGTGAAAAAAAGTTTGCGTGGCTTTAAATAAAAAAGAAGTGTGTGTTGTTAGAACCAAAGATATAATATGAACACGATGTGAGCAGGAAAGATCAGCGGGCGGGCGGTTGACCGCGGACACGATTCAATTCTGGTGTCGGCGTGTGTTTGAAGTGATGCTTTGCGACGGCCGGACGGACGATTACCTAACCAGCGGGCTTAGCAGGCGACTTATTTGTAACAGGGTGCAATAGCGCCTGACCCAATTATATGGGCGGAGCTGTGCGCGGTTAGATGACGGCGCTTCGCCCCTAGCAATGGACTTGACATCGAATCACTTTCACCCAGCCCTCGGGCCTGCCGCTCACAATGCTGAGAAATGCAGCCAGAATGCCGAGCAGCATCCGTCCTTTGTTGGCAGAGCCAGCGACAGACACTTCTTTTAGCCGGGCAAATATTGGGCGAATCGCCCAAGGTTTTTCCCAGGAGTGTCATTTTTCCCCTTGCGAAATTAAATGACGAGTTCACTTTTGTTCGGCTCAATATTTATTGAATGAATACTTTTATCTTTTGACAGCACGCAAAGTTTTAACGCCAACCAGAGTGACAATTTTATAATATGAGCTTTGCTGCCATTAACACTTAATAATACAGGTGTTAAAATACATCATCAACAGTGTTAAGTTTACTTTCGATTTTGCACGTCTTTTTGGGGATATCACAATATATGCGCTAGAGTGAGACCGAAGCTGACATGCGAGTTTAACCGTGCAGGAATATCCAAATATTGATAAGAGTTAATTGTGTGGCATGAATACATTATCAGTCGGAATTATTCAAGAAGTGTGACCTTAGGAGGGGCGACAAAGTTGAGTGCAGTCTCTGGTGTGACTTTTAACAATGTAATAGTACATCCATTGCTTATGGTATATTCATCTATAGCGATAAATTATTTTTACGGTGCTTTTAAATAGTATAGGATTTTCCTAGCAGAAGATTTTTATATTAACTTTTACTCACTCGGAAGAGTCAAGAGTAAATTTGCATAACAATTACACTAAATCCCAATCTGAACAAGTAATGGTGTAAGCATTGAATAATTTTTTTGGATGAAATAACCAAGATTTTAAATTGGCACATTATTTTTGCAACTTTTTAAACTACAGTTCAACACGAAATCTTCCATCAACGAACATTCAACTATTATTCAACTTGTCCGAACACATACATGTGAGGCCGGGTAACAGAGATATAGGAACAAATAAATTGTGAGCGTAAGAAGTCTGGCTGGTGAAGGAAAGCAATTGAAATTCCAAAAGTTGACAAATGAGCAGAGTAAATATTAATTATCCATACGAAAGAATGCAGACCCCTGACAGTGAATTGCATTTCAATTGCTCCGAAGAATAGCAGAGATAAGTACAACCTACAACTTGTCAGACTGCTTTCTCATCAGAGCAACTATTTTTTTTCTTTACAATTGATCGATGAAATGATTGTATAAGAGCAAGTTCTTGCGATTAACTTTAAGTCGGAGATAAATCATTCGAATTAAGAATGCACTCGTTAACCGATTTGAAAGCAAGTCTAAGTTTATGGCTTGAAATTTGCGTGAAAAGTTGCAGGCTTGCGTGTTAACTTGTGTAGAAAAGAGATTTATTAGCCAGTTATTGAGAGTTGCTTCATTTCAGAGAAAATAAGTGCGAAATGCAAATTTTATTGTATTCCTTGTCGTAAATTGGACTTGTAATGCTCGTTTCACAATAGTATCAAATCACACCAGCCAGACCTGTGAAAACCAACAAACACCGACGGGATTTAATAATTTACAAAAATTGCACCATTCCCCGATTTATTGTTTGCAAAGTTTGACTATCGGGAGACCAAATCTTTGCACGGCTGCACCGACCAGCCCAGCACCAATCTGTCAAAACCGGCCGTGTAGAAGTTGATGGCCGGTTCGTCGGCCCAAGCAACTGAGCAAACCATGCGTCGATGCCCCTGCCTACCTGATCGCGCCAACCGACCCAAACGCTGACCCTCCAGGTCAAAGAAGCGCACCTGCCGATTGTCGCTAGGAATTGCAATTGTGCCGCTTGAGGAAACCGCAACTCGGTTGACGGATGAGTCATTCCTAATTGTAACTAGTGGAGATCGCATGTTGCGAAGGTCCCATACTTTGGCTGTGCGGTCGTCACTGCCGGACACCACCTTATCTTCGTGGGTGAATACGGCGCATGTAACTGACCTGAGGAAAAAAAATGAGGAGATTAATGTATTTTTTTAAATTATGAAGAAATAGTACAAGTAATTTTTTATTAGTTTAACAGGGACTTTATTTAATTAAGATTTTTTTTCAAAATTCTTTTTTTTTCAATTTTCTCTAGCTGATTTAATTTGTGTTAATATCTTCGTTATTCTTATTATAATATTTATTTTAATAATATCTTATAACATTTTAATTATTTAATTAATATCTTATTGTTAGTTATTAAAAATGATTTTCGTCAGTAAAATTTTGGTATTATGGTGATAATGTTATCAAATATTAAAATTTATTTCAAAACAGAACTTACTCTGTGTGTCCCTGGAACACAGAAACTGAGTGAATACTTTCACGGAAGTCCCACAGACGGAACGTGCAGTCCTTAGATGAGGTCACCACCAGTGGTTGAGAGGGATGAGCGTGAATGTGAGTAAGTTCCTGGTCGTGACCTAGAAAAATCTTCTATTAGAAAAATGCTCGAATTTGATCAAAATTTATAACTTTACCGGTGAGAGATTGCAAAGACTCTCCGGTGTTGGCATCATAGAGGCTGGCAGTTCTATCCCAACTCGCAGTAATGACTTGGTCGCCCGCCGATAACCAGTCGGCAGCGATGACTACATTTGTATGTCCCTTGAGCTCGAACCGAGGTGTTCTCAGAGCAGGTGCTTCAGTCTTGTCGTCAACACTGTCTTTGTCTTCTGGATCAGGCTCGACTAATGGTTGATGACCCTAAATCAAAATTAAAACATGATAATTAAATTTTAATCAACAAAAATCTAATAAAAAAAGGAATTGTCAGTTGCACTTCAAACTGTATTTTTAGAACGCATAATTGATTTTTACTTTTTTATTGACATGATAAATTAACTTTCTAACCATGTCAGCCTGCCAAATGTGGGCAGTTGTGTCACCACTTGCAGTAAGAACCATGTCCCTGGAAGGATGAAAGCGAATCGAGTTGACAGACCCGCTGTGACCCGTGTACTTGAGGACGCAGGCACCACTGGTTGTGTTCCACACACCTGCAGTATGGTCGGCTGAAGCAGTGCCTGGACATGATAATTTGTTTTTAGAATTTCCATCAGTTTATAACAATTTAACAGGTTAACTAACCGAGAAAAGGTTGGCCGGATCGGGGACACGAAACATCCCACACACCATCTCTGTGGCCAGGAAACTCTCGGACAAAGGACGTGGTGATCAGAGCACCCTTGAAACTTGACACTATTTTGCTGGTTTGTGCCTTTAACTTTGTCGCAGCTTTGACTCGCTGAAGGGAACTTTGTTGGCTCACTGCAAGTAGGAAAATAAGAATAATGTTAAGAAGGCATACTTTTTTTTACAAATAAAACAAACCTTTTTGCTTCTTTTGCCGAAGTCCATCAAGCTCTGCTGTGTCCCCAATGGCCGAGGCTTTTTCACTCACTTGCAAAGAACCTGCATCCCAAGAGCCTGATGCTCTTCCTTGCACTAAAGTAATTGGATTTGAAATTTTAAACTTCAATTTTTTGGTCCAAAACTTACATTGCAGGTTTTCCAGGTAGAGCAGTTCAAATTCTTTCTCGATTTCGCTGAACAAACTGTGCAGCTTGGTCCTGACAAAAGAGGCAGCATTGAAAAATAACTTTGACATTTCAAAATACGAAATACGTATGTATGTAATCTTTGAAAACTCTTAATAATATATGTATCTCCGATACAAAAAAACTCAAAAAATCAAGTTTCACTTTGACTGTGAAAGTCCAATGTATGAATTTTTATAGACATGTTATCGCATTTTTATTGTGTAAGAACATCAATGCTGTTATGAATTAATTAAATCTATTGAGTAATAATCATTCTGATGTTCTGTTTTTTGCAACATTTTCCAGAAGGGGGGAGAAACACAGCAAAAAGGGCTGTTGCAGCCATAGCAAACCATAGCAGACATAAAATAATTTTGCGCAGTTTTAACGAATCAATGCAAATTTTATTTATTGTGTTTCTTAACAAGAATGCATAAAATTATGCGAATAAAATATATATTGCAGAAAACAATTAATTACCTTATCGCTGGCGGTAAAGCTGGAGGCTCCTGCATAGCGACTTTAAAAATGAATGCAATTTTTAAGCCTTTCTACAAGCGATGTCGATTTGCTCTAGAGTATCATTGCATTGCATTGAAAGTCAGCTGCAGTTTATAACTTGATTACTTTCTAAATGTAATAAAGATTCCCTTCCGATTGATAGAAAAAAGTGGTGCAAATTTCTCTGACACAAAAGTCACAAAACAATAACAAGAGCGAGAGATGTGGGCAGTGCTGCCAACAAATTGACTGAGAAATGTTTCACGATGGTTGAGGAAATTTTATTATATGTATTAAAAGGTCCATGAAAAATTTTTAAGTACTACATAAATGATTGTTATTACCAATAAAAATTCAAGCTGCAGTAAAAAAGTAGTGCATACAAAAATTATTACATTTTCGTTTTGTTGGTGTCCTCGGAGCCTCCCGCCCACGAAAATTTGCACATTTGCATTTTGCACGTTGTACTTTTTTGCGTTAATTTTTTTATATTAATTTATGATTAAAATAAAAAATTTTAGCAAATCGCAATTCAAGGTTAACCTTCGCGTGGTGCAAACATTTGTACGACAGTCATCCGGAGTCAAGGGAATAACTGCACGTCCGGTAAAATTATTTTTCGGCTTAAAAAATTGCATTTTTCCAATTTTATTATATATTAAATCAAAATAATAAATGATAAGAAATAATGAAATCATATAAAAATTAAATTAATCTTTATTTCCAGACCACCTTAAAGAAAATGGAAGAATTGAGAGTTTCACATTCAAATGGCAATGAAGAGAGTCCCAGCAAAAAGCACAAAGCGGTCGGTACCAATGATTATGGGACATTTTTGGAGCCTCGAGACTTCAACGCAGCCCGATCCGACTACCTTCAGTGGGAGGACTATTTCATGGCCCTGGCATTCCTTGCGGCCAAACGAAGCAAGGATCCCTGCACCCAAGTCGGTGCTTGCATCGTGGACACTCACAATAAAGTCGTTGGCCTCGGATACAATGGCTTTCCCATCGGGTGCAGTGATCAGGACTTCCCGTGGAAGAAGGGCGGTCGGACAGACCTGGACAGCAAGTACATGTACGTCTGCCACGCAGAAATGAACGCCATCCTCAACAAGATCACGGCGGACATCACAGGCTGCACAATGTATGTGGCGCTTTTCCCTTGTGCGGAGTGTGCCAAGATAATCATCCAGTCAAGAATATCTACAATCGTGTACATGTCGGACAAACATTCTAAGAAAAATGAAACCATTGCTTCCAAGAAGATGCTCGATGCTGCTGGAATTACCTACAGACAACACACTCCTAAGCAAAAAAGAATTACTATTGACTTTGATGACATCGACTGGATTGGAATGAGCCAAGTGCCTCCCTCCCCAGCTAAAAATTAATTTTGACTGTAGCTCAGATTGAGCCAAACTTATGATGCGCAACTGGCTTTAATGCCAATGACCTCCAATTTTTTAAAATAAAATTTAGAGGGTTACTTGAATTAATCCTCAATTTTGAACAAACCGATTTTTTTCACTGCATAAATAAAACAAGAAAAATTTGTAACTATGAAAATAAATTATTTCCAGCAGGCTGGCAAAGTATGGTACAGAAAGCGCAAAGTCTAACAACAAGAATAGTTGAACAGAAGTAAACTTAAACGCAACCGAATTGCAAGCTTAAACCTTTGGCCTGCTCTCCTGAGCTGGTTTTGGAATTATTGGAACCTGCTGGCCCTTTTTGGGAATTGATTCAACAGGGGCGTCGTTGTCAGCCTCAAATTTGTGTTCCAACTTCATGTCGATCTGGTGCTCAATTTCAATCTCCTCCTCCTTGTCGAGCAGCTCGATGATCTCATCAACTTGTTTAGCAGACAACTTAACGTTTTCTTTACCGATGAGCTCAATGACCTTTAAAAATGGATTGATGTTGAACTATTTTGTTTTCAGAAAATTTAAAAATCTTGTACCTTGAGTACATCATCAACTCGGACTGTTCCGTCTCTGTCGTCATCAATTTTGCTTAGTACTTGAGCAATGCTGTCCATTTTTTGTGCATCTGGGACATGCTGAATTTGATGAATTGCAGACATCAACTCAGAGATAGAGACCATTTCCTCCCTAAATTAAACAAAAATAAATTGAAACCAATTACAAGTCAGACGATCAACATACTTTTGCTCGGTAGTATCTGAAAGTGTCTCCTGGATGTCTTTCTTCTTGGTCTTTTCCAATTCGGAGAGCAAACCATCAACTTTGTTGATCATCTTGTTGACTCTCTTATAAAGTGCCTGCGCTCCCTTGGACTCCTTCACGGTAACCTTAGTTTTATCAGCAGTGCTGATGACTTCTTGCAAGTCTTGCACATCCTTTGAACAGTAGTTATTTTATTTGTTTCATTTAACATTTTAATAAATTTACCTCTTTGTAATCTTGCATCTCCTCCTTCAAGTCCTGCAACTCTTCCTTCTCAACCAACAACTTCTTTTTACCTTTGCCTAAAGTATCAAGAGCATCTTCAAGGAATTCAAAGTCTTTGGAAGAGAGCTCCTAAAAATTTTCAATTATAACTCACAGACCCAAATTAAAAAAAAAAAAAAAAAAATTAAAAACCTTTGGCTTTGCAGACTCAGCAACTGGTGTCTCTGTAGTTTTGAATTGGGCAACCTCCAAAACCGTCTCCAGAGGTGTTGCAATATCTGCCTTTGTCAACTTTTCCTCATTCTCCTGCTGCCTCCTTTCTTGTCTCTCCTCCTGGATTCTCCTCTCCTCTTCCTTGATGAGTTCAATCTTGGTCTTATTGTCAACCTTGCCCTCTCGTTCTCCAATCGCAGCCTTGGCCTGGGTTACAGCAGACTCGGACAGAACCGAAATAGATGCCTTAATCTGTTCCGAGGTGGAAATTGTTTCAGGCAAGAGAAGGGCTCTCGACAATAGCAGAAGTGACGGAGGCACTTTTTCATTGAGGCTGAGGTCCAACCACTGGTTAAGCTGGGCCCTCAGTCTAGTCTCAGGCATTCCGTAGGCACGCATTCCTCTGGCTCTGCACGCTTGTTGTAGTTCAGGTACGGTCAGGGTTTCAACACCTTCCTTCATGATGACCTATGAAAGCAAATAACACTTAATAACTACTCTTTATTTATTTTATAATTTACCTTGTCGTCTGCAGCAAGACTTCGAAGCTTCATCCTCAGTTGAAACCTCAAAAAGTTATTTGTGCCTAGAGGGTTGATTTCAAGCACTCGGCAGAGAGCGGAGAGCTGAGCTCGAGAAAGCGAATCGAGGGTGATTTCGTCTTCAAACAACTTTGAAAAGCGGAGAATTTCTTGCACACTTGCTGTCTCACCAGAATTTCTTACCTAAATGTCTCATTTATTAAATCTAATTTCGTAAAAATCAAATTTGCGTACTTTGTTTGAAAACAGGACAAACTCTTTGGCTGCGTCAGAGTGGTGGCCCTTTGCTTTGAGAGACATGTTGTCCAAAGTTTGCTGCAAGAACTTGGCCATTTCCAGTTTTACTTTCAAAGATTGCTTCATTTTGTCTTCCTGTAATTAATATTAAAGGTTGAGCGTACTTTCAATTTTTCAACTTTCGGTCTTTACTTTGTCAGTTGCAGACTGGAATGTTGATGGTAGCATTCCAGGGAACAATTTGATGGCCAATGGCAAGAGCAACTCCATGAAAGGTACAATGATGAAGACTGAAAACGGTAACAGCCGAAACAAATCTGAGACAGTGCGCACCAACTAGAATATTCAAGATTAGTTAATTTTTGAGTAAAATTATTTGAAAACTGGTACTTGTCTATGCTCTCTCCTAGTTAATGACTTTCCATTGAGGATTCGCATCACCAGCTTTCTTGACACGTTGATATCAATAAAAAGTAACCTAAACCCGTGGTAGTAATGTATCAGTTCATCCTTCACTTTCTGCCACACTGATTTCTTTGGCACTGCAGGTGACAGACTTTGCGATGCAGCTGGTTTTTTCTCTTCATTCAGTGATTCCTTCAGGGTCTGCACTGAGGCTTCAACCTTTGAGGAAGGCTTCAGTGGCTCCTTTTCCCACAAAATACTACTGGTGTGGATTGATCGCCTAAATAGTAGTCCTGTAATGAAGATTTCAAATCAGTACTTTTTGATTATATAAGATGTATTTTTAGCACCTTCTGTGTATAAAGGGACACCAATAAAACTTGGTGAAAATGCTCTATTGCAGGAACACCTCGCCTCGTCTTGTAACAAAGACGAGGTCTGAGAATGAACTGTCCACTGAGAGTTGTACAAAGTTGACCGCCACCTTCTCAACGCCATTTGTCCTAAACAAAGAGTAATAAATCAAACCATTCGAAAACAATCCTTGTTTGTCAATTATACTTTGAATGACTACAGTTGACTTGGAAATCAGACTTTTCTGCGTCACAAGTGCCATAATCATCTTACTGTGTGCTTTTTTGACAGGCTGGTCCAATAAATATCTTCTTATGAATATTTTATCACAGCAAACTCCTGAAAAATAAAATGAAAGAATTAGCAATATTAGGTCATCGGGATGATGAAAAGACGGAAAACGATTGAGCCATTGCAAATATTCTTTTAATTTACCTTATTTATTTAAAATCAAGTCCAATAAATTAACCAATTAGAACTAGTAGTATCAACGGCGTCTTCAGCAGCGGCTGTGTGAAAATTATTTTTAGCCGCAATCCGTCACCGCCGAAATTATTGCACTCGCGAAATTGATTTTGTGGAAAATTTGAAGGGGACTTTACACTAGCACTGAGGGGCTAATTACTTTGCATCCCGCAAGATGTGGATGCAGCCGAATGGAATGTCGCTAAACTGCTCTGAACGTTTCGAAAGTGGAAAATTTCGCCGAAAGATAGACATTTATCTTTTTTCTTTGTTCGCGAACCGTCCAATTTCGTTTCCAAGTTGTGATCGCGCAGCTGTGAGGATCAGGCGATCCTCGGCAGTTTTAAAACGGGTGGAAACGTGCCAGGAAAGCGACTAGGACGTTTGGTACGAGAAACATAAGAGCATCGATGGGAAGGTGGATAGGTGGCAACGCAGCAATGGAATCTTGTTGAAATAGTTGTAGATGGGCATGGTAGATGGCGAGTTTCAGCTTCTCGGCGAACAAGATCAACAACAAGATTCTCTGCGATGGAGAACTTGAAGAGTTTGGCGGGAAAGATGCGTGCAAAATGGTTATAAAATGGAAATGTGGAAGGCAGTTCTATTTAATATTTTTGAATTCTGTTCTTTTTGCACATGAAGAGAGAAAAGTGAAATTGAAGGAATTGAAACATTAGAATTCATTTTTGGAAAAAAGGGACATGTCAATATGTGGCAAGAAGTGCGAAGGAAGTGCTTTTTATTTATATTATTTTATTTCAGATAGTTTATGAAATCACATGAAATGAGTATTAACTGTAAATTCAATAAATACTATTTTTAATTTTAATTGAAACAAACGTTTAGGATAGATCATTTTTTGAAAAGAAAATGTTTATAAGCATTGTATAAGGATTATTGGGATATTTAATTAAAATTATGAAATACACAAATATATCCATCCCTAATACACCCTGCCTTCCTTTTATTTTGCGTGTGACTTTATTCATCATTTCACTCGGGTGCCGCGTGTGTTAGTGCGAGAGCAGTAAAATGAGAAGAAAGAAAGCGGAGTGTGTGTGCCGGTGAGCGCCTGCATTTATGCAACCAGCTTCACTTCCAGAGCAGCACGACACACACACCTCCCACCTCTCAATCAGCAAACCACCCAGCTGATAACAGCAGCATAGGTGCCAAGGGCAAAGGCCATTGGCCTCGTGCGGTTTTCGTGTCAGTCGCCTTGCTTGCAGACGTCAAGTCTCAAAAGTCGGCGCCGCTCGAGGAGCGAGCGACCGAAATCGTCTCGTCAATTGGAAGTTACAAATAAATTGTTGGGTTTCTAACGTAAGTTGATTTATTCACAAAATCCCTTTTTCAAATTTAGAGCGACATAACCCGTTCGGCCTTCTGACCGTTCCATCCCCGATTTTTGTAAGGCAAATTAAACTGACCGATTTCGCGCACACCCTATGCGCCCTGCGGGGCCGTTCGATCACCATCAACTGGTTCGGCAACGCAGAGCCGGCCCGGCGTAATTGGGAGCGAAGTGCACGTCGTCAATCGCGTGACTTCTCGCTGCTCATCGGAGTCCGTCACCCTGACTCCCGAGGTCATTCTGCTGCACCCTGTGCAACCACTAGCCTGACTGCAAGCCAACGCAGTTCAGCTCTCTGCAAGATTTCTGCTCATCTCTTCACATCATTTAAGCAAGTACAATACAAAACCCCAAACCGAGTGCAAGAAATCGAACTTATATATTCGAGAGATTTTCTCCGAGCGCATTCAACAATTATTTCATTTATGACATTTATGTAAAATCAATTATATTCCTACCCATCCTAATTCCTACCTACAAAAACAATACAAAATTATAATATTCATGATTTGAATTAATTTACCAATTTTCCATTATTCTCTAATTAAATAATTTGAACTGAATTTTCATCAAATAAAATCTTTTCCTTATTTCATTTCAAACCGCCGATTTTGATTGGTTTTTCATCTTGGAAAGATCTGAAATTAGTTTTTTTTTTTTAGTTGTCAGAGCTAATTAAGTTGAGGAAATTAAGCCAAACCTGCGATTAATAGGATTTAATCTAACCCTGACATAGAGTCTAACAAGTCGTTGTTATATGGCGCCCAACTCTCTTAAATCCCAATTTAATTTAACAAATTAAAGTAAAATTTGTAATCCAGCGTGATCTAGAATTATTCTTTTCTATTCTTTGACTCATTTCAGGTGAACATATGACCACCAAAAATGAGCACCTCATATCAGGTGCACATATGAGCACCTCATATCAGGTGCACATATGAGTACCTAAAATGAGCACCTCATATCAGGTGAACATATGACCACCTAAAATGAGCACCTCATATCAGGTGCACATATGAGCACCTAAAATGAGCACCTCATATCAGGTGAACATATGACCACCTAAAATGAGCACCTCATATCAGGTGCACATATGAGCACCTAAAATGAGCACCTCATATCAGGTGAACATATGAGCACCTAAAATGAGCACCTCATATCAGGTGAATATATGACCACCAAAAATGAGCACCTCATATCAGGTGCACATATGAGTACCTAAAATAAGCACCTCATATCAGGTGAACATATGACCACCTAAAATGAGCACCTCATATCAGGTGCACATATGAGCACCTAAAATGAGCACCTCATATCAGGTGCACATATGAGTACCTAAAATAAGCACCTCATATCAGGTGAACATATGACCACCTAAAATGAGCACCTGATATCAGGTGAACATATGGGCACCTAAAATGAGCACCTCATATCAGGTGAACATATGAGCACCTAAAATGAGCACCTCATATCAGGTGAACATATGAGCACCTAAAATGAGCACCTCATATCAGGTGAACATATGAGCACCTAAAATGAGCACCTCATATCAGGTGAACATATGAGCACCTCATATTAGGTGCTCATATGTTCAAATATATATATATATATATATATATATATATATATATATATATATATATATATATATATATATATATATATATATATATATATATATATATATATATATATATATATATATATATATATATATATATAAATACATCATACATCATATTTTTATGATTTATCCTTATATAATGGAAATGTAGAAGGCAGTTCTATTTAATATTTTTGAATTCTGTTCTTTTTGCACATGAAGAGTGAAAAGTGAAATTGAAGGAGGAATTGAAACATTAGAATTCATTTTTGGAAAAAGGGACATATTATGTCAATTATATTGGCAAGAAGTGTAAAGAAAGTGCTTATTTATATTATTTAATATTTAAGATAATTACGGATAATTTATGAAATCACATGAAATGAGTATTTACTGCTAATTCAAAACTATTTTTTATTTTTAAATGAAACAAACGTTTAGATAGATCTGGATCAGATCATTTTTTAAAAAGAAAATGTTTATAAGCATTGAAAAAATGAAACGAATGAAACAATGAAACCAATTAAGGACAGGTACGACGCCATCTAGCTTGCATATCTTGAAGTATAGATTGCTGCGTTGCCATTTTTGTTTGCCGTACCAAAACGTCTCCGGCCCCAGGAAAGCTCTTCGGAATGCGGGACATTTAAATGAACCAAAACATAGAGGGGCGTCGTCCTCTGTACTCGTCAGCCGTGGCTTGATTGCCAATTTTCTAATTTTTCAGGGTAAGAAATTTATTATTCCTCGTAAAATTTTCGTAAACAGTAATTAAACATTCCTCAAAAGCATCGCAAACCCTTTCAAAGTCGATTTTTGCGTTGAAGATGTTAAATTTGTCTCGTCAAATTGCCGGCCTACGTATGTAAAACGCTGCCACAAAGCAGCCAAAAGATTTTATGTACTTTTGACATTAGCAACGTCAACATAACAATATAATGCGATTTATTCAATCCATTCAATTTCTGGAATTTGCGCCAATATAATTACATAATTTAATAAAAGGTTTAAAATTTTATAAGAGTGCGTTGTATGCGTACATTAAAATGTATTTGCTGTAACATTAAATAAAGTCTAGATCTATTATGTATAATACATATTATTTTAATTTTTATGCAAACTTCTGTTGCTCTACATACTTGTATAATTAATATGTTGATAAATTATTTTAGTAATCTTAAATATTTTGCCACTGGTCGTATAATTTGAAATCAAATTAATTTTATCTTACATATTCGCAGGATGTCTAATTCCCGAAAATGGGGCAACGTGAGCTCCAAAAAGCCAAGCAAGGGGAAGGTTGTGCAAATTTACGAGTCATTTTTAAAGGTCTGTATTTATTTTATCCTTAAAAAGCAAATAACAAAAATATTGGCTATTGCAGGGGGAAGACCCGTCAGTAGGAAACGAACATTTCTGGCACGAGTTTTTCCTCTTGAAGCCCTGTGTCTCAAAACTTGAGTCTGAGTTAGCCAAACTGACTGGAGAGCAGCTGACTCAGCTGAGAGAACAGCTGAACTTGATTTGCACACAATGCATTGACATTCTTCAAGACGATTCCCAAATAAGGATTGCCGTTGCTCTACAGGTTTTTGTGCACCAAAATCTACAAGTGCTAGAGAACTAACAAAATTAAATATCTTCCAGACCTTGTGCACAATTTTGAAAGCCATCACTCGAAAGGCAGCCTCGGAAAGCAATCTAGATGTTGTCAATACTTTTGTGGGGCACGAATTGAGTAAAAACTACATTCCACTACTTTTTGAGCACTGCAGCTCTATTCTATCAAGTATGTTTTATAAAATTTTAGAAGATTTAAAAAAAAAATCAATTTTTCAGGCAATCCAAATGCTGAAATAAAAGGTTCCGCCTTGAGGTTGCTCCTGGCATTAGCGACTGGCTCGGAGAACTTGAGCCAAAACACAATTCTTGAGTACTCGATGAACTACACAAGCCAAGTCCTTTTTGAGGCTCTGGTGCACATCCTCCAAGACCCGGACACTCGTCTAGCACTTGGCCAGTTTGCCATCCAGCTTCTGACGCTGTTTGTCAACTTCAGCAAGTACGAAGGAACCAATCCGTTTGTTGTGCAACTCTCCATTTTGGACAATGAATTAGCCCTTAATGGTTACAGCCAAGTATATTTAATGAAAATTCCTTATTTAATACAACTAATTTCAATTTATATTGGAAGGTTATTACCAGCCACTTAGCGGACTTTTGCTGGCAGTACACGACACAAAATGCAGAGTCGCATGCAGGAGGGTGGTTTTCGTCTCTGACGAATATGGTCGGGTCCATGTTTGTGTCAGACGAAGGTTCCTGCAGAAATCAGCAAATTAGGTATAAAATTTTTCAGAAAATTTTTTCAATTTCACTAACAAATATATATAATTATATTTTTTGTTTTGTTTTTGTAAATCTAGAAACCACAATGCAGTTCTTTTGGCTCTTTACGAGGCTGTGCACTTGAATAGAAATTTCATAACAAACTTAGTCCAAACCCAGGCAGACACTAGTAGTCCTCCCTCACCTACTGCCACTTTAGACAACATCAGAGCCTCGGCTGAGGGCAACCAACCAGGCCAGCAAATCCATCTCATGGCAAATCCTGCCTCCCAGCCAACAAGCCTCTTGGCCACATTTATCGAATATTGGTAATTGATTTCAATTTAGACAAACAACAGTTGGCTCATTATTTCCCAACCTCCTGCAGCTCCATCGTAACCCAGGACACAAAGCCAGACACTTTGTTCAACAACGGCAAATTGTGCCTCTTAATCTTGACATGCATTTCTGAGGACCAGTATGCAAACTCTTTGATGCACGATCCCAACCTGGTCTACAAAGTGCAGCTGCACAGATCTCCAATGCGACACAGAAAAATCCCTTCAGATCTAACTCTTCCTGCTCAACCTTTAGCCTGTGCTATGCTAGGTATGACGTGTTGTTGTTTCTTTGTTCCTTTTTTCAAATAAGGATGTGCAATTTTCAGATTTTGTGGTAGAATTTATTACGAGCCACAAGATGAAGCGCTTCCCCATGGAACTGTATTTACTCAGTATTGGCATTGCCCAGCGCCTGGTGTGCTACCAAAAGAGGTGCAGAGTTCGACTTACCTACCAGTGGCCGGAACTGTGGAAATCTCTCATTGCCTTGCTTCGGTTTTTGTTATCTCACGAAGGAACTTTGGCCAAAAAGATGAACATTTTCCAGTTGGCTCTGCAGGTTAGAATTATAATATTAATTGTTTTACCATTTACTTATACTTGATTATCAATTGAACAGGTGGTCAACATTTTTAACCTGTTTATTACTTACGGAGACACATTCCTTCCCTCTCCCACGAGCTATGATGAGCTTTATTACGAAATGATCAGAATGCATCAAGTTTTCAATAACCTCCATGCAATGGGTATAGGGAATTTGTTACCATATTGTTTTAGTGACAGTTTACTAATTACAAATTTCAGCTTTGCGGTATTCTTCAATTGAAGGAGAGTACAAGGAGTGGGCGCAGAAGCTTGCAAACAGTCTGGTCAATGTCAGGTAAAATAATAAAATAATAACACATTTTTAACCCATTTTTTAATATTTTAAATTTCAGGGCAATCACAAGTCATTTTGTACCAAAAATCAACACGTGGTTAACTGAACAGGGACTCTCCACCCCTTCTGAGGACCAGGTACAATTTTTATGCACTTGTTGATTTAAGTTTGTATTGATAAAAAAATCATAGATTCTGGAGGTTGTGAGGAGTAACTATGATAGTCTGATGCTGAAACTGCAAGATAATTTGGACCATTACGAGAGATATTCGGAGTCTCCTCAACACGAGAGCTTTTTCTACTCGATGGTAAGTACCCGTTTTATATTTTAATTTTGCATGCATAATGGATTTCTTTGGTTAAATCTTTTTTCGGTTACGTATAGTCTTTCAATGGCTAAATTCTGACCTATTGCAGGTTCAAAGTGTAATTAACGACATCAATCAGAATATCGATTTTACTCCTGAAGAAAGCGTGCAAAAAATTTTCCAAGAATTTGCCTCCGCGACATAATTGGATATATGAACGTCTGTGACTTGTAATTAATTTTTAAGTTCACCTTCAAGTAATTTTTGGAAAATGAAATCTTCCAGACTATATTAAGAAATTATTTTTTGAAAGTGAATTTCAATTTCATGTGAAAATCAAGAATTTTCAATAACCGTCTTGCTTAGAATTGGGTACAGATTTTTATTTATTGTTCTTAAATTGAATTGGAAAATTTCCAACTTAATAAACCCAGTTCTGGGTAAAAACTGACACCTGATATATATTAAGGACTAAAGGTATATTACTTCCAATAAAACCAAATTTCATGTTTGGCAGCTAAAGAGACTTTGTATTTTTAAAAATATCATGTGACTGCTTCATAAGACATGGATACATTAACGCTAGGTTTTTTGTTCTCACAAATTTATTCACGGTGTTGCGTTTTATGAAGACATCAGTCTCAAAAAGTACAATACGACACGGAATTAATAGCAATCCAATCCCAAATTCACTATTTAATAATATTTCAAATCATTAATTGATGAGATCCTTAATTATTTCGAGGGCCTTCTAAGGCGCATATCAGCACGCGTTTTTCTTATGATTAAATTTAGTTCTCTTCACTCGAGAAGGCAGAGACAGTAAAATATATACTCAGCTTGTATATTAAAGATAAAATCACAATTATAATATCTTACGAGGAATTGAGAGATAGAGAAAAGATTATAATTCTGTAATATTTTTGTTTTTACAATATGGACTATTCTTCTTCTTCTGTAAATATGTATTTTGTTAATAATGTCTTTTTGGCTAATGCTGCATTGACACAATGAGTTTAATTTGGGAGAAGGTGGCGGAAAATAGTTAGTCTCTAACCCCTCCCGTATCTGAACAAACGTTTTGCTATTGGCATCTGGAGAAAGCTATGGAGTGAATTTCAATGGGAATGGAAATGATCGGAAAGGTCTTCCTTAAGTGAGGTGAGAGAATTTTCCTGCCGAACTATTGATTTGATTCTGCTTTTGGTCTTCACCTTCAAATTCCACCGAACAACATCAACAAACAGACAAACTCGGGCCCTCCCGGTCGTTTTGGGGCCGCGCCGAACAAAAACAATCAACAGACCAAATTTCATCGTACACAACCCAAATTGAGATTCGGAAATCATAGGGACAATAACTGCCACTCTGATCTACACATATTTTGATAGGGTCTACCCATACCCAGGCCGGATCTGCCTGAGCACCGATGTTAGTTAAATGGGGTGTTCTTTTAGCCACGTGGCAATCAGGCGCTCGTTGGATCGGACCCATTTGGCGTTCAGTTGGATGTTCTCCAGGCTCTGGCGCATGATTCTGTGCTGGCCCCAGCGCCTCGGAAGGGCTTTCAGGAACTGCGACACCTATGGAATTTCACCAGTTTACTATTAATTAAATCCAAAAAATTCTGGTCACCTCTTCCACGTCGTAGGGGGATGAAAAGTGGGAAGTGACGGTTCCCACCAGACCTCCCAAAGCGGCCGTGCTGTTTCCAAGCGAATTCTGGAGGCGCCTCCAGTTGGCGCGCACGTGGCGCCAGGCCAGCAGGCGACCCTCGGGATTCGAGGCGACCACGGCGAACACGAGTTTCAGGTCTTGCGGTTTGACCAGGTTGCGGTCCAGGGAGGCTTGGAGGAATCGCTGCAGCAGCCAGGGGTCGGAGGCGAGACCGAGTGCTTTGAGCAAAAGGCGGCGCTCGCTTGGGACCACAGTGGTGTTGTATCGCGACCAGCAGAATTCCCATTCCTGTTCTCCTCCGTATTTAATTCCTAGCAAAATTTTGAATTACTGTCTGAAAACTTGGGGCAAAAGAAAATCAATCCCACCGGCTGTGTACACAACCTCTCTCAGGTTGGGAGACACGGTTTTGTTGTTATTCATCCAGTCGGAAAAAATCCTCCTCGCCTGACGGACGGTTGTTGACTCGCCAAACATTACAGCGGCAGACAGAATTTCACTTCTCAAAAGTCTGCAAATTAAAGAAATTCAATGAAGACTAATTTAATTTCTGGTTCAAATTTTTACTTTTGGAGATGCGTTCCAGTCTCGTTCCAACCTATTCGTGTAGCGGCAGGGTTGAGAATTCCTTGCATGTGTTGTAGGAAAAGTTTGTAAGCCGCTGACTCTTGCAAGCGCCGAGCCCAGTTCTGCATGCTTTCCAAAGCGGTCACCCACGGAGCGTAGTGCTGCTCGTTCTTCAGGTAAAGGGAAAGTTCTAAAGGAAGTTCGGGGCCTAGTACCCCAGATCTAAATTTTTGTTTAATAAAATTACACAATTTAAAAATCTTTTTAAATGAAAGCAAACCTGCACAGTGTAAACGCGTCATCTAGCAAACTAGCTCTGTCGGCTGGACTGAAGACGTGGGTGTTGTTGATTAAAGCCGCCACAAGAGCATTCCAATTTTCCTTGTCGTAGTTCACTCTGTAGAATCCAGACTGGTTAACGTTGGCTTTGAACCAAACAGTATCTTCAGGCAGATTGAAAACCACTGTTTGAAAATGAAAATAATTATTATCGAAATCGATTTTGATTTATTATTTATTTCACCATCAGTCATGTTCATCCAGACTTGTTTGACGCCGTCCTCCGGCCTGTTGGTCCTATAGCTCAGAGGAATATACCATTTGTAGTTGAATTTGGAAGTGGGCAGGTTTGACGTGTCATTTGATGAGGACATCAAGAACCTGTCCTGCCTAGCGAAGATTTCAGTTCCGTTTCGCTCAATGGTAACAAGAGGAAATCCCATTTGCAACGTCCAGGTGTCCATAACGCTCTGTATAATTAGTACATTAAAATTTTTGTTTTCAATTATTATTTAAAATTTTACCTTCACATGAAGGGCCGCGGGAGAGCTGTCACTCAGTGCTTTCCACAGGTCAGAAGTGTCGGCATTTTGATATTCGTGGGTCAGGAGATAGAGCTGCAGGCCGCTCCTTAATGTGTCTCGTCCCAAAAATCCTTCCAGCATGGCAATAATCGCAGCGCCCTTTGATATATTTATTAGCTTTTCTATTTTAATAATGAGAAAACAAAATTTATCACCTTTGAGTAGCTGATCGCGTCGAAGATTGCTTCAATCTCTGAGGGGTCTCGCACCTCGACGGAGATAGGATGGCTCGATGCCAGAGCGTCAAGCGCCAAAGCCGGCTGCGTCTTATCTACCACGAATTGCTCAAGCATTGCCCAGTCCGGTCGCACGTATGCAACCCCCACATACTCGAGGAAGCTGGCAAAGCCCTCGTTGAGCCACAAGTCGGACCACCACCTCATAGTGACGAGATTTCCAAACCACTAGCAATTTTTATTTAAATTATGTACAACCTGCAAAAAAAAAATTCAATTTTTTACCTGATGAGCAAGTTCGTGGGCAATCACGATTGCGACCCATTGGTGAGCTGCAGATGAAGTTTCAAGAGGGTCGTAAAGAATGGAGGACTCGCGGTAGGTGATGAGCCCCCAGTTCTCCATAGCCCCGGCAGCAAAATCAGGAATCGCAATGAGATCTAAAAAAATAATTGTTTTAATTAAAATAAGAGGTTGTTTTTAATCAATAAAAAATTGGGATGGATGGGAAACTAAATTATTTAAACAACTAGAATGCCAAACTATGAACTTTAAATTGAAATATAATGTCATTTTTTTTAATATTTTACCTTGTTTCGGGAGGGAATAAGAAACGTTGAAGAAATTCTCAAAGAAATCCATCAAAGTTGTCGCTGTTTCCAAAGCGAATTCTGCCCTGTTAAGTTGATGTTGCGGAGCGTAAACTGAGACGGATATCTGATTCTGGGTGACCATGCTCTTTTTGTGGTAGTCGCACACAACGAAGGCGACCAGATACGTGCTCATCGGAACCGACTCTTCGAAATCGTCTCGCAGCTGGAATTTTATTTTTTCTCATCTGCAACCTCGGATCGATTTTAAATCACTTACCAGGCCCGTGCCCATGTAGAAGCCGGCGTCCTCGGTGTTTGCCACCGGCATGTTGGTAAGCGAGATGTGGAAGCGATCTCTGAATATGGAAATTTTGAACCGGGCTTTAAAGTGCGGCTCGTCAAAGCAGGGGAAGGCGGCCCGGGCGTAGGTCGCTTCGAAATGCGTCGTCGCGAGGACCCTGCAATTATTTTGGTAATTTTTTTTATTCACTCGACTCCAGAATTAATAGCGATTATGCAGCATTTTACGGCCAACAGACAACGTTTGGCGCATTTTACGGGGAAATTTATGCGGCAACGAGCACTAAAGTGCGCACCTCTTATCTCCCTCTGGAGTGTTGTAGCTGCTGACGTAGAATCCTTCCAGCTCGGTGCTCAGCCGGTAGATGAATCGTAGTTTCAGAGTGTAATTGTGGTTCTTCAAAAAGGGCTGCAGCGACTCAAAGTAGATTTGCTGCCCCGGAATGAACTCTAGCATTTCCGTGATGTTCATAATTTGTCCATTACTCTCCTCCAGCGTCTGAAAAATACCCAAGTAATTAATAAATAAATAATGGAGCTAATGGAGATTTTTTTCCTTCAAATTGTACCTTGTCTGTAATGGTGATGTTCTTGCTGTGAAGTACTATGAACTCCGTTTCCTTGTCGACGGTAAATTCAATGCTCACTTGACCTAAAAAACACGTCCCCTTTTTGAATTAAGTCAAAATCTTTTCACGCGCGCTTCACCTTTCACGTAGAATGTGGTGAGATTGGGATGAATGGTGAGGTTGTAGCGCAGGGGTCGCACGAAATCCGGAAGCCGCAGGCTGTTCCACGGGTACGGTTCCCCATTTGAAGCCTTTGGCTGGCGCGGCATTGTGTTTCCAGAATCGTCGAAGTCATCTTCGTCATCTCCCTGTCCCAGACAAGGACAATCTGACGAGGAAGTTGATAAAAATTTTAAAAGATTTGATTCAAAATGCACGATCAATTCACCTGTTTGACTGATGAACGCGATCAAAACAGAAAATGCGAATAAGCAAGCGAAAACTGAAGTTGCTATTATCAAAGCTTTCTTCTGAGAGCAAACCGCCACCCCATTTCTCTCGTATAAGCTCCTTTTATTGCTGCTCTGGCTGTCACCTCCTGCGATAAGAGTTAATTGCAAATTATTTTGGAAGGAAAAACATGCTTATCCTTGATGAAAATTTTGTTTATTGAAGAACAAAAGGCTCTACCAGTTTCGGCCACGGTCTGCGGCCCTATTATATAAGACAGGACAAAACACAACAAATGAGCGAATTTTTAATTGCTTCACTCGCTGATTCAAATTAATATAAATGATTAATACATTTATTTTTAATAAAGCATTAATCATATTAAAAATAACATTCACAAAATAATTTTTTAAGTGATTAAATTTATTAAATTTATTCGAGGCCCTCTTTCGTGCTTTTAATTAAAGGCTCTGAAAGAGTGCTTGAGTTCCGTGCATTGATGAAAGAGGTCAATTTGCGTGTGCAGCCTCGTCGTGGCTCTTAATGATATGCACGGAAACGCGCGCTCTCTGTGTGATGACATAATGTATTACCAAAATTGCACCGAGTCTAAATTTGGCCAAGTGGCAACGAGCATAATGAGCGAATTGCTAAAACATCGGAGGTGAAGCACAGAGATCGCTAATTACCTGTCAGAAACGCCACATTATCTTGATCACTCATGGCGGCAGTGGCGGCACTTCGCTTCCAAACTACACTTTGCACATTGCGCACTGAGCTGACGTAGGCTAATTTGACTAAGGAGTCTCTAGCCACGGTTAGGCCGCGCTGAGCATTCTCGCATAATCTGACCCGCGCGGATTTCGGCCCCGAACGCACCGAAAAAGCGGCGGAGTCTCACTCGGTGCGAGCACGAGGGGCGAGTGAGGGTGCACTCGGCATCGCCACCGCAAGAAATCAATATTTTGGCGAAGGGGAGAAAACGGCACCGAGGGCGAAACGCGGGGGAAAATCAATACCCACTCCTCTCGCTCTCCGGTAGGACTGCTACTGTGTGCATGGGCCCGCGACGGCCGCGCGCCAAATTGCAATTTCCCCCTGATCTATGTTGAGCTTGCAAATTTCAAACCGGCATTTCGAAATCGTTCCTTGTGTGGAGATTTAAAAATTATTCTAAACGGATTTACCGCACTTTAAAGGATTAAAGGAGCTTTTAAGATATAACATTTAACACGCGTGTTATGTAAACTGGACAAGGCATTAGGAAAATCGCGTGCAAGATTTTGATCTCTCTGTACATTTGAACACGTAATTTCCTTTTCATTGTAGTAAAAATCATGAAATTACGCTGTATGGAATGTCCGTAGTAATTTAATTCTCATTAAGTTGCAAAATAATTTTTATTGATCTATCACACGAGACATATGAAAAATTTAAAGTAAATATACAGTTTAATTTGATTGAGAGTAAAAGAACAATAATGATTGTATAATATTGTTTTTTTCTAAATTTTACTCTGAAAAATAAATAATAGCTTTAAGCTCATTGATCGTGTAGAATTTTAAATGATAAATTTCAACTGGATCAAAAGTAAAAACAATAAAAAGGGAAAGTTATTTTTATTTTATTTTATGAAGGAAAAAAGCGTCATGACTCATGAAAATTTTGCACCTGCGGTTAAGCCCAGGCAGACTAATTAATTACAAAAGGCGTGGTCCCGTTTTAATAAAATGTAAACCACGAAGCTAGCGCGGCTCGTGATATAGCGCGGGTATAAAAGTGAAGAGGCAGAGAGATTCTGCAGATGCAGCATTTTCGAGAGTCGCGACTTTGCGCCTTTGTCTGTGGCGGGTATGCAACCGGCGCGGCGAGAGTGCCCGGCTGCTGGCATAATCTCCAGCGGGAGCGAAACTAGAGATGGCGTGATGAAGTGGCGCCGTCGTTCCTCCACCCTCGAAAAACTCGAAAAGCGAATTTTGGCAATAAAAAAAATTCGCTTTCACTTAACCCTTTCCGCATGATATAATAAATGCGACGAGTTTTGAGCTTTCTTTTTATTGTGAATAATTTTGCTAAATGAGCGTGCGTCCTCTCCGCCCTCGCTTTTTTTTTGTTCGCGTCCCCGCATTAAATTTACACGCATGTTGCTCGAATGTGTGATTTTGCATAAAAAGCACTCGCGCTTGCAGGTGAAGAGTTTTTATGCTCAAGTAGTGAAGAGCGCTTATTTACTGTTTAGGTGCAGGAGGGCTGCAAGTAATTTAGAAAGGGCTTATTTCTCATCAGCGAGGGTTGCATGCACGCAGGGGTTCTTGTGAGCAAATCATCAGGTTTTCTCCCGCTGGCAGAGGGAAGAAATTTAATGCTAATCTGCAGCGCTTCACTTTTTTATTATCTCGCTCAAAGAAGGAAATTAAATCGCATTATATTTACATACTTAGGACTTTTTGATTTGGATTAGAATTCAAAATTGCTTTATAATCTTCAAAGTTGTAGTCTTTTCCGTAAGGTCAGTAAATAATAAACTAGTAAACTATGATTAATTAATTTATATTTAATTATCTTTTCTATGAGTTATTTTAAGCCTAAATTGTACATTGTAAGAAGGATTCCATCTTTCACTCTCATCTGAGTAAGACGCTGACGAGCAAGGCAATGTTGACGAGGACGAACCGGGCGGTCTGTAGGGCGGCTGAACCTGTTGTGAAACAAAAAGGGGGAATGAGACAAAAGTGAGGCGAAAAGAAAAGAGAGGATGACACTCGAGCCGATTTTTAAGGTCACGGGGTAACTCACCGGAGCAGTAGTCATTGTTTTCCGCAGGCACGAGACCGTAATCGCAGGAGCACTTGTTATTGCGGCATATTACCCCCTCGCTGCTGACGGGGAGGAAACACTCGGAGCCTTTGGTGCAGTCGTCGCCCAGGCCTGCTTAAATCAACATTCACGCATCACGCCGCGCGTCATTAATTATTAATTAGAGGGAAAAATCGACCCACCCTTCGAAGGGGTGCACGTGCCGTCCACCAAGTGATGCCTCTTGCGACACCGGCACTGCTCCTCCGAGCACTCGCCGAACTCGCCTAGCGACGGCGTGCACTGTTGGTTCTCTGAACACAACGCGTCCAAGCCACCACCAACTGTTAATTTCAGAGCAGAAAAGTTAATTATAAGAAAATAATATAAAGAAGAAGCCAAGATCTATTTATATTTGAACATAATTTTAAACTACTTTTAACACGTTTAAAATACAAAAAAATGATGAAGATTTTATTATTTTTAGTCTATAATAAGTTAACACAATAAAAATTTTTGGTTTATAACGGTTTTTTTAAAGATAAATTTTGTTTTAAATGTAATATTTTTTTAAATTATTCTGGTTTTAATAAAAATTTAATTATTATAGTAAATTTTAATTTTATATAAATTATATGTACTTCACTTGCTATGAACTGAACAGATCAACACAATACGTTACTTCTGATTGTAAAATTCATATTGAATGCAAGTTATTTATAACAATTATAATTTAAATGGAAATTAATTTCAATTATTTCAATAATCTGCATGGCATTATATTATGAGAAGAGACAAAGTCTTAGTTTATAATATTTTAATAAAATAATCATTTTTATACCAAAATTGTTAATTTTTCACCCTATAGTTGCAAGATAAATATTGATTTTGTTATGAGGCTTATCAGAACATTTTTAAGTTAAAAAGCCAACGGCACTTTTGGCGCTGATCTTTTCCGCTACTCGTTTTTGGTCTTTCTTTACCCAACTGCTGCTATTGTGTATACTTACTTGGCAAACAGGCTGATGTGGCCAAATTAGCCGTCCATCCAGACGGGCACTGGCATTTGTTTGCCGTGCACACTGCATCGGCAGCCGTGGCGCAGTCGTCCTGTACAGAGCACGGCCCGCCAACCCCTAAATAATTCACCACACACGGCGTTAGTAGTTGGCGCTTTATGGCCAATATAATATGTGACTTGGCCCTTAAATCGTGCTTACTTAACCAATCAACATAAATGTCAATGGCAAGTGAGTAAGATTCAAGTGCGTGCGAGTGAGTATGACTCACTGCAACTTCTTTTCCGAGGGGGAGCGCGTTTTATTATATCTCGTCAAAGTGCAACTCACCTAAGCGACAGGCGTTGCCGACTTTGTAGTATCCCGGCTGGCAAGCGCATTTTTTCGATTTTGAGTCGCAAACGGAAAATTGCACTTCGCAATCACCATTTTCTTTGCAAACTCCGCCAAGATCTAGACTCGAATAATAAATAATTTAGTTTTTTTTTTTTAATTAAAAAAATTAATCTTACTTGGGACGTCAAGATAGCAATCTTTTTTGTCACTACTCGGGTGATAACCGTTTATGCAAGAACACGTGCCTTCGACGCAAGAAACATATGTGTCTCCAGATGTGGCACTGCAATCCCTGGCATCAGCGCACTGCTCACCAGGCCCTAATCAATTTAAGGAATTAAAAATTTATATACACTTTTTTTCTTCTAAAATCAGTACATTTTGCGATCCAGCAAATGCTGTCTTCTTTAAATACTCGCGAAAAATCGTCACATTTGCAGGTTTTTGTGTTGCCGTTCAACCTGCACTGGGCTCGCGCTCCGAAAAGGGTGCACTGGGAGGTCTCGTTGCATTTGTTATTGATCAATGTGATTTCTTAAAAATTAAAATCTATGAATTATCCGAACTTTAAGTTCACTTGGAATTAAGAATTAAAATATTTTTGTGTTTCTCTTTTTGCCTTTTACGTTATTTTCTCGTAAAACTAACGTGTTAGGCACTCCTGTTTTGTGACCGACGCCGCCGTCCCCACGCCGCAGACACACATGGTGCCGTCGCAATTTGAACCGTTGATGGCGGCGCAGTCCGCGTTCTGGACGCAGGGCCCACCGATTTCTAGTTTACAACTTTTTTATTATCATTATCTTTCCTACACCAAATCAGACGTACCTGGTACGCATTTTTCTTCGCCTGCGGGCTTGAAAAAACCGTTTTTGCACACACAATAACCAAGGGCTGAGCACTCGGAGTTTGCGATGCCGCATTCCGCACCTGATGGGGTGCACGGCGACCCAAGCTCTGTAATTTACCAATGTAAAAATTGTTAGAGTAATTAATGAAAGAAAACAAATATCACCTTTTCCCATATCTGAGGTGGTCAGGGGTCTTGTATAATTTGCAGGCAAGAAATCTGAAGAAAATTTTAATTAAGGTGGGAGAAATAAAATTAAAATTTTTAAATTAAAAAATGATCTTTAAGTGCCATATTGAATAATTTGACTATTTTACATTAAATATTAAATGATTATTTCTTTACTTGTAATTTTTTTTTCAAATACCTTTCGTAACTTTATTTTTGAGATTGCAAATTTCTTGTCCAGCACCCGAAATGCATTCGCAAACCTTTGTCTTCGTGTTGCAAAATGATCCTTCAAACACGCAATCTGAGTTCAAAGCGCATGGTTCACCGACATCTAAAATAGATTGAGATTATTTTTTTATATTTTACCCCATAAACAAATTTACTCACTCTCGGCTTTTTTCCTACAATCTGAGTACTCTCTTTGGTAAAATCCAGGTGAGCACTGGCATTTGTTTTCAATGCACTGAACCGCATTTGCCTCCAGGACTGACACGCACTCCTCGTCAAAATCGCAAGTGCTACCCAACACTAAAAAAATTTTAACTTATATCTAATTGATTCTTTTTTTTAGTCGTGGCTCACTTTTCGAGGGCCAGCATCTGCCCTTCAGGTAGTGCATTCCGTCGACGCAACCGCATTTCCCACTCGTGCACGTTCCGCCGTTCAAAAGAACTGCAGAACATTGCACGTCTTCTTTGCAAGTTCCGCCAGCACCAGACGGCACTTAAAAGTGTTAATTGAATATGTTGATTCATAAAATAAAGTTTCTACTTTCACACCTGGCAAACAGCTTTGCATCGTGGAGTTTAGAACCTGGTAACCGGCACATTCACATAATTTTAAATTTAAATTGCAAGTGGCGTCGGTAATTAAGGTGCAGTCTTCATTTCTCTCACAACGAACTATGCAAAAAATAAATTATAAAATTATTAAAAAAAAATTAAAATATAAATTTTTTAAATAAAATTTAAAATTTCTTACCCCCAGATAGGTCTGTTGAAGCGGAATAGGAAATGAGGAAAAAGTGAACAACAATTTGCAATAGCGATGATTTCATGGTTGGTGTTGATTTTATGATTGCCGAGCAATGAATAAAAGCAGAATTTTGTGCCAGGTGTGAGTGACCATCGCGGTGTTGTTATCTTTTCCGAGGGAGATTAGGCTGGACTGACACATTCTATGTTTTTTCATTATTCGCTTATCTTCATTCTTCAGACTTGTGCTCTGATTAATATTTTGCCACCACTGAACGTTGAACGAAAGACGTACACGCGCATTATTTATCGGCGAGGCCTCTCAAAATCTAACGATCTCGGAGAGATGCGAAATCATTTATCATTTATATAAGAGTGGACATCTGCTGGCACCTGGCAGTTATTGTTATCTTGTTCATTGCCACCTGGGATACGTTTAAATATAAGATAAAAAAAGCTTTTCTGATTAGTTTTTTTAGATGAATCACCAAATATTACGTAAGCATTAAAAATAATAATGCGGCATTTCTAAGTTAATTTTATATTTTATATTATACCAACCATTCAAAAAGTTTATTAGAAAGTTTAAAATTAATAAAAATAATTATTAACTTTATGGAATTTCGTTTTATTTAAATTTAATTCTTGTTAATTTCTTTTGCAATGTATTCTTTGGATTTAAGATGTTTTTCAATAATATAATCATTTGCGGCGATCCTTATCAGATCCATTGAAAGCGCAAGTAGCGCATCACTCATTTCACTTACATGGCGCTAGAGGCGTGTCATCTGTGCATTTCCAAGAGTTCGTTGGTAGTTGCGAAGCATCGCTACCAGATGTCAGCGCCGCGCGGGTTGTGCAACAGCAGATCAAGTACATTGTTGACCGGCGGCCTCGATATGAGCCCCTGTGGCCTAATGGATAAGGCATCGGTCTCCTAAACCGGGGATTGCGGGTTCGAGTCCCGCCAGGGGTACTTTTTGTTTTTCAATTTAAAAATTTCATCTCAAAGTTTAAATTAACTTATAATTCAATTTCCAGGTTACAAAAATGAAGAACAGCTAAAAGATTAAAAGAAACTTACTTTTTATTTCAATAAAAATAGATCAGATTCAATTTTGTAGTAGAAGAGCAGGTTGAAATTCTACAACAAAAAGCAGGATATTGTTTGATCTTAAACAATAAAAAAACTCATCGAGGAAAAGCTGAATTTTAAATTCAAATCACCAATATTTAATATTTTCCTGATTCCTGATATTGATCTTATTATAATTTAACTCATACATTTTCATGCAATGTTTTCATTTTTACTTTTACTTTTTTAAATTTAATTCTCTTAAAAATGATGCGATCTGAAGGAATAATGAATAATGCACACAAACCCACACTAAGCATCCGGTTGAGAAAAGAAAAAAAAATTAACAAAAGCAGTTTGAATAGTTTTAAATTTGGGACACACCGGCAATGAGTCAATACTGTGATCAGCATACAAAATAGCAGTAAAAACTTAGGAAGTGTGTTAGGAGAACGCCTCTCTCAATATGCAGCCGTCTTCGAGTGGCTAAAAAACAAGAAGTGAGTAAGGCACATGGCTGCATAATGTGCGGAGAAAGCATATTGGAGAAAGCTGCGAGCAATGAGAGGGAAAGTGTTTTTTTTTCGTAGTGTTTCCTTTGGCGCTGAGATAACTCGACCTGGAGACACACTAGTGCTCCTCCACTTTTAGTCCAAGTCGTTTGGCTGCGAGGCGCGGCGGCTCCCGTCGCACTCGATTTTTTTTCACTTGCATTGCAGCTCATGTGCTCGGCCCTCGAGCATGGAGGCAGCTGAGGAGGCGTGCGGGAAGACCCTTGGTCTGACTTTGACCAATTCAGGCAACCCTTCGTTTGGATTTACCCTCAGCAGGTCGAAGGTCGAGCCGTATCCTAAGGTAAAAAGCAGGAAGCGGTCCAATCAGGAAGTGGACTGGCTAGTTTTTTTTTACGCTGATTGGAATAATAATGTGCGGTTATGATTTTATGGCACGCTCTTTTTCACGTAACCACCAAAATTAATATAATATTTTGTAGTTTTTAAGTATAGAATCTTATTAAATCTTTTGATGGAGAAATTAAAAAAAACATTCAGCAATAAATTATGAATAATAAATTTAATTTAAAATTATTAATTTACTACAGTTTAAAAGAGACAATAAAGAGCAGTCAAACATTTTTTTTTTAATTCTAATGAGATAGAAGTTAGTAATGAGTACAAAATTAAATATTCATTATTGTTTAAAAAAATTAATTTATCTTCTTGTCAATTGAAATAAATGAAATTATGAATTATAATAAATATTCCTTTTAATATAATTTAAATTTTTAACTTAAAATATTAAAGAAACATCTTTGAAAGTAAAATATAATTATATATTATAAAATATTTATTTAAAAATTAAAAAATTCATTTTTTTTTTCAAGATTTTTATTAACCACGGAGAACAATAAATTTGTGTCCTCATATTTTTGCAAAATTCAGGTTGACTATGTCGAATCAGAGAGTGCGGCGGACAAGGGCGGACTGAATCAAGGCGACGTTGTTTTTGAAATCAACGGTCGTGGACTTTTGGGCTGTTCTCTGGACTGCGTTCTGAAGATAATAGCAACGTCGGTGCACAAACTAGAGCTGACCCTGTGGCGACCCAAGGACTACCATCCTGACCTAGACCTTGCGAAGACTTTGATTAAAGTGGCGCAATTGTTGTCCTGTCCAATTTGTTTGCGAGAAGTGGCCCTCCAGCCGCGGCAATGCAGGAACGGCCACCTGATGTGCGCCAAGTGCGCAGTGCGGTAATTATGCATAGAAAATATTGCAAAACACACGAAAAATTGAAATTTGAACAACACGTTAAGCAAACATTGCTTTGGAAAGAAAACAGTAAACAAAGTTTTTTGCACTTGAACATAAAAAAATTAAAAAAGTTTAGTTTGTGAAAATTAATTAATTAATTATAACAAATAAGTTATATTAAAAAAATTATCTCAATAAGTAAGTTTATGAAAAATTGAAGAGCATTGTTGTTAAAAAATATTATTGTTGAGTTTTGTGTTTTCATTTGCTCCCTGATTAATTAATATTTCATTTTTTTTTTCTCTTTTGAAAAGAGAAAAATCTCCAAACGGGATAATGGATTTGAAGGGTAGATTAAAATTTCTGGATTTTAATTATGCTGTCCATTTTTTTACAGCAACTCTGAAACCATTTTTAAAACGATTCTATTGTTTGGTTTTTAAAAAGTTAATTTTTTTATTAATACGTTTGATTTCGTGTGTTTGTGTTTAGGTCACCGAAAGGTTGCTGTCCCCTGTGCAGAGTGTTCCTCGGCAGGCCGGCGAACAACAGGTTGGCCCTTCCGGGGGCTCGATGTCTGCTGGCTGAAAAAATGGTGGCTGTGATGCGAACCGACGGCGAGGAATTGAAATCCAAGGCCGTCGACGAAAGCAACAACACAAACGCAGAACGAGAAAACTCACTTAACAGGTAAGAATCAGATTACATATTATAAATATTTTAATCAAGCATCACTTCTATAACTTTCTTTAAACCGTTGAAAATTTAAAGACCGAAAAGTTTGCTTGAAAGTAGGAAGCGATCATTTTGATAAGCGCAATTTAATTTGATCCATCAGCAAATTACTTTTCTTTAATTATTTCTGAATGAAGGAGAAAGTTGAGAATAAATTTGTGTCCACAGAAATGCATCAATGTGCAAAAAAGCGCTGGCAACAGCTGAGGAGAACTCGAGCAAATCGTCCACCGGAAAGTTGCACATGGTCGCCAGGATTGTGAGGGCCTTGCGCTGAATTTACGATCAACACACTGCTCGTTTTGTTGTATAATAATAAGTTCACATGCCTCATTTACTCGTGTGGATGGATGGGTGTGTATAAACTACTGTACACACACCGACTGCAATATTTAGAATTATGGCTCTAGTGCGGCGTGCAAAACACAAACAAGTGTAGTTACGCGCTGGCGTACATTTGTTCGTTTGTTATATACTTATGCACTGTCACCGTGTGCTATTTTGTTGTTAATATTATATTCGTCCTGCATCATGTGCCATTGTGGAGACTTCATTTAATTAATCATGAATTTGTTTTCTGTTTGCTTTACTCACTATTTCTATATAAAAGTGAGAGAGATTAAAAAAAATTTTGGAAGTTTTTTTTTATAAAATTTTAAATTCAAGCCGAGCTTGGAAAAAAACAACAATAGGCACATATTTGCTTATTTTGTGGACTCACGTGAATTTTCTTGGAAACCTTGAGCACAGCTGGAGAGTGATTTGTGCGCTAATTGTTGAACTCCTTAAGTGCACATGTACATTAACGTTTGTTCTATATGGAGAAAGAAGCACTTCCTATATACCCAATTAAGATTATTTTTGTTGGAGGAATGAATTAAAATAAAACGAAATGTAATATAAATGGTAAAAAATGTAGTTTTAATTGAATTGAAATTTATTTAAACAGAAATTTCCCGCAATAGAAAATGCAACTTTTCAAAGTAATGACCAAATGGGGCAATAGCTTCAGAATGAAAAATTTTAATGAAGTGAAAAACAGGCTTGTTTTAATTTAAATTGTAATTTGAGCAATTTTAAATAGCAGAAATTTCTTGACCAAAGGCAAGTCCGATTTTCACGTCAGAGTTCTCCCATTAATTTTTCTAAGAAGATCCGAAGATAGAAATAAATAAATAAAAATGCTCACTTCAGCCCTTACTTTCGATGAATAAAATAATCAGGTAAATTAATAATTTTTCAAACACATCGTAAATATTATGTAAAAAAAATTTGGCTCACACATTTTGCGAAAATTTTCCTTGCATGGTTGGATAAATCTGAATTTTTATATTTCCCTTTTTATTATTCAATTCGACTTTTTGGCCTCTTTCTTGTTATTTTTCACGTTTCAACACTATTTCTCACGTTTATCGCTCGAACAAGCTAATTAATTCTGGGCGTTGGAAAACCCAGCTAAAGTGGAAATAACAAATTCGCAGCGCCTGACCTGACGAAAGACGCACACACCGGCGAAATTCTCGTATACCTCTTATAATTGCGTTCCCGTTCCTAGATGATCTGAGGTGACGGGAGGAAGGGAGGGAGGAGGCTTCGGACCTTTCAGCAGGTAGGGGCTCCTCGCGTCTCAGCGGTGAAGCGACGCACCTGCGGAGAACGCTGTCGTCGCTGATCAAATGAAGCTGCTCGCGAGCACGTTGCTGCTCCTTTGGGCCCTGACAGGTGAGCAAAACCAAAGTTTCAAGGTCACAGGTTAACCCACCTGAGGCCAAATGCGCTTTCCATTTTCTATTTTTGTACATTGATGTTGATGTATACAGAAGGTATTAATTCCACAAGTGAGTCACGTGGGACCGCGTTATACGTTTTGTGATTACTGCCGTGTAGTTTCCACTCTGATTGCTTTTGTATTATTTTATAATATATTCTCCGGAGGCGAATTTCATGCGCCAGTACAATACACAATCTGTTGTTTACTCTTTGTCATTCTCCGTGCGTTTGATTGCTGTGTATTTTTCCAATTGCGTATTGCAATGTTTGACGCGCGATTTGTTTGCAGGAGCGGTGAATGGCCAATTCAACAGTGTCAGCGAAAGAAGTACGTTAATTATTTTTTGCTATATACATTCTTTTTCACTTACGGTTGAGCAATTTCTTCCTTATAGCTAAACTACGCTTCATTAAAGTTTTAAAATTTCATATTATTTTTACGAATATTAACAAATTTATTTATGTTGTAGAATGCGAAGAGTTCTTAAAAAAAATTTCGAGACCGGTCCTATTTTTGCCACTTACTGCAGTCGGCAATCCACAATCCTTTGATGTACAAGAATGTGATGCCAGCAATGTGCACCTCATTGTTGGTGGCGAAGAAGCCAAAGTTGGCGAGTTTCCTCACATGGTAATTGTTAAAAATTTTTTATTTATACACCTGGACGAAAAAAATCATTGCTTTTATTTAAACTTGTTGATATTTATTCTCGTTTGAAAGTAATTCAAGAGCTCACCATTCTGTATAGTTTTCAGTTCCAATGCCTAATTTTGGTGTAACTAATTACACAGTCTAATCACTAATTAGTGTGGTGACAGGACATAATGAATACTTGTAATTAAGAGCCCGATTATTTTGGCTGCTGACAGAGAGCGATAAAACAGTTAATAATGGGCCCGAGTGGAAGCTAACCACTTTAGCCACATTCACCACGCAGCGGCTCACTTAATATTCACAGCCTGTTGCTCGCTGCTCTCGCCTCCCCGACGAGCGCAAATTTTAGTCCTTTTGTTCCTTTTAAAGCTTAATGATTTGCTCGGTCTATCACACACACCCCATAAGTTCAAATTCATGGCACTTTTGTTTCAGAAATTTTTTTATTGATGAAAATGAAACTTTGAAGATTTTCTACATAATAATTTATTCACAGTGATCAAGGGTTGTATAGCGTTGTTTTTATTGAAAAAGGGCATCCTTGATGGTTGTTTGTGGTTTGTTTATTAATTTCTTAGAAAAAAACTCATGCTTTTGTTCAACAACTGTCGTTTTTTTTCGATCAAGAACCTGCCTTTTTTCAATTAAAACAACACGGACTTTTATTTTTAAATTTTAGCTAGAATATAAATTTGGAGCTTTGCCCCCTCAAACTCTTTTTCAAAGCTAACTTTCTCTTTAAAAAAAGAACTACATTCGGAATTTTTTTTTTAAAATCTTCCAAAACATCTAGCCTCATTAGCAATGCAAATCAACGCCTACAACCTCGTTTCAATTCAAATCCCCTAAGGCCAATTGACGAGATCTCCGAGCTTAAGTTTTGATCCTGGTCTCTCTCGCTCGCTCTGAACGTACGTGTGTCGAGGAGGAGAGAATTTTGGACCCGAGTAAGCTTGTTGGACTGCAATTAGCTCGTCCAGGTGTATTAATAATTGCAGCGGAGGCAGACTAATTTGGGCGTTTAATTAGGCAGCCCTGGGCTACGGAGAGGGCGAGTGGCTGTGCGGAGGCAGCCTCATTAGCGAGCGCTATGTGCTCACTGCGGCCCACTGCATCGGCAACGACAGGTATGTACATTTCCATCATACAAACGGAGACATACACGTAGTCAACAACGAACGGCCTGCAATTAAAGTAAGGCCTAGCAAAGCATGTGCGCCGCGCCACCTGCATCAAATATGTACGGATGAATGTGCTCCCACAAGCGGAATTGCATTTGCATCTCAACAATGCACTAATGCACGTTCGCCGTTCCGGTTTTGTCTCCATGGAGGACAACTTAATTTGCAAATAACTCTCGCATCGAAAGCATTTAATTTCCCAATTAAGTATTTAAATAATCGATAATTTTAGTAAAAATATCACGCGTACAACTTAACAGGAGAAGAAATATGTAAATAATTAAATAATGCTGCATTATATATATATCAATATTATTGATAATTAGTTATGATATTATATTTTATTTTCAAATTTGAAGCAGTCTTGTAGACATTTGTTGCGATTCCAGAAAATAATAAATATTAAATTAACTTCCTCATAATATTATTACAATACCATTTTTCGTAAAATTCAAATTTCAAATCAATTTATCATACTCTTTTGAACTTTCAGAAATGATTAAACATCTCTATTTTTTTAACCTGTGTGTTAATTTTACTAATATTCTAATCATTTAGAATTTGATTGGCAAAGAGCTCAATTTTATTTCCTCCAAAACCCAAAGCTAAAAAACCTGATTGCAATAATTTTTAGATTTTTAAAGCAATAAAATTATTTAATTATGCTCACATAGGCTCAAACATTAATGTTTCTAATTGCTTCATTTCAAATGATTGATTAATTAAATTTGGAAGCTGAAGGAAACATTTGTGCTGACATAAATTAATTAAGCAGCTTTGCCCTTTCCAATAACTCTGCGCCGCGTGACAGGTGTCCGCCATCCCATGATTACTCTCTCGCTGTCGCTAATTTGTTCTGCTACTCTGCGCTCAGTAGCTCCATGCAACAACGCTCTTTTGATCGCAATAATCCAGGCGTGCTTTTGTTTATTTTTAGCCTCATTATAAATAAATCAAATATTGACTTTTGGATACACAAGCCGCCGACGCGGTCTCTGCATTAATAACAAGCTCGGGCAAAAACTTTGGCCTTTTGGGCTAAATATTTCAAGCGACGCTAGCCAAGCGTTTGGTTGGGCAAATTTGAACAAGATTATAGCGTAAAATATTGCATGATCAAGTGGGGAAAACGTTGGATGCAATTTGTGTTTTATGTGCCGGCGCACAAGGTATTAAAGTTGCTTTTTTAGCATTTTTGTTTACATTGGATAATATCGAATGCCCAAATCTTGCTGCTCAAGCTTTTTCCATTACATTACAATTTACAAAGTTTGGCCAGAAATTCGGTCAAAAATGCTTTTGCTGCATACTTTTTATTCCGTTTTAAATGAATAACTGCATCAACGCCTGTGAATTTTAGCCAATGTCAGACGCTTGCTCTGGAATAAAATAAAATGGGCACGGTTCTAATTTAGTTCCAATTATTGTCTATAGACGCATCACTAGGCAAAATTATAAATTCCGTGAAATTTATTTATAAAAAAAAATACATTATTAATTCTACAAAAACAAAATAATTTAGATTAATTTTTTATTTGTTTAAAAAATATTACAATTTTGGCATTTTATTTTACCTTTAAAATAAAAATCACTTGTTCACTTTAAAAATATGATATGGAATAATTCTTGTATTGAAATCTCACCTAAATGTCACACTTTTTTGTTGTTATTTTTTCCCTCTAATGGTGACGAGCAGGTGGTGCAAATTTTCCACGCCATATCATTCGCTTGTTGTCACGGACCACCGCACAAAATGAGAATAAATCTCTCGTCATTTTTGCGAAACAACTGCGCGTGTTTATTGGTGCGCCGCGGTTCAACGCGCAAAGTACAATATCGGGGTCTTATACTCTTTTCCTGCAGCCAAATAAAACGTAAAGGGCACGACCCGCCGGCGCTTTGCAATTTAAATGGTTCCACGCGTGCTCTCGTACGGAAAAAGTGAGCAGCGGCTATGAAAGGCTTGCAATAAATCACAGCAGCGACTCGTTCTTGTTTATTTTAGCTGAAAAGTGGTCTCTGCGTCAAAGGCAGTGGTTGCGAGCCCGAGGCCGCGGCAGATGCAAAGAATTTCCGAGATGGAAAAAATTCACGCGTTTTGCCCGCAGGACCATTAATAAATGGCATCATTAATCTCCCTGCGGAAGAGCAGTCAGTGACTCATCGCGAAAATAAAAGGCGGAATATGTTTGCCTCGTTGATTGATTTCAACGTTTGAACGGAACAGATATCTTTCACCTTTCTTTTCTTACTTATTAAAGCCATTATTATTTTTAAAGCTCAACAATAATACACAAAAAGAAGGAAAAAAAGCAACAACAACTTTATATAATTATTTACATACCAAATGTGTTGCTTTTCATTTCAAAATGTACAACTTTCATTTCATGATAGAGAGAACAAGAAATTTAATTTAAATTTTGACAAGATCTAATGTGAGAAAAATTCAGTAAAGTAATTTCTAAAAATAATAATTTAATTATTAATTTAGGCATACATTAATTATGATGACATTTTTTTCTTAAATTCTTCAAACCCCCTTGTTTTTACAATAAAAATGTTTGCTGCATAAAATTTGAGTAAATAAAATTAAAAAAATACACTTTGTCCTTTATTTTCAGGGGAATAAATTTCAATAATATTTATCCAGCTCATAAATAATATGTAAAAGTCTGACATATTGAGAGTTGTATAGAAGTTAATTTATAAAACTAATTCAAAGATTGCTTCCAAGATCACTCAAAAAGTCAACATATTACAACATATTATTATTATTTTTAGGGTTGGAGATCCAAGAATAGTGCGTCTTGGTGAACACGATTTTGCCAGTGACAATGATGGTGCCTCGCCTGCCGATTACGGCGTGGAAAGGGTCATCGTGCACCCAGAATATCGTCCACCAAGGAAGTACAACGATATTGCCCTGATCAGATTGGACAGAGATGTGAACTTCACACAGAAAATCAGACCAGCGTGTTTGACGGACGTGTCGCCACCAATCGGAAATATGGTCACAGCGTCCGGCTGGGGCAGAGTTGGATTTTGTGAGTTAATTTTTTTTTAATAATTTGTTCTTACAGTTTCTTTTAATATTATCAATTATTTCACATACTACATAATTAATATTTAATATTTTTTTATTTTATTTAAATATCCATACCCACAGTGCTATAATGTTCGTCAGCAACGTCTTATTATTCTTGGGAAGTTGATGATGTTGTCCCTTGAAAATAGACAAATTTGTTTAATTTTTATTTAATTTTATTTAACAAACTATTCAATTGTTGAAAATTACAAAATAAGCAATTTATTTATTAAAATGAATAAAATATCTATAAAACAAATGTTTAATAATATTTTAAATTTATATTTTATAATATAAACTTTTTAATAAAAAGCGAATTTCTGTTATTGTGCATAAGTATATTATTAAAAATAAAATTTGTGATATTCTTAGTGTAGTTTTAGTTTTGGAGTTAGGATAAAAAAGATATTGCCTAGAATACTGTAAATATACAAGAAAATCTATTTTTAGAAAGACATGGCAAAATTTTAACATGAGGTATTTAAATTAAACCCTCTCTGCCAAAATAATGTTTTTTTCAGAAAATTTATATCAAAGACAAGGAACGTAAAAAATATTCATATTTGTCTACATTTTTTTTTTAAATTTGCACATTTTTCGATCTTTTTTTGGCAACAAAATAAGTAACGAAAACTAATGCTCGGGTGTATTTTTTAATTCCAGCTGAAGACCAGAGTCCGAAGCTACTAAAAGTTGCCTTCCCTGTGGTGAGCGAGCGGCAGTGCACGGAGCTGTGGGCAGGCAGCATCAAGGTTTCCACAAGCACCCTTCCCCGTGGCATAGACCACCGACTGATGATGTGCGCCGGTCGGCTCGAGGGCGAGAAGGACACGTGCTTTGTACGTTTAACTAGACTCAATCAAGACTAATGAGTCGAGGGCCGCAGTGAATAATAAATTTTAATTCGCAGGGCGACTCCGGGGGCCCGTTGACGGTGCGTAGCGCCCAGAACACCTGCGTCAGCTACGTCGTCGGCGTCACCTCGTTCGGACGCGTCTGTGGAGGCAAAAACTCACCAGGCATTTACACCAGGGTGTCGCAGTTCTTGCCTTGGATCGAGCAAAACCTCTGGCCCTACGAGCAAAACTTTTAGTATAATGGAAAAAATAGATAAATTTTTATGAATTGACTGCTAATTTAAATTTAATCAAAATTAAGAAAGAGTGCCATTTTAAAAAGAGTATAGAAATCAAATGTGGCACTTAAATGTAGCGCCAGAATGAAAATTTGATGTAACAAAATTCATGAAATTAACCAAATGGAGTAGACTTTTCAGAGCATTTGCGTGCAAATAAAAGTAATATCTTTATTTAAGTTTACAAAAAATGTGTTTAAGTTTAATCAGGTACAATCCAGGCACATTCATAAAAAAGTTTAATAGAATTCTAGGTTTTCAAGACATTAAATCTGTAAGGACATAATTGTTGAGTTTTAATTAATAAGTGCTAGTATTTAAATTAGTTTTTAATATAATTATAAAAAAAAGTTTACGTCGTAATACAATTTTATTAAAGACTATTACGAAATATTGTGACAAAGTTTTTTTTTTAAGAAACGCGTTAAGAATAGTGATTACTTATAAATAAAATATCTTTGGAAAAGTACTACAATTTTAGAAGTTAAATTAAAATTAATTCAATAGTGGATAAAAATTTTCTTGCAACTGGATGCAGAAATCACCGGAGAAAAAAAATTCACTCCATTTTTAGGTTAAAAATTAATTAAGCTGTGGCTAATCTCGAATGAATTTATATTATAACTTCACTTAATTTTGCGGAAATTTAAATGTAATCATTAAAAAATTAATTGAAACAGAGTAGGAGAGCGTAGCTGAAACTAGCCAGAATTTTATTAAAACGTTCATTAATCTGCTCCCATTAAATCAATCCTCGATGTAAAATTATGCAGAGCTAGTAAAGTTGATCATCTCACGTCCCACGCTGAGTCTATAATTATGTCTATTTATTTTAATTAAATCAATCGCGAATTATTAACTTTTGCATTATTCATAAAAGATTAACTGGCAATAAGACCTTTGCTGACAACGAGCAAAAATAAATTACTAGCACTTTTGAGGACTCGATCGAGTGAGCAGCGGCCACCTGTAAAGTCTATGCTGCGAGTTTTGGCCAAAATCTACGTGGGGCTTCCTTTTTTTCACTACAGCACATTCCTGCTCGTTTCACACGAGCTATACTGCAATAATAATGAAAAAGTAATATCACACTTTTCATCAATGATCTGCCAATTAAAAGGAGAGTTTCGCCGGTGTGCGGTCAGCGGACACACAATTGAGAGTAGAAATTCACGCGGCTGCTATGCGATCCATCCATCCATCTCTTCCATAACAATAAAGTGTTATTATTATACCGGCGGCCACTTTCCTTCTCAAGACTGCGGGAGAAAGAAATATTACAAAGAAGATATGCGAGTGTGTGTTTTAATTGAGCGCCGCATTTTTTGCCGAGTGGCTAATGAAGATTACGTCTGGACGAGCGATGTGCATCGCGGCAAATCAAAACTTTCCAAATGCAGTCATGTCCCACAATAGTGCTGAATCAAAGCGCGGTAGTAGTGGTCGAAATGTTTGGGGCAGTGTGACACGTTCAGCTGGAGAAAAATAAGAACTTTAACAAGAAAACGAAAAATTAAAAAAAATTTAATAAAAAATTTAACGTTTATGCTTCATCTCTTTTCACATTTTTTGATAAAATAAATTACATGCTATGTTTATATTCTTTTTTATTAATTTTATGTGAAATCTGATTGAATACAGTTTCATAGTTTTTTAGTTTATAATTAAATAAATAAAAAGTCTAATTATATAACCTTAAACACATTATATAACAATAATTTTAATGGCTTCAAGTTAAATTGGTGATTTCAAAGTATCACAGTAGTTATTAAAATATTTATGGACTACTAAACCCAATTAATTTTCATAATTTGAAATAAATTCTTAATAACTTTTTGGAATTTACATTTATTTGCTTCATTGTTTGATTCGGTAAGACAAATTTTTGTATTTAAATTCATTATTATATAGCTGATTTTTTTAACCAAATCAATTTTTGCACTGCCCTCGGAGTGGGCAGATCGACTGACTGCTCACTGGGAATAAGTGTATATTTCTCTTTATAGTTTCTCTGCACACGTGAGTGTCGAGCGAGACCTGCCTCGCGATGCAATAGAACTCGCACGTTTATTTACTTGGAGGAGCAGGACAGCGAGTGGCCGCATAACTCGCTTAAGAAGAAGCCGTAGCAGGGCTTGGAAGTATCGACTGCATGCGCCCGCCGAGCGGCTCAATTCGGGCTGGACAGTGTGTGGCTGAATACAGGTTGCCATGGCTGAAGGTAGGCAAAGAGCCCTTTTCGATTTTGGGCCTTCCAAATTGTTTGCTTTGCATTATGCAGTCTGAGAAATAGTGGTTCCGTCGGCACGTCTTTTGCCCCTCGGCGAGGCTTATGCTCGAACGTGGTTTCACTAAAAACTCGGTTCGACTCACCCTTTTTTGGGGTGAATTTATATCTCGCGGCACAGGCGCTGCAATTCTATTTATTTTTCATAAAACGCGCGGCACTTGCTGTATTTCATACAAACTAAATTCATTTCAAAATGTAGGTAGAGATTTTTATGGATTTCTAATTTTCTTGCTGTCCATTTAATAATTTTGTTACATTTACGTTTATAATACAAATTATCGTAGTTAAATTATGGGCTTTGAATATATCATTCATCTCAATCTGTAACCAAACTGAAGTTTAAAATCCTTGAATTTAGCAAATGTTTTGTTATATTAAACTGATCATTGAGAAGTTTACTACAATACAGTATTTATAATAAGATTTAAAGCATAAAAACCTTTTTATTGCTTCCACCTTTACCAAAAATGACGACCATGAAACAACAATATTAAATATTGTAAAAATTGTAAAAAATTAAATATATTATTATTGTAAAATATTTTTATAATTTTAATTAAATAAATACAAGTTAAAAATTTTAAATTAGTTATTAACTGTAAAAAATTTAAATCTAATATGGAATAACTAAGATATTCAATTAAGATCATCAAGTGAAAAATTCATTATTAATTTAAAAATCGACAAAAAAAAATTAAATTCTAATTTTATGAATATACGATGTTGTATATTCTATTTATGCATTTCATGTCAGAGCCCTATCCACGCATGCTATAATTTGGTGCTGGTGAGCAACTCCCAAAAACGCACAATTGATGGATTCTCGATCAGATACTCCCTATTTATGGACGGGGAGCAAAGCACTCAATCTTCTGCTGCCCTCGTGCATGCAGTGTCCTGAAATAGCCAATCACCCTCTTGCCCGGTCAAAAATAAAATATCGCCGCGCGTTTATGAACCGCGTGTCGTGCAATAAATATTCATCAGATTCCTTGCCTTTATCTCTTAAGCACAACTGCTGTTTCATTAGCTCACATTTCAGGCAGTGATAAAAAAATTACTGAACAAAATAGTTCAAAGTACGTCAGCTCTTGCTTCATGCAGTCACGCTAGACAGAGGAGAATTTTGAATTTTTTGTCTCGTGGGGAAAAGGCCAAGGAGGGCATAAAACAAAAAAAGCCACCTGTGAAATGCCCATTCTGCGCTCGTCAAATATTTAACTTCATGTCCACTGCATAAAACGGGCATCCATTTATACTTTCAGCGCTTTCTTATGTTGCAAGAGCCAAGGACAGGACCATCTTTTCGCGTCTGTCTCTATAATTAATGACGTAAAACACGGTATGACTTTTAATCCTGGCGGCGCAAAGGGAAAATCGCGTTTCAAAGAGAAAATTTAAGCATGAAAATCTAACGGATTTATAAATCCGGCTCTCTTAAGATACTTTTTTTTATTTCAAATTTTTTCTAGAAAGTGGTTTTGTTTTTCACATTTGTATCTTCAATCGATATTTCACGGCGGGCAACGAGAAAACCAGTTTCCAGAGCAAAGTGTACTCGCTCGTCGAGTGCATGACATAAAGTGCATAACCTACATTCAAAGCGGGCTGCGACTTTTGCGCTTTCGAAGACCCATTCTCAGGTCGCGCACGGTAATTATAATATTTTATACATTCAAACGCCGAGACGAGATCACGCTTACGCAAGTCAAGTTCGTTCCTTCACTTGGAATTTTTCGGCACACTTAGTTAGCCGCGCACGCCTCCGTTCATTTGCGAACAAATGGAGATTGAAATTAGAAATGCTCATAGAGCTTGTAAAATAATTTATGAGTACAATGAGAGCCGTTGTTTCAGCACTGATTGTGAGACGAAAAAGTATTTTTGAGATAATTGAGATTATTGATTTTGTGGTTTTATAACATTGCATTGAGGGGTTTAAATTTATACCATCTATGTTATTTTATTTTCATAACAAAAATGAATTCAACGGTATTTCTCGGCACAAATTAAAAATTTTCGTAAAATATATATTATTTATATTTCCAATTGAATTAATTAAAACAACAAGCCTGATAATCATAATATCTCCCATCGTTTATTGATCTTCTGAATGCTGAAACAAACAACCATGTTAGCAAAGGTAGTATTTAAAATTTTTCTTAATTGGATATAATTTTTAATATTATTATTACATCATTAACTAAATTGAAGTATGAAAATGAAATAAATATTTTATTTATTTTATAGTTTGAAACAAAAAATTGTTTTTTATACCAGTTTAAATTGTCATTAATTTCAAGATGTTTGATTTTTCCATAAAAGACGTTTGCAATTGACGTTAATGACCGTTACGACAATGTTGCGAGAAAGATTGTGATCTGTTGATATAATGAGCGCGTAATGAAATTCATTGGCCGTTTTCTTGCGTGTTTTAGTGCTGCCTGGAGTGGTGAAGTGCGGCGCGTATGACTATGATGACGGAACCCGATACGTCGGCGATTGGAACGCCAAGGGCCAGAAGCACGGCATGGGTCACCTTGTGCTTCCGGACGGCACCCGTTACGACGGCGCCTTCAGCAATGGTCTGTGCGGCGGCCTCGGCGTCATGAGCTTCCCCGACGGCGCCAGGTTCAAAATCCAATTCGCCCACAGCCATAATTTATCATATGCTAATTTTGGTGCAGGTTCGAAGGCGAATTCATGCAGGGCTGGTTCCACGGGCACGGAGTCTTCTTGCGGTCGGACGGCATGAAATTTGAGGGCGAGTTTCGCGGCGGAAGGATTTGGGGCTTAGGTAATTAATTTTATTAAATACAACACACACAACACATGTGTTGTTTAGAAGAAAAATAAGGATGAAATAAGCATTCTCTTCATTTATAAACGTTATAAATTATTTGACAATAAAAAAATAAAAAATTATAGATTCTTTGTTGAATAGTTGAATATAAATAATAAGTAAACCATGAAATGTTGAGCTATAGAAAAAATAAGAATTTTGTAACTTATTTTTTTGTATCAATACCAATAAATTAATTGTTTTTAACCCTCTCCATTTAAAGAAAATATCATTTTTTTCAGTCTATTTAAGGAAATTTTTAAGTTTTTATAAAGTTATTAAGATATTTAAATTAATCTTTAATTTTACAAAGCTTCTTAAACTTTTTCCAGCTTTTTAAAGAATACCAATTTTTCTTAATTTTAAGCACTTTTTATTAAGTTATTTTGCATATATTATGTAGTTTAAAAATTTATTTCTACCTCTGAAAATCGGCCGTAACAGCGACTTGGTAGAAGTAAAAACTTAACTATGATTTAATGAATACATATAAATTTCACTAAACAACAGCAAATTAGGAAGCATAGATTACAAATTTTTATAAATATACTTCTTGACTGTGATTAATACCCTTTTCTTCCTAGTATAAAAATTTGCCATTTCACTAACTGAAAGTGACATAGAATTCAATTGCTGATGATTAAAATATGTTAATCAAAACACCAAAATTTAATTTCAGGCTTAATCACCTTTAACGATGACACCCACGGGTTTCCCCGCAACGAGGGCTACTTCCAAGATTGTCGCTTTGTCAGGAAGAAGACCTGCCCTGACGTGATCCAAAGAGCGCAGAAGGTGGCAATGATGGCCAGGGCGCAGTGCGACAACTAATTCTCAAGTCAGCAACCCCACGGAAATGCCAAAGAATAATTTTCTAAGACACACGGCACCAAGCAAGACGTTTTGTGCAAACTTTCCAAATGATAATCAATTTTTGTTTTGAAATTGCTGTAATTTAAAATGGTGTCGATGATGCTGCCAAACAGAGCAAATTTAATTACTTCCAGAGTTGCTCGAATGAGTCATTAAATTTAATAATGATAATGAACCAATTTGTCTTCTTTTATTATAATTATAAAAAAACTGCAATTATAATCCTTTTTATAGCCACGGAAATTAAATAAAAAAATTATCTGCGAAATGCTGTGACGCAATTAGCGAACGACCTTGCCATTTCTCAGCAAAAATGCGGAACGGCCGCAGCACTTCCTCTTGCAAACGAGGCGCGAGATGTGCTTTGTTTGCGCCCTTTCGGCAGTTAATCACTCAAGAGGGCATCATACCGCGAGGGGGTGCGCGCACAAATAATTAGACAGCTCGCCGCACTTTCTAAACAAACACGATTTCTGGTGCGCCGGCGACGAAATGCGGCGCCATAAAATAATAAGCGGCTAATAAAGAGCAGAAGGGCAGAGAATAACGCGAAGCAGGCGGCTTAATTATTTTCAGCGATTTCGTAATCGCCGCCACGGGCAACACATGCTTGCGTCTCTTCTCGAACACACTCGCACAGCACGCGCTGCTCGCACGCGAGACAAACTTTCTCAGCCGATAATCATGCCTGAATAATAAAGCAACTTGGAAAATAAACTTGTGTCATCTGCCTGACAATGCCATGCAAGGGAAATTCTCTTTCTCCCGCCGCTCGTCTCGTCGGTAATAATAATTTGCAAATTGCTGTTTTGTTTCTCGCGTATTATGGGAATGGGGCCAATTCAAGTTCACTCTCGGCAAAAGAAGATTCTCTCCTGACTGCGAGATAAGGAAAAGGATTGCGCCGAGTTTCTTTTTTTTTTCGAGCACTCTAACCTTCGGAGGTGACGGGTCCGCCTGTAGCGAGAGAAGAAGGAGCATCTCCACGCCGATCGAGGTTACCTCAGAGATGCGCACATTCGCTTTTTCGCTGTATGGGCAATCAGACATTTGAGCAAATCTCGCTGCCATTGTAACCAGCTGAGGCTGGACGACCTTTCTCTCCGTCGCCGCCGCATCTCAGGTAAGCAGTTTAGCGTTTAAATGCGCCTGAATACTCAAATTTTGGTCGCTTCAATGGGAATTTCGGTACATATTTGCGCTCTTCCTCTTCAAAAGGAGGCATTGAGAACACTAATCAAGTAAATTTGATTCAGTATATTAATATTCAGTGGAATTGTACAATCTGGAGCAAAATGCAATAAATTAGAACTCAATAAATAATTATTAACAACAATATTCAAAATTATTATATTATTATTATTTTCTTTTTTGAAAATTTCCAACAAATGTGGTGACACGCTTCAAATTAAATTTGACTTAATAAATTTAAATTGCTTAAACAAGTTAATGTGATTATGTATGTGAAAACCAATATACATATATGTAGTAAATTTTAGTTTAAAAATGTGAAAAAAAAACTGGATAAATTAAACTTTTGGTTTTTATGAGATTGTGCAGTTATAATTTATACAAAATTCTGTTATTCTTTATTGGATATGGACACAATTTCAATAAATTTTAATTTTAAATGTAAATAACATTTCAATATAAAATTTATTGTCGCAATATATAATTAAACCAAATTCCACGCTCCAACAACATATTTTTAAATATTGTTAAGTAAAGGCATGTAAGAATATTTTGATACAGAAAATTTATTATTTACGCCATTTGATCAGTTGATTAGTTGTAAAAAGCTATACTTTAGTAAATTTCAATATTTAGAAAAGTTGACAATAAATACAAAATAATTAAATTACAAGAAATAAAATAATATTAAATAATTAGTAAATATAATCAGAAGATGATATTATGTTTGAGACTTTAATAATATAATGATTGTATTTATTAATAATTAAATAATTTTTGTGCTTGGCAAATTGAGCCGCCTATCGTGGTTAAAACTGTGTTAACTCCACTCAAAAACTTCTTTAAATTTATTTCTTTAAATTCTAAATTTATCTGGGACCTAGATTTTCTTTAGATTAAGCCTATTGTTCTTTTTCAATGCAAGATTTCAATGTATTGAATGGAGAATAAATAAATAAATTAATAAAGGATTAAAAATAATGCTAGCTATTATTGGTTCAATAAGACATTTTTTTTACCTATATAATGATAATAAATAAAAACTTATTGATAAGACGCGATTGAAGGGGAAGGGATTATGTAATTTGAATTGTGGAATTCCATAGAAGGAAAACTTATTGAACTTTTACCAATTGTGAATTATAATTCCAACGGCAGAGCAAAACCATTTTGTACTTTTTTTCTACGATTGAGGGTCGATTAATGTTGAATTTAATAAATAGAAGCCTTTTCCTTGTTGGTTTTTTTCACGGGGAAAAATATCCTGCTCCTTGTTATTGCTATAAAAGGTCTAAAAAAAACCCACAAAAGAAAATGAGAATTTTTAATTGAGATCTCCATACACAAATTAATTTATTTCGCCGTTGGCAACAAGAAAAAAATCCTTAGTGAAGGCTATTCAGTTTTGGTCCACTGTGCAAGAATGGCTGCACAATACGCACAAATCGGCCACACGCTTGAGTGTGGCAACCGCGTTTCGGCGTGTGACATTTAACCTATCGTCTGTCTAATTATAACCGTTCACTCGAATTTGAATTGCAGAGATGGCCTCGAAATTGAAATCGCTGCGATGCTGCGCCGGCCTGCAGATTTTGCTGTTGGCTCAATTAGCGATGGGGCAGCAGTTCAAAATTAGCAATAACGTTGCCGCCAGCAAAGTCAATATGCCGTCGATATCCAATATCGAGGCGGACGCTTTCATCAGCAGGGCTTTCCAGGCCATGGAGCAAAAGTTCCTAAAGCAAGGTGGCCTAGGTACGAGTCAAACAACGTCCAAAAGCTCAATCAATAATAATCAATTTCAGAGGGCAGCAAAAAAGACAAAAGTCAAAACCTGACTGAAATGGCGCTTATTGCCGAGGAAGCGTCCAAATACATAGTCCACTCGTAAGCAAAAGGTTAAAAAGAAAGGATGATTATGTAATAATGATCAACCTCTAGATTTGGTCTTAACCGCGAACAAGTTATCCACGGACTACCGCTGGTGGACATTAGAAACACTCCATTAGGAAAGAAATGTCCGATCAACGTGGAACTGCCTTGCCAGCCTCGGAGGTACCGAGCGCACTCAGGGTTCTGCAATAATGTACAAAATCCTCACTGGGGAACGGCCAACACCCGACTGCTCAGATTCTTGCCCCCTGATTACGGAGAAGGTGATTTATTTCAAGAACAAATCCTTTTTATAAACTTAAAAAAATATCAATATCCGTCAAAAAGAAATTTCAAATTAATTCTCTTTTCTGCATAAGGAGATACAAGAAAATTAGCCACAGTATCAAATTTGATAATTTTAGTGATTTTCAGATCTTTTTGTTTTAAATAAATTTAATTAAGCCCTTATTTTTGTATAGCATTAAGCTTAAATTGAAACCAATATCTGCAAATGGAGTATCAAAGATGAAAATCACTAATAAAGTTCATATTAAGAGCGATCTTTGATTAAAAATCAAATAAATAAATATAAAGAATGAAAACTCATTTTTTTTTTCACAAATTTTTAAATTGTTAATTAATCCAATTTATTTCAATTTAAATTCTTTACTCATTTATAAAATTTAGCTTGACTATAAATAAATGCCTGCAAATTGAGTAGAACAAATTTAATATTATAAATTATTATTATTGTTGTTTATTTGTCCAAATTGATAAACTTCATCAAAGTTAATTATTTTCAGCAAATTTTTAGATTTCCCTCATTTTTATCTTTATCACAGTTCAACTCACCAGTTTGCTTTTTTCTATGTTTACATTTTGCAAGGTGTTAGCATTCCACGGCACAGCGTGTCCGGCGAGGGCCTGCCAAGCGCGAGCACCGTGTCTTCTGGGATCAAAGACTCGCTGCACCAAGTGTCCAACCACTCGCACCTGATGCCCATCGTGGCTGTGTGGGGCGAGTTCGTGGCCAACGACATTTTCCACACGCCGCGGATGACAGGTGAGTGAGCGAGTGCCGGTGCATGACCCCCGGCCGTGAGCAGGGTATGCAACTGGCGTAACCCGCCTGCTTTGCGGCGCAGTATTTATTGTCCGCCGCTAACGAGCGGAATAACAGGCTCGCTTGTGTTTCTTTTGATTAGCGGATGAAAGAAAGAAATATGGACTACGTTTGAAAAAAGACGCCGCTGGATAATTACACGAGCAAACTTACGCTCGGCTAGGAAAAGCTCTTTTCATTTTAACTGGAGCGGTGCCGCCCTGCGATGAGTAATTTTGTTCGTATTTTTGAAAAAGATTAACCGTGCCGGCGGCGAGCTGCTTCAAAAGAGGGCACGAATGTTATTTTCCACCGCATCTCTTTGTGGCCCAGTACACGCTTTCAATTGGTTCAAAAGTTTCTCTTGTTTTGTGGTGAATTTTATACCAACAACAAAAAAGAAAAAAATATCTATATTTTTTTTATTTGAGAGGAAATTTTTTTAGTAAAAGCAGCATTTTGTAAGTCATTATAATACATCAAATTAATTAAATTGAAGATTCATATGTCAATAAACTGTGCCATAAAAATTTATTCTTCATTGATGCTTGATCTCTTATCTGTTCTAATGTTGGTCAATAATCATGATGGTACTTCTTATAACTTTTACATGAAGACTTGAGTAACTACAAAGTAAAACTATTGATATCTTTTTGAAGATATTGATTAATCGTCCAAACTGCAAAGCGGTAATAACGTTGAATTTTAAATGATTTTATATTTCTTTCACTTACATGCATTCCAAACATACATTTCAATTGTAAATATTCATTTTACATTCATTGCAAAAAAATACACTAAAAGTATACCTGTTTTTTTTTTACGATAAATGCAGGAAATGATGTTTAATTAAAAATTACATAATTAAACAAAAATATAATATTTAATTAAAAAAAAAACATTATTTAAATAAATTTAAATTTTAGTTATTAAAATGTCATTTAATTTCAATGCCAAGGGAAACTACAATTCAGTTCTATTTTAGATATTCAAATGGCTCACTTAGCCTTTATTGTCTCAAATCCAATTTCTCGCAGGTCCAAAAGGCGAGCGCCTGCAATGCTGCTCCATCAGTTTTAATGAGTTCCACGAGGAGTGCTTCCCCATTGGCGTGACTGACAACAATTTCAAGCACGAGAAGAAATGTCAAGAGTACGTGAGATCGGCCACGGCCCCGCGGATTGGCTGCACTTTGGGTAAACCAACTTCACTCGCTCGCTTTGCAAACCGCTCTCGCTGAACCAAATTGAAAGAGAAACAAACTTTGTGCTGGCAACTCGCAATTTTCGCAGGCCCCAGGGAGCAGCTGAACAAAGCGACGTCCTACCTAGACGGCTCGGTTGTTTATGGAAATTCGTACGAGGAGGCAAAATTTTTACGCACCGGTTCCAAGGGCCACCTCCGCAGTTTCGTCACCAGCAGCGGGAAACACCTCCTTCCACTCGCTGAAGAGTCCAGAGACTGCAAAAATCCCAATTCCCAGTACGAGAGGCAAAAATTTATTTTTAAAAAAGCAGTGCTTGTGTTACTTTTCGGGTCATATTTTCGTGACAGAGTAGAGAGGAAAAGAGGAGACCCGCTTTAAAGATTCAACCCCTGCAACCCCTTGCTGGGTTATGCAACTGGCATGCCTCACATGCTTGGAAAAAGCCTTCGTTTTATCTCCGGGGGGAAACTCCGCCGTAGACTTTTTGTTGTTCTTGCGAGTCGCGAGCAGACGCTTAAATTAATGTGTTAAAAATTAATTTTCATTTTCCCCATCTACTCTATTCTGATGTAATTTTTAACCTGGAAGTTCCTTGATGAGTTTAATAATTTAGAGCTGGACGTTAAAACCGTACAGAAAAGGACGGATTTAATTCAGCCATGGCCGATCAGAAATAAACAATAGCTCGAAATGAAAAATGATAATGCATGGTATAGGGGAGTGACACACATAAATTGGAAAAAAAATAATCCCAAATTTTGAAATTTGACCTTTGAATTTTCAAATATTAACAAAAAAATCAATGAAAAATGCAATCTTTTAATTCACTTTGTAACTTATTAATTTAATGCCCATATTTTCCTTTAAAAAATTGGTAGTTTCGTTCATTAAGAAAAAAATGTAGAGGTAAAAAAAAAGTTGCTGTACATAAAATTGGCCTTATATGTGCCGTGAATCACTAATGAGAAGCTGGGCGTTGCAAAACTTAATTATTCATTTTGCTAATCAAAAACATCGTTTCTAATTTTGATTTTTTTAAAAATATGATTAAAATAAATCTAAATAGATGTGTTGTGCGATTAATGAAAGTAATAAAAATTTTCATTTGACTAGTGAGAATATGCCCCTATAATGCGGTGATCATAAACGTTGGTTGTTAATTTTCGATTGGCCACAGCGAAATGAAATCCATCTTATGGGCAACAGGGTGTAATGAAATTCATATTTGGCTACTTATTGATCGTGTGCGTGTGTTGCAAAAAAGGTGCTTTTTGGCCGGCGACCCGAGGGTTAACGACTATGGCGAGCTCACCGCCCTGCACACTTTGTTTTTGCTCGAGCACAACAGATTGGCAAGTGAACTGGCTAATTTAAATCCGCACTGGGGCGACGAGACCATCTACCAGGAGGCGCGCCGCATTGTGGCCGCCCAGATCCAATTCATCACCTACAACGAATTTTTGCCTGTGCTCCTCGGCCAAGTGAGCGCAACTTTTTAATTTATGTTTACAAACGAACTTTCCGTTTTTTGCTAGAATTTGATGGACTTTTACAAAATGAAGACGCAGAGCGCCGGCTACAGCGTGGGATACGATCTTGATTTCAACGCTGCCATTAGTAACGGGGTGGCAATTACCGCACTCCAATTTATCGCGTCGTCGCTGCCAAACGCTTTTAACTTTTACAACGAGGCAAGTTTCCAGCAAATATTGATTTCAGATTGAAACATTCACGTTCTTTATTTGCACAGAATAAATCAAAAGTACACATGTCCGATGGGATTAATCACGTGTTGAACGGTTTGTTGCAACACTTGAGTGATGAGAAAAACAACGCCGATGAGCCAACTAACGGTAAATATTATCATTTCACTTAATCAACTATCACAACTTTTGATTTTAAAAGTTCAAGTGAATTAAGCAAAAAAGCAGAGCATAAAAAGAAATATTAAAGAGACTCAATTTGTAACAATTTTTGCAAACAACCATTGCGTAAAATCTGTAATTATTTTAAATTGAAAACAAATTTTATTTATTTCCTAATTTTTGGCGCATAGTTTCTACCATTAAGCAAATAATGAATTTAAATTATTTAATGATTTTTTTATTTTCTGTATAGGTTCTTGAAGTTGTTGTTGCGGAAACTTTTATTTCAACAAAGATTTTTTATTACCTTTTTTCAATAAAAATTTAAATTAATAAAGAAAACTATAAAATTTTATAGATGGGCATTTTTTTTTATAGTTTTAAGGGTAATTGCTGAATTCCGAAAACGAAAACATGCCATTTTGGTTTTCAGATATGTTGTTGGGTATGATAAGAGGTACCTCTCCCTAAATTTTCAGATGAAAATTTCATGTGCTTTTCCGGGAAATTGGATTTCCGTAAAAAACAAAAAAATAGAATATCTTTGTTTCTAATAAGATATTTCAAGTAATCTTTTCACTTCCAGACGTAACTTTTTAAGCTGAACAACTTTGCCGTTGACAACTTTTGTGTAGGTCAAAGGTCAAGGTCACTAAATTACAAATTTCACTTTTGAACGCAATTTTAAAAAAGAAGCACACCTTTGATTTTTTTCTAGGTATAGGAAAAAATGTAGCCCCAAGTGTGTAGAACAATATACTTGATTTTCAAAATGGCATTATTTTTAGTTCAAAAGATAATTTTAAGTGAATATTAAAAAACAGGTAAAAATCGCTATTCGGCAATAGAAATTAATTTTCAAACAGCAATAACTTAGTGTCTGTGAGAGATACGACCGTAGTTGTAATGACAAAAAGTGTTTTAAATTACTTTTTCTATCGAATCATGTATTGGTTATCCATATTTGGTCACTTGAGGTTATTGACCCTCGTGACCTATGACCTTAAAAAAATATTTTTGCATGAAATTTCATACGAAAACATTGTTTTAAAAGTATTCTTTGATTTTTTGTGCCACAATTTTGATTAACCCTTTTTTAAGGTCATAGGTCACGGGGGTCAATAACCTTAAGTGACCAAATATGGATAACCAATACATGATTCGATAGAAAAAGTAATTTAAAACACTTTTTGTCATTACAACTACGGTCGTATCTCTCACAGAAACTAAGTTATTGCTGTTTGAAAATTAATTTCTATTGCCGAATAGCGATTTTTACCTGTTTTTTAATATTCACTTAAAATTATCTTTTGAACTAAAAATAATGCCATTTTGAAAATCAAGTATATTGTTCTACACACTTGGGGCTACATTTTTTCCTATACCTAGAAAAAAATCAAAGGTGTGCTTCTTTTTTAAAATTGCGTTCAAAAGTGAAATTTGTAATTTAGTGACCTTGACCTTTGACCTACACAAAAGTTGTCAACGGCAAAGTTGTTCAGCTTAAAAAGTTACGTCTGGAAGTGAAAAGATTACTTGAAATATCTTATTAGAAACAAAGATATTCTATTTTTTTGTTTTTTACGGAAATCCAATTTCCCGGAAAAGCACATGAAATTTTCATCTGAAAATTTAGGGAGAGGTACCTCTTATCATACCCAACAACATATCTGAAAACCAAAATGGCATGTTTTCGTTTTCGGAATTCAGCAATTACCCTTAAAACTATAAAAAAAATGCCCAGATTTGATCGGGTTTGATGAAATAACAAATTAAAAGAAACTATATAATTATAATTATATATAATTTTGTGTTGATTTTAAATTGCAATGTTATTAATTACACAAATTGTAACTGTCTTGGAGGGAAGGAGAAATTCAGTAAAGGCAAATTTATTTAATAAATTCCCAGACATTGCTGCACAAATTATCCAGCAAGGTAGAGATCACGGTATCCCGAGTTACACCAAGTGGAGGGAATTTTGCAACCTGACAAAAGTGGATAATTTCCTCGACCTGGCGGAAGTGATGTCGATCAAATCAATGTCAGCCTTGAACAAAATGTACAAGTACGTCTCACGCATCGCCTAATGTGAAGCGGTGCAAATTTGATTTGCGTGAAAATTTTCAGTGACGTCGACGATATCGATTTGTTTGCCGGAGGGCTCTCGGAAAATCCCCTTGAAGGAGCCCTTGTTGGACCAACATTTGCCTGCTTGCTGGGCCTCCAGTTCCACTACTTGAAGCACGGCGACAGATATTGGTTCGAGAACGACTTGCCCCCCTCGGCTTTCACGCTCGGTGCGCGCTCACATAATATTTTGCATCAAATTCCTCAGTCATCACATCCTTTCTTCTGCTTTTTTAATTTAGATCAGCTCACTGATATCAGAAGGACCAGCCTGGCCCGGATTTTGTGCGACAACGCCGAAATCCACGCGATCCAGCCGCAAGTGTTCCTCGAAGACGACGCCTATTTGTATACAATTAATTTATTTTCAACCTAAGATTATAAAATTTGAGTTGCAGAAACCACAAAATAAATTGCAAGGGGAACGCGCTGGAGAGAATGACTCTGTCGCCGTGGCACGTCGCCTCGCCCAAATTTATTCTGCCGCCAACTTTGCTGAGCGAGGCGTTTTCTGTGGCCAAGCAAGACGCGAGCAAAGTTTTGGCCCAAGAGCTTTCGCTCTTCCAAAACAGTAAATAATAATTTAAAACTTGCAATTGGACGTTGACGGAAAGTTTGCAGAAAAAACCGCGCACCCTCACTCACCGACGGGCACGGCTTTCGGATTCAATCGGCCCACAATCCAAGCCACCGAAATTGCCAACACGTCTTTGCTACTCCAATTCGCCTCAGCCAGTTTTGTCAGCAGTTTTCTCCAAGGGTGGATATTTGAAAACTTTATTGAATAAATTTATTATTTCAAACTGACGCTCTTTCAGGCAACTCGCTGATCCAGAAATTGGCCACAGCGGACCTGCCCCGCGCGATCTGAAGGAGTTGCTCAGTCTTTTGCCGACGGTTGACATTTCTGACGAAATAATCATTCCCAGAGTGTTCAAATGCGACGAGCAGACTTTACCGTGCGACCACACGAGCAAGTTCAGAACGGCTACTGGCTGGTGCAACAACCTGAAACGACCAGAACTCGGAAAGTCCCTCAGAGCTTTCACGAGATTAATCCCTTCAGTTTATGATGACGGTAGTTTTGATTGAAGTAAAATTTGTTTTAAACTAAAGTATTATTTCAGGATTAAGTATTCCGCGGTCCGTTTCTGTGCTCGGAGGGCCACTTCCGTCCGCCCGTTTGGTCTCGACGAGTATTCACGACGACGTCAGTTTTCCGCACACTCGCTACACACTAATGTTTATGCAGTTTGCGCAACTTCTGGACCACGACTTAACCCACACCCCTGTTCACACAGGTAAAACTAAAAATACGCTCTTTGTGCAGATTTCAAATTGGTTATTTTGTTCAAAAATATACTTTTTTTTAAACCGTTTTAGTTAAATTTCCTTTTAAAATCTTAAAAATTGGTTAATTCGAGTAAAATTATATTACAAAAATATATGATTTTAGTACGATAATAAATGATATCAAATTTTGACAAAGGATTCTTTAAAATATGTAAAAAGGTGACATCCAGGAAAAATATTAAATTTTTAAATGGTTAAAATATCTACGGTTCAATTTGAAAACCGTAAATTTCAGCTGAATCTAGGCTGTTTTATATCAAATATATGACCTATTTTCCTAGCCTTAAGTGAAATTAACTGAGAACAAAAACAAAATTCGTATTATTTCGCAGGCTTCCAAAACTCGATCCTCGAGTGCAAGGAATGCGACTCTCAAGTGACACTCCACCCCGAGTGCTACCCAATTCCCGTGCCCATGGACGACCCTTACTACCCCAACATCAACAGCACGACAGGAAAGCCGGTGTGCATCCAGGTCACTCGTTCCCTTCCCGGGCAGCTCACTTTGGGGCCCCGCGAGCAACTCAACCAGGTCACCGCATTCATCGACGCCTCGTTCATTTACGGATCCGACTCGTGCAAAATGGACCTGCTAAGGTCGAACGGCGGCTTCCTGAACGTCACCAGACATCCGGCGAGAGGAAAAAGCCTGATGCCGCAAATCACGACGCACCCCGAGTGCCGCTCGCAGTCCGGAAAATGCTTCAATGCCGGTGTGTAAATAAATTGGTTATGCTGCCCGCACAGCAGATAATTTTAAAACAAAGATAAAAAATGGTTCCAGAGAATTTAACCTGATTCATTTAAAAAAATATCAGGTTTTGTGGGATTTTTTAAGTGAAACATTCAAAATTAAATTTATTCCTATTTTTTGTTAATTATATTTGATTAATTAAATGACTTTGCAAGGCAGGAACTTTTTCCAAGAAAGTAATAAAATTATATTTGGATCGGAACCCAATAAAAATTGTAACTATCATTTTTTCGTTTCGTTCGTATTTGCTTTTAGGTGATGCGAGGTCATCAGAGCAGCCGGGTCTCGCTGCTATCCACACGGTTTTCATGCGAGAGCACAACAGGATAGTTTCCGAGCTGTCTAAACTAAACAGGCACTGGAACGCTGATACTCTTTACCAGCACGCGAGGCGAATTTTGTCAGCGGTCACGCAGAACATAGTTTACAGCGAGTTTTTGCCCCGTCTGCTCGGCATGGAGGGCATCCAAAAGTTCAGCCTGGCTCTCCAAGGCAGCGGCTATTTTGAAGGTACATATAATAAATTGGCCCCATAAATATTTATTACGGCCGATCAATTCAATTTTCTCTCACGCCAGGCTACGACGCGACCTGCGACGCAACAATTGTCAATGAGTTCGCGGCCGCCGCCTTTCGATTCGGGCACAGCCTTTTGAAGCCGAATTTGGGCCGCATGGACCACTTGTTCGGACACTCCGGACCGAGTGTCCGGCTGAGGGACACTTTTTTCAATCCTGACATTTTGTATGAACCGGGAATGGTCGACGAACTGCTCAGAGGTCTCGCCACAACTCCAATGGAAAATTTGGACAATCATATCACAGAGGAGGTCACAAACCATTTGTTTGAGGATAAGAGAATACCTTTCTCAGGGATGGACCTGGCTGCCATTAATGTTCAAAGAGGTAAAGCTTTTGTTTAAAGGATTAAAAAAATTTAATTTTATCGATGTTTTCAGCAAAATAAGATCCTATTTTTGCCGCAATTTAGTTTGTTTAAAAAATTAGCTTGAATAAATTTCATTAGTGGCAAAAAATATAATTTAATAATAAACAATTTAATTCTGCTCGATAGCAATAACACATAATTTCAATTTTAAAAATATTCTTATTCTTGTAAGTTTAAGTATCTTAATTTTTTCATATATACATCAAATTTTTTCGCCATTGATTTAGCAAATTTTAGTCAACTATTTAAGATCAATGAGGCAGCAAAATTTCAAATATTTTCAAAATTTAAATCAAGCAATTAAAATCACAAAATCTTCAAATAAATCATTTTTGATTGAATTTTATTGCTGGTTTTTCATTCCAAATAGAAAACAAATTAAATTGTATCTTATTTTTACACGCATCATAATTTTTATAGCTCGTGAACATGGAATTACTGGCTACAATGACTACAGAGAGTTGTGCAATTTGACCAGAGCCAGTTCCTTCGAAGACCTCCGGAGTGAAATTCCTGAAAACCTAATCCGGACTTTTAAACGCATTTACAAGCACGTGGACGACATCGACCTCTTCCCTGGAGGATTGGCGGAAAGGGCCCTTCTCGGTGGTTTGGTCGGCCCCACTTTCGCCTGCATAATTGGCCGGCAGTTCCATTTGCTGAAAAAGTGTGACCGATTTTGGTACGAGAATTCGGATCCGTTGGTGCGATTCACAGAAACGCAGCTGCAGGAAATCCGAAGAGCGACCCTGTCGAAAATCATTTGCGACAATTGCGACGGCGTGACGAGCATCCAGAAATCGCTCATGGATTTAGTGCACCCGTTCATGTGAGTACACAGAAGGCTATTTATAGAGCCGCAATTTTTATCGGATTTTCCGGTTAGGCTTGGTGGTGTAATAATAATAATAATGCGGGCGTCCATTAAAAATTTACGGCCGAGCCGTGCGGCTTGCTGGAGCCCGGAATGAACATTTTAAATTTATCTTTTTACGCACTTGATTGGGTTTAGCGCGAGATAAGCGAGGGCGCGCCAAAATCAATTTGCGCCAAATCTCTGCAGACAATGGAGCTGTTAATTTATTTTGCGATCGAAAAATCACGTTTCGCGCTCGCCCGACTTTGGAAACGCGTGCTCTACTGTACTTGATTCTTGCATTCAGCACAGGTCGTTTCATGCATATTTTATGAGGTAGTCGCGAGCGAGAGTGTTACGCATTCATGGATTTCGAATTCAAAATGCGCCATGTCTGAAATGTGAAAATGGAAACGAGGAAAGCTTTTCCCAAAAGTGGCGTTTGTAAATATTGCATGAATTACATACAGTCGGCGACCCAGCGGCCGTAAAAACATTTACTCTTGAACAAATTCATAAATTTTTGATTACGCTTAATGCAATCTTGTCTCGCGACGAGGAGAGCGTTTATTGGCATATGAATATTTTTTTCACAGCGAGAGCGAAATATATCAGAAAACTATAAAAATATGCTATTGATTTTTTATTTTTTATTAATTTCATGCAAGTAATTTTTAGAACAAATTTATATTCAAATTTTGTAATTACTTTTATGTAAATGAAGATTCAAAGCAATTTTATTTTTCCTCAGATTTATTTTGAGCTAAGTGGGCTCAAAGTTTCATTTCTAATGTGTTGCAATTTGCAACTTAATTAATCTTATTAAAATTCTGATTTTATTTTTTGTAATTTATTTTTTGACAATTTTTAGGAACATTTAGGAAAATATACAAATCGCCAAGACCAAGTTACGTTGACTAATAAATTTCTGTTGCAAATGTGCATTGGATCTTTATGTATATAAAAGGCATAAAAATTATCTAAACATATATTTTAATTAAGTGCATTGAAAACGTAACGTGGCATGAAAAATGAAAGTTCAAGATGTATAAAAAAATTATTTATTAAATATATATTAAAAAATAAAAATATATCATTTTAAGTAAATTTGTTATAATTACAGAAAAGTATTTCTAAGTATTGTTTAATACAAGTTATGAAAAATTATTATCAAAATATAAGAAACTTGTTTTCATCATATATAGGAACCCGCGCGTCAAGTGCAAATCACTGCCGTCCATCGACCTGACCCTTTGGAAGGAGCAAAAGTCGTGTACAAAGGACGGCCAGGAGATCGAGTTGGGCGCCACTCGGAAAATATCGCCGTGCGTCATGTGCACCTGCACTTCGGAGGGGGTGAGTTGAATTATTCTAATCGCTTTAGGGACACGAGCATTTGGCACGAAAACAATGACTGTGAAATCCATTTTGCAGCCGCTGTGCCAATCGCTCAAGATCGGAAATTGCTTCCAACTGGCGCGCACATTCAAGCCGGAGGCCGTGCTGGAGGATAACGTGTGCAAGGTTCAGTGCGCATTCATCTTCAGGGCGCTGCCCAAAGTCACACTGAACACCAACGAGCTGCTCGGTTTTTCGAGCGGAAAAAACTAGGCCTGCCCGAACACACAAAGAACAAGCTGTTTTATCTCGGCCGCCGTAAAAAACAAAACGAGTCATTTCATTGTCCAAGCTCGCTTCAATTTGGCGTGCAAATAATGGCGTTGTGAATAATTCACGTGGCATATGTTTATTTTTGCAATGCATCTATAAAAGAGAATACTGAATGAGAGAGATGTGAAAATACACAGTCCTGCTCTCTTTCGCATAACAAAGGAACAACGTACAAGAAAAGCATCAATTTTATATATTGTTTCGAGAGCGAGTCATTGTCCATCCAAAAGTAGTAAAATTTTATATAAATAAATCTCTAATTTTGGATCAAAGCTTTGAACGCTGTTTCACTCCAACCCGAAATATACCCTCATTCATCGCAAGGTGGCGCAAATCGATGCGAGTAGGAATCTGGGCTTATGCGCTGGCAGATGAAATCCAACCCAATAATCCGGTCAGTGATTTTTTTTCTCTCCTACTCCTGAAACTTTTGCACGGCCCTTGAAAAATTGAGTGCAAAACTCGTTTCCCTGCAGAAATCAGCAGGCTCAAATTTACGGCCGCTTTTCTAGTTAAAGATTTGCCGAATCGTAAATTTTTCCCCGCTCTATATATAAAAGCAGCGGCCCAATTATACCGACGGAGGAAAAGAGCCTCTCAGAAGGAAAACTAGTAGCGCTCGAAACAAAAAGTTTTATAAATCAGCGAGTCAGAAAACAATGCTCATTTTTTCTTTCTCTTTCTCTCTTTTGCCGTTCGACTCAATTAAGCGCAAACAAGCAAACTCAGGGCGACGAATGCGATGACTTATTTCCTTGCGCAAACAAAGCGGCAACCAGCTGAGTGAAAAAGTGTATACGTCGTTGCTCAAGCGCTTAAAATAATAACGTGTGTAGTGTGTCTCGCCAGCTTTTGTCAGTATAAAATGTGTGATCGCCTGCAAGTAGGCAACGCGCTCGACAGGTTGCCCCCATTTAAAGTTTCAACTGCTTTTCTTGAAGAGGAGGCACGCAGCTGTGCAAAATCTCTATTCTCTCAGTCAGAGTCGTTTTATGGAAATAATGGGGACATTCACAGCTTTATTTAGTGATAAACATAGAAAATAAAATAATTAAAAAATAAGCTATAATTACATAATAATTTGAGCAGATACGAAGGCTTTTTTCTAATTGAGCCTGGCGGATATTTTGAAGAAAACTAGGCTTTCCGCTCAAATATTGTCAATGTAAATTGTACTAAACTAACAATCACACAGAACCTTCTTTCAATGCTTTCTTTTTAATAGCATATGAAATTGGGAAAAAGCTAATTTCCATATTCAAAATTCTAGATACAAATTCTTCTAGATGATGTTGAATATTTTTTTTTATTATAAATTAAAAGCTAAATTCAACAACAGAATTGACGATTATCTGCTGTTAAATGTTCTTGATTTCATCTCTCGGATGAAAGGAGCCGAAAGTTTCAGACGGCGGTTCAGGAGGATGATAAAGCACCCATAAACTTTCTCGCCGCATCCGTCGGTAGCATTTACTAGCGGAATCGAGAATTTCCTGCGCCCGGCGGCTATCGTGCGAAATCTTCGAGTCGACCTCCTTCTTCGGGGAGGAAAGGGAAAAAAGTGGAAATGGTGTGCGAGACACGTAATTAAGGGACATATCGGCGGCGCAATAATCGCGTCGTTTAGGCGCGGGCGGGCGAGGGAGGCTGCGGCGGCGAATCGCGTGTGTAATGACAGAGCACTGCGCAGGAGTGGCTTACATTTGCAAGGAGCTGGCGCACAGCTCGCTCCCGTACTCGCTCGGTCGGCACTCAAAACACTTTACCCGGGATCACCAGAGCAGTATTGACTGAATGCCTGTGCCGTGTGTAGCTTATTTATGCATGCAACAGTTAGTTTTTAATGAGCGCTTAATAATTCCTGCACATTAGACGCGTGCTCTCGGTGCACCGATTAACACACAGAGACCATGGCCAAGAAAGCCAAAAAGGGTGAGTGTTTTGCTTTAATATTTCGCCGTGCCAGAATGAAATTATGTACGTGGGTGAGAGAAAGCAGAGCAAATCTGTCTGCGTGACACGCGAGTTTGAGAGTTTCGCGCGAGAGTGGCGGGCGCCTGCATAAAATATGGATAAAATCAATGAGAGAGGCTCGACCTGTCTCTCTCTTCTCTTTCTCTCTCGCGCTGGCTATTTTCGTCCCTGACTGACACCTCTCTGTATCAATTTTTTGTTGCTTCCCTCTTTAATCAGGAGAGGTGGATCTGGAGGAACTGAATTTCCAGCTGCCGCGACGGCACCGGACGGAGGAGCTCGCCAAACTGGCGAATTCGACCAAGTTCACGCGAAAGGAGATCCAACTCATCTATAGGGGATTCAAACAGGTTTGTCCGCTGCTCGTGGTGTTTTGTTCTAGCGTCGTGCGCTTGTATTATTTTCACCCCTTTGTCCGGCTAATGAAAGTTTAATTTTAACAGGAATGCCCCACGGGTCTCGTCGACGAGGACAACTTCAAAGCAATTTTTTCGCAATTCTTCCCTCAAGGAGGTAGGCCTGCTTTTTTTCTTTGTCTTTCTCTCTCGGGTATTATAAAAAGATAATGATTGCGACCATTGTCTTTATGCCTCGCGCTTTTATCGGCATTATTGTTTCTGCTGAATGTCACGTATTGATTTTGCGAGAGATGCAATGCATTGATGTAACAAAGGTTCGGAAAGCCTCTATTGTATTAGTGGTCGAACGGTTGACTGGGTTATTTATTGGTAATTCCTATTGCGGCGCAACAGGCACCGTCACGTTGATTGAAACTTACCGAGGCTGCTAATTTTACAAATAAATTTGTGAATATATTGTTAATTAGAATTCTCCTTGCGTATATTGTGAAATGAAAAAAAAATAAACTGAAGCTGCTGCTTATTTTTTGTTGTATGCGGATGAAATTATAGATTATTTCCTACATGCAGAATTATTATTAATTATTAGATAATTTACGTGAAACAAGTAGTTTGAATAGAGAATTTATCAGCTCATCATGAAAACGACTACAGAAATAATGTTTCCTAATGAATGGTAAATAGTATACCCTTAAAAGGTGTTAATATTTTATTAAATAATTAAATTCAAAGCGTTGTAAAAACAAAAAATTAAAAAGATGTTCACATTTACATTATTGCAAATAGTACCAAAAATAAATAAGAAATTAAAAAGTAAAACAATGAAATACTGATAAATGGTTAAAAATTTAAAATAATATTACTTTCTTTAAAAATCTCTGCTATATTGATTAGGTAACATAATTATAAATACTTCTTTTGTTTCCTCCCGCTTTAAATCTCGAAATTTCAAAAAAATCGGGATAGTTTTCATACTTTATTTATAATTTATTGAATTGAAATTATAATTCTACTTTTAATTTTTTTTGCAAATAAGAAAAAATCTTAATATGAGCAAATATTAGTCTACAAATTTTGACGTATCTTCATTATTTTTATGTTAAAAGGTGAGTTTAAGCTCGCCAACTCACCCAAGGAAACCAATAAAAAATTTTTCATCACGTTTCTTTACACATTTTCCTGTGAAATGGCATCTAAATTCCTGATTTCATTCTAAATTCCATATACATAAGTCTAGCTTCATCTAATGAAATTTTATTGAAAAATTCCTCCCTCTTGTGCAACCAATTGTGAGCGAATCGTGTCTCGTGTTTCTTCATTATTCGATTTGTTATTTACAGACGCAACGCAGTACGCGCATTACGTTTTCAACACAATAAAGGGCCAGACAAACGGCAAGATTGGATTCGAAGTAAATACAAATAAAATAGCGCACAAATTAAATAAGTGTCACTGAACAAAATCATAAAAAAAATTCCTTCTCAGGACTTCCTAAACATTTTATCTAAAGTGTCGCGAGGCACGACGCAAGAGAAGCTGCAGTGGATTTTCGGACTGTACGACCTGAACGGAGACGGCCTGATCACGCAGTCCGAGATGCTGGACGTCGTCAACTCCATATACGACATGCTGGGCAGGAACACGGAGCCGCAAGTCGAGACGACTTCGGCGAAAGAGCACGTCGAGAAACTCTTCCATGTGAGTAAAACGATCCCCCTCGAGAAATCACACTTTAAGCAGCATTTCCCCGCGCCTGCACACACTTCCCAACCCTGCAGGCAACCCTTGTGGGACGCGGAATAATGTACATTGACGGATCGATCATTCCCTATGTTTCGCGGAAAGTATTCCTTTTGATCCCTCAGGGAGTTTGCGCCCACACAATCATGATTTAATAACAAAATTCAACTATGGATTTTCTTGGAAATTAATTGATTAAATAGTACTCGAGAGCGATTTTTTTTAATAAAATATTTTCGAAAATTTTTAGATCAACAGATTGTTCCATAAGAAAAAATTCTAGTCATTTCTTCTTAGGCTATACTTCTTTAATTATGATTTTTATATTGGGTTTTTATAGATTATTGTTCAATATTTCAACAGCCGAAGTTAAATTAAAATTTAAAATTTTGGTTTCAACTCTTAGCAGTCTTTGGTATAATTTCATTCGAAATGTGTCATCACTTGAAGAAAAAGAGTGAATAGAGAATTTTGCGCTATTAATGATTCAGTGTCTTTATTGATATTATTATGATAAGTTATATGGTATTAAATTTTCAACAAGGAAACCAAATTAAGTATTATTTATAATTAGAAACCCTCGATAAATTTATCTTTAATGAGTTAAATTTGAATAATTTAAATTTTGCATTTTGTTTTGCTCATATATACCCTGTTTAATTTTTATGAATACTGAGCATGTTTTGCCCTTACTTTTATATTTCTTTTAAGCAGTTACAATTATGATTAAAAGAATTTAAAAAGGGTATTGAATTTTTCACAGCATAATTTGCATGCCAAATTTAGCAGCTATAAATTTTCCATTATATCTGGACGAGTGCTTTTTGGAACAATCTGCTGTCAATTTGTCAATTTCCACAAAAAGCACGAGATTTATGCGTGCGTGATGACTAAGCCAGAAAACAGAGATATAGAGACATTTCTGCCCCCAGAGAGCAGTTTTGCGCTCACCGCGATAATGATGGCTCGACTGTCAATTTTATTTTATCGCCCGAAAGTCAGAGTTCGATAACGCTCGGCAAAGCGTTGAAAAATTTCCCCACGGATATGGTTCTCGGTCACGAGAAAAACGAGCCCGGCTCTAATAGATTTGGCCTCTCTAGGAGAGCGAAAGCACTGATCTTTTGCCATTACTTGCCGACCCGAGTCTCTTCACGGTGTTTGAGATAATCTCGGAAATCTAGCGAAAAGCACCCTGGACAAACAATGCGGTTTTAATGGACGTAATGCGATCTGTTTGCAGCAAATTGACACCAACCAAGATGGAGTGGTGACCATCGAGGAGCTTGTGAATTGGTGTCTGCAGGACGAGAAAATTCTGCACTCACTCGAGCAGCTCGACACCGTCTTGTAGAAAAAAAAGAGAGTACTTTCAGATTTAAGTAAGATGTTAAATTTGAAATTCGCATCACTTCCGTAATATTCATATCACTGAGTGTGAAAACTTTGAAGGCATTTTCATGTGAGGCAAAAAAAAAAGATTTTCGTATCAATAAGTAAATGTCTTTTTTAATCGCATTTTGAGGAAAGTATGTAACGAGGGCACAATATGTATTTGCATTAAATTCACTGCATTCCTATTTTTATACTGCGCGCAACTAACTTTTGCAAAATGAGCTCCAATTCGGTGTGTAAATGTAACTTTGTTATTTATTTGATGTTGAGTTAGAAGCGACTCCTAGATATGTTTTCATTTTGGACCAAATCTCATCAAAGGCATCTTATATGATACTCACTGTTCACGTTTTATTAATTGACTCTATTTAAATGTTAAGCATGTATAGCTTGAAAAGTTATCTCTGTAAAATAATGCTGATTGTATTTGGGGAAAACGCTGACCAACCGATAGGAATTTTTTTTCTGCTATGAATTTATTTATTTTATTTCCTATGAGATTATTAGCATATTTGCAAACAAAGATATATTTAAATACATTTAGTTGATCCTCATTGTTTGAATGATAAAAGCCAATGCTGAAAATTTTGTTTCACACGTAATTATAAATTCTTCAAAATACTATTTTAGAAAAAAAAATATCATTATAACTTGATGTAATTTTTCAAATTTTACATTAAAAATAAAAAACTGAGTCAAAGGAAGCTAATTTTTCACAAAATTATTGCCCAAATTAAATTTCCTTGTTGGGAGGTTTGCGTTTTCCACCACCACATTCTGCGTTATAAAAATATCTAGTAATACTGTATAATTCAATAATAAAATTATACATAATATTATATTGTTACATTGGACCGGAGGGCTCATGCTGAAAGTCTCTATTTTCCTGCTGAAAGTTATTAGTGGCTAAAACATATATATTAATATTTATACACCATTTGAATGTTCTGCCAATTCCTCTGCTTGCTGACAGAAATCGCAAAAAGCAAAATTTTCAGAATAAAAAGTTGAACGTCCAATGGTAAAATATGCACTTAGCTGGAATTTTTTTGATAATATTGAGCGCAGTTTGAAAATATTTACTGTTAGTTCTCGAAGTAGAGGAAATTCCATTTTTGTCAGCCGACTCTTTAAAATTTAAACGTTATAGTATTTGTGTAATATCACAAAATGCAATCGAATCTTAAATTATAAAAAAATAAATAGTTTAGACAAATATCCAAAGATATAGGCCTAATGTGATCGCGAGTTTTGGTGTCACTCACTTGTTTATTAATTATAGAAATCGCCTAGGTTTTAAAACGATCATTTTCGCAAGCCTTTGCAAAGTGACCCTCCTTATGTCTGAAAACTCACGACTGTTAAATGTGTTTTTACGATTAAGAATCATTAATATTTACCTGCGAACCAAAGCACTCACTTGATGGGATCAATTGTTAGCTTTTCCTCATTTTTATTTCCTAATATAATAAAAATCCTTTATGGCCTCCCAGTGCAACTTTCGAGATACTAATTGCTGGGCTCTGAGCCTTCGCGAGTTCAAAAGTTTTGACGTGTCTGTGCATTTATATTTCATACACACGCACCCCAAGAATCCTCAGGCATTGATGTTGTCAAGTTCCTCTCTCACTATATACTTGGTATGCCCACGCGCTGAGTGAGTAAATGTGTTTCGCGTGGAAAAACACCGGAGAGCGCGCGCTATTTTCGGTGTTGAGAGAATATTCGTTTTTACCTCTTTCTCACGCATCTGCTTAAATACAAAAGCGAGAGAGAAAATCAATTGTTTCCTGCCGAGCACCACGGACTTGCTTCTTTGGGCTTCAAATAAAAATAAAAAAAATTTGCATGCACACAATGTGTTTTGTGTATAGTTGGGTGCTTACCACTCTTTTTTGTTAAGTGAAAATAATAAATTCGTGAAGGTGGAGAAGTAAAAAATGGACCAGTACAAGCAACACCTCCATTCCGTTTGGCGCGCACCCCAATTTTGTATGTACGCGTGTGTGTCTTTTATTATTTACTCTGCTCTCCCATGACTTGTAAGCTAATCGATGAGAGGTGAATAAAATGATGATAATAAAGTGAGACATCTTGGATAATGACATGCACCGCCGTATTTTTTAATTTCCTTTTTTATTGTCAGGTACCTTCGTTAATTAGTCGCGGCGCTCATTATTCTCCTTCTGCTTTCTGCGCTGGCTGGATTAAAGGGATTTAAATTTTAATTAATCTGGCCTCTGTTTTGCCACCGCTCGCGGAGTGTGACAATTTTAATTATTGCAGGCTTAACCGTACCTGCAGACTTGCATTATGCTCCCAAATTTGAATAAAGGTAATGACCTCTAATATTCATTAATTATAATCATCATTATTTTTAGGTACTTTTTGCACTGACCTGGCTTTCGTTCCGGTAAAATCAAGAGTCAAACTGTGTTTTTAATTTTTTTTTTTTTTAATTGAAGCAATATTAATTTTCATAAATTATGTTGGCATCAGAAAACGCAAAAATTATTTTTACAAATAGGGTTTTTTATTTTTATTTTAATTAGTGGTTTCAAAATCGTTTCTTTTGTAAAGCTTAAAATTTCTTTGAATGGTAAGTCGAAATGGATTTCATGAAATATTGAAACCAGGCAAACCTCGTTGCAAAGAAAAAATAAATCATTTTTTTCTTTGCAACGAGGTTCACCCTGTTTCTATTTTTTGTTGAAATTTCTTGAAATTTTTTAAGTCTTCAATAACATTTAATTGTGAATTCAAAATAAAAAAGAGATATTAAAAAAAATTTATTAGTAGTTTATGTATTTGGAAATTTATTCAGATTACAAGACCTTAGGGAATGACTCTATTTTGAAAATTCTTCTAAAAATTGCTAGAAATATTTAATTTTGCATTTAGTTAATGTTACTGTCCCTCTTACAATTAATTCTTAAGTACACGGGTTGGCCAGTTTGGCAACACAACAGGATTCATATCCAATTCATACTAAAAAATTAAAAAATTCACCTTAGGAAGAAAATTTGTACGCATGCACTTAACTCAAAGGTATCACAAAAACAGGGAGTTGTGCACAAAACCTCCCAGGGTCAATCAGTCTGAGCGACCGCAAATTTGAACTTCACGGATTTGTTCCTTTGGCGGCGTCGCCGTCCGTGGCGATCACCTGGATCGGCGCCGACTGTGGCCAGTTGACCAGGGTGTCTTGCGGATAGGGGGCGGGGGCACTGCTGAAGGCCAGGGTGGCCGGCGGACCGACCAGCATGCCGAACTGCGCTTGGAATAGAATGTTCTGGATGTGCCACTTGGCCAGAATGAGTTGCTGCGGCTGCCGGATTTGCCGCAGCTCAGACGCGACGCAATGTGCGTACTTGTCGATGGGGTCCAGGTTTCGGAGGGAGGGCAGGGACGACGGCCCTGAGCCGGTTGGTGGAGAGGAGTTTAGCGCGTTGAGCCCAAGGCTGCCTCCGGAGGTAGCTAACGAGTCGAGACTGCAATCGGGAATTTTGCGCTGCTTTTCCACGTCGAGACCGAGCCGAATGGTTGAAAAGCAGCAGCTCTCCGGCGAGCTGACTTCGCACTGATGGAAATTTGAGGAAGTGGTTCGGTTGCTTACCTCTTCTCCCAGGTTTTGGGCATCCATCTCGGCTGTCAAACTCTCAGTTCCAGAGACGACGTCGTTTTTCGGCGCCTAAAATTTAGATAAACAAATCAGTACGCTGATCAATCAAGATTAAACAAAATTACTACCCTACAAAGTAATCAGAGAATTTTACAATTCACTTGTACTTATAAAAGGTAATATGATTTCAATGTGAACTTCTTTTTGTCTCTTTTTAATTTTTTTTTAACATAGCAAGGGCTAACAAACCTCAACCCCTTTCTTCTGCTTTTGACTTCTAGGAATAGTGACGTCGCCGAGGAAACTAAGCTGAGATTTGCACCACAGCTTCCTCGGCTTGTCCGGTCCTCCATCCTTTCCCTTGGACGCTCTGATGTTTTCCGAGAACTGACATCTCAGATTGCCCCAGCGTTTTTTCACTTCGTCCACTGAAGTTCCTGGCCGAATCGATTCCATTTCGTCGGCAACTTCCTCGTAGAACGCCTGAATTGAGAAAAGATTGTAAAATCAAAGGAAATAAATCAAAAAGAAGTCAGACTTGTTTCTTGTTGACATTTCTGTAGTCGGGGTGACGAATGTCCCAAAGGCATTTCCGGACACGCACTTTTTCAATCAGCACCTCTTGGTGATACTTTTCCCACTTGACTGCTGCCATTTTCCACCTGATAAAAATAAGATATTAATAAATCATACATAATTTCAAACTAATTTTATTTTTCAGATCAATTTTTCTGAGAAAAGAACAATAATAATACATCATAATTGATCAATAAAATTGATCATAATGAAAACAAATATTCTCAGGTGGCAAAGCGCCGACTCTTAAAATACCCTTTTAGAAGAAGTTCATGACAGATTTGCGGGATCAGGTGGTGACAGCAGCCTTCAGATTCTTGTCAATTTATACTTTGACCGTATTTGGGCCTTCGTTGTTTTGGTTTTTAGACAGGGCTACTGCGAAAAACTGGACACAACCCAGAGCACAGGGCTTCATCAAATCGATCAAAATAAACTGAGTGCAGTGCTGCCAACGTGACTGAATCAAACTATAGTTCCTACAGAATGGAATAATTACTTTTTGCATAGATGCACATAATTCCACGGCAATAGCATTTTTTCTTCTTTATTTCATTCAATTCAATCTTTATTGCTTCTACGACGTATCGTGCCACTCAGCGTAACCTACAATATGGAGTTAAATAGATATAATATAATTATAATTCCTGCAGTATATAATATACAGTGTATTTTCAGTGTTTATTTTTGCTGAATTTTTGTTTTAATCTGAATGATTATTTTTCAAAGAAATTTTTGCCTGAAAAATGCGCTGTTAATTGGCGCTTCCTACTTAAAAAATAATAATTATTAAAAAAAAAATGAATTTTTATAAGACAAAAGATTTATTTTTTATTGCAAAAAAATCATTTTTTTTTTAAATATCAAATTTTTATTTATAAATTACTGCTATTCTACAGTTAAATATAAGTTACATGGTCACTGAAATGTACTACAAAGCCCCAAAATCGGCAGCAAATAGTGGCTCCACGTTTCAATTTCTGATAACTTTTTGCCCCGCATCGAAACCGGCAAGAAGCATGCAAGATTTTCACCCACGAGCTGCGCCGTTTGCATTTTGTCGTGGGAAAGTAGTTTTGCGTCGCCGTGCAAGTATCGCAAGAAGTTTGGCAAATTGCAGTCGCACGACACAGGATTGTGATCAAGCAAAATTCGCACGTTGCTTTTCAGATCGGCGTAATTTTTGCCATCCGACTCGAAGTCCTCCTGGCGCAGTTGCAAAGACGAAATTTTGTTGTAGCGCAAATCGACAGTGATATTGGTCGACATGTACTGCAAATCTTGAGACTCGATTTTAGTGATGCTGCAAAAAAATATTTTATTCTATATAGTTATAGTGTATAAAAAAAAACGAATTTTTACTTGTTGTGAGTTAAATCGAGGTGTCGTAAATTTTCTAATCTTCTGACGTCAAGCAGGATTTGAGAGATCAAATTATTTGAAAGTCCCAGGTAATGCAGGTTGACGCAGTCTGAAAAAGTAGCCATCCTTCCCCATTGTCCGCTGTGTTTCGTTGATCTTTGCGTGGGGCCAAACGGTCGGTAAAACACCCATCCAGATTGCTATTTTGAATAAGAATAAAATTAATTTTAAGTAAAAATAAATTATTTTAAATATTTTACTTTGAAAGTCAAGTTATTGTAGGACAAGTTGGCCCACTGAACGGTGGGTATGGCGGAAAAGTCAACGTTTGTCAATTGGTTGTGTGACAAATCTAAATGCGAGATTGAATTAAGGCCGGAGAGCAATGTCGTGTTGAAATCTGCCAAAGCGTTGTGCGAAAAATCAACGTGCATTAGTGTAGATCCAAGTCCCTTTAAATTGAATATGGTACAAAATTAAAATGTATAGTTTTATATTAATTTTGAAAATAAAATAATATCACCATGAAAAGAGAAGGCGCGAATTGGTAGATTTTATTATTGCTGAATGAAACGGATCTCAAATTAGAACCATCTGAGAAAAGTGGGCTCTGAAGCTCCAAAATTTGGTTTCCAGCAACGGATAAAACTTTCAGCTCAGTTAAATCTGAAAGTAAAATAAGAAAAGTTTTTAAATAATTCTTTTTTAAATTAAATTATTTTTACGGTGTAGGTTGGGTAGTGACGTGAGAAGGTTTTCACTCAAATCTAAAATTTCCAGTCTGTTCAGGGTGGAAAAAATATTGGGGTAGATGTGTTTGAGTGCGTTTTTGGCAAATGACAGGTGCCTCAAGGTAGTTGGTTTCCTTGATTTTGCCTTGTTCCCGGAATCCATATGATTGTAATGGTGGTCGCGTTTGTTGGACGCGATGTTTAACATTGTGTCCGGGTCGATGCTGGACAAGACATTGTCTGAAACGTCAAGGTGCTCCACGCCGTACAGCCCAAGGAGATCGTAATTTCCCAAAGAACGAATTTTATTTCCACTCAGGGACAGTTTTGTAACGCTGACCGAATCCTCAAACATAAAGGAGGGAATTCTCGTGATGGCGTTGTCGGACAAATCGAGTTCTCGCAACTGACTCAAATTAGCGAAAATGTCGTTGGGCAATTCGGAGATCAAGTTGTTGGAAAGGTTGATTTTCTCCAAATTTTCATTTTCCTCAAAAAGATCGCGCGGCAGTTCTTGGATGTTGTTGTGCGAAACGTCCAGAAATTTTAATTTTTTCAGGTCTTTGAAAACTCTGAGGGGAATACTCTGCAGAGCAGCGGCGCTTAGGTTCAAATGTCGCAGGAGGTGCAGACCTTCAAAAGTCGGCTCGGAAATTATCAGACGCGGAACTTTGTTGTTAGAAAGCGTGAATGATTGGAGCCGCGAGCTGGCGGATTTAAGAAAACCACCCGGCAGATTTGTGATGGAATTATTTGAAAGGTCGAGATATTCCAAAAAGTTCAAATTTTGGATTGAATTTTGTCCTGCGGCGTTTAAAGAGCAATTTTGAACGGAAAGTCTGGTCAAATTTTGAAGTTGGTTCACAATTTCCAGCCTTGGAAGGACATTTGAATCTAAATTGAGTTCTTTCAGAGAAATCAGTGGTTTTAAAATTGAATCGATCTCATTGCTATCAACCAAATAATCATTTCCGACCACTGCAACTTCAGACGAGTTAGTCACGAGTTTTATTCCTGGATGGTTTGAAGGTTCAAGGACCAAGAGACTGTTGCCCATAATTGAAAGGTCGGTTAATTTTTCCAGTCCATCAAAAATGTTTAGAGGTAATTTGCTTAGGGCATTTCGATCCAGGGACAAAGTTTTCAACTCTCGCAAACCGGCAAAAACGCTCACCGGCAATGTCCGCAAATTTGGGTTATCTTTGATTTTTAGGGTGGAAAGACGTTTGAGGTTTTCAAAAGTCCTCGCTTCCAATGTTTCCAAATGCAAGGAGCCGCGGATTGTCAATTGCGTCAGGGCGTTGGAAACGTGCTTGAACGCATTTCCACTGACCGATGCCAAACTCGGACACCATATGTGGAGGAATTTGAGATTTTTCAGGTTCTCGAAATTGCTCGAGTAAAGTCGATACTCGAAACCGGAGCGACAGTAAACGGAAAAGTCGGTGACGTGAAGGGCCGGCTTGCTGAGCAGGGGGTGTTCGCCGAAGGTGCAGTCGGTGAGGACGACTGTCTTGGTGGACGAGGAGGGAACCAGGGCCTCGGGAAGGGGCGCCGTTGACTCGCACTGAATCAGCATGTGCGAAGGGACGGTCTGCGAGACGTCAACCGTCAGGTAGGCGGTGAACTCGCCGGGACAGTGGATTTGCGAGTCGGAAAAGCAGATGCACTCGTGCCGGTAGTAGTACGAGTTGTTGTGGCACGTGTCGCGACTTATGGGCGCGAGGGTTGTATGCGGGGTGGAAGGAAAATCGAGGGCAGGGGTTGCCACGAAGAGGGTGGCTGCGAAGACGAACGGGATTATCATGATGAGATTGCCTCCTGGCTGGCAGTTGAGCGACGAAAAAGGGATGATTTGTCAGGCCATTCACTAAAAATATAAAAAAAAATCAAATTTTTTTTATATTATATATAATATAATATATTTTTTTTTTTCGGAGAAATCTTGATTTAAAAAAAAAAAATTATTTAAAGTAAAAATAATGTATTCTTTCGTGGTATATATTGGGGGCCTTTAAAATATCGGCGAGGCATTTAAATAAGAGTTGATTTTGATCTGTTATACCAAATTTGCAAACTCTTGTATGTTGAATAGGACTTTCCACAGCCTCTATAGTATGTTATTTTGTGCGACTCACCTTGATTGCAGTCTGCGCCGAGTGTTTTGTTTATGAACACAACAGGTGAGTCTCCGCCGCCGTCTGCCTACTTATTTTTTCCGGCGCACTGCGAGAGATGCTTCGCAACTACTGAGGCCGCAGCAACTCTCGCTGCTCCTCCGCAGCAGATGTGAGAAGCGCCCCTCTATTGTGAGGAAGATGTTGGCCTCCAGGCGATCTGCTGGTTGATATTATCCAGTCCACTACCTGCTGCTCTCCTGGTGGGGAAGCATAAAAAATAGAGAGAGAGAATACAGGTGGGCAATTCAAACACCTCTTGAGCGAGTCTGCAGTAGCCTCTGAAAAGAGCAATAAACTCGAAATTGTTGCGTCGCTCCTGCCCGTCTCTTCATTCAAATTGTTCGCTGGTCAATTGCCCCTTCGTGCTGCGAGCTTTTGTATTAATTTAGTTTAATTGGCCACAATGTTTAACCTTCACGTTTTAAATTTCAATTGAACGCAGTATAATGCCAAACAATTTTGCTACCTATAAAATTAAAAATATAAATTTCCCCTTCAGATCCAAATTCATTAATAAAATAAATGGCAATCACAATCTCCTTTACTTCCATAATTAAGTAATGTATATTTTTTTTAATTCTCTTTCCAGTGATATAAAGTGTTTGATATTAACATCCTAATAATTACAATATAAGTTGGTGAGGCCTGCAGATTGCAGAGTAGAACATTAGCGCGACGAAAGCAGTGCGCGCGCCAATTCTGATGGACGTGCCTCGGATGAATTCGTCATAAGAGGGAAGGCGCTTTTCCTCGCGCATGGTTTCTGTATTTCCCTGCCTGGAAAACAGAAATTTTCTGCAGATTCTTCCGCTAAACACGCCCATCAAAATGCTCTGGATACGCCCTTTGCCGATTCCTCAACGCCGCCTCCTCTTCCCAAAATTCCATCTGGGCTTTGCTGTTTTGAATACACTACGAACATTAATTAAAGCTGGAATATTAAAATAATTACTTCTTATTACACCATGCCGTTCATTAGCTCATTCATATTTACCGAAGCGAGTTTTCACATATTATTCCAATTTAATAAGATTTTACTTAATAAATCTTGCATCTCCAAAAACATGATAATCTTCTTCTTGAGAAATAAATTATTCAGATACTAGTATAACAATGATCAAAATAGACAACTACCCAATTAAATATCGATTTCAAAGTAAATGCAAGTTTTTGCTCTCGTAACTCAACAATATGTTGGTACCGTCCAAATAAAACAGAAAAATACAGTTTTTTTTAATGTTATAAAAATTAGGCTATATTGCATGTCCTTAACATAAAACTGCCATGGAGAAACTTTTAAATAAGTACTTTTGTATACATCATCGTGTATAATTATAATATAATGAACATAAAAGTTAAGCGTGTAGAGTTGCTTATTTTTTTTTTCTTGAAGAAAATTTGTGTTATGAAATAAAAATGTATACGCTATTTTTCTATTAACCGTTTTAAAGCAACTCTTTTTTTTTTAAAAAAAAGAAGCAATTTGATTTAACTCCAATTTAATATTGAAACCTTATCAATAAAGATTATCAAGTTCTAAAAAATGATAAGTTCAATGAATTATTGGACCATTAATATTTGTGTGGAGCGTCACGTTGAGAGAGAACGCGGAGCGAGCAATTTTTGATTGACAGTCGAGAGCCACCCTTAACCCCGCCTTTGTACATCTCGTCAAAAGACCATCATCATATACACTCGAGGTGACTTGTAGCCGTTAAATATTGCTACAGTGCCAACAAGTGTATGAAGTGCTCCTGAATTAATCTGTTCACCAACTTACTTTTGAGTATTTTTAATTTTATTCCGCGGCCGAAATAGCGTCGCACACCAATATATTGGAATATAAGATTTAGTGAAGGTGGAGGCAGAAAACATTCATAACCATGGTGAGTGACTTTTTCTCAGAGACTTTGTTAGTTTGTTATAACTAATTTTATTATTTAGAAGATTATTAATTTCAATCGGAAAAGTTCTCACACAAATTTCCAGCACAAATAAAATATAATGCGTATACACATTAGAATCAAAATTTCGTTGGAGCATTTAAATTTCCAAGTTAAAATTAAATGCCACATACAATTTATAAAAATTTCTATTATACTGATATTTGATTTGTAGCATTCATTTAATTTTAAATTAGTCATAAATATTGAATTACCAGGCCTCGACAGATAAAATCAGATAACTCAGCTGATTTGAAATAACACTTAATTCGAATAATAAAATAATAAAAGATGCTGTTTCCGTTCTCCTGTTGATAACAAAATCTGTATTTATCATTTGATTGCTAATTGTACGCCGAGTTAACCAAAGTGGTTTACCGAGGTTAAAATTGCGGTCAAACTCCGCTTAACACATATTTGACGCCTCTAATTGCAATTTATTGGCTGTTTGATGATAAAACGTAACAAGTTGGAGTAACATCGGCCATCTCCGACATAATTTTATTTTAAAAATTTGCTTCCTATATATTATTATTTCAATAGTGAAATAAAATGAAAGTATTTTAAGTGCACAAAGTCATAGACTGATTAAAAAACGACAAGGATTTGAGATTTTGTAATATGAATCATAAGCTCCAAATTCAATTTGATGATACTCAATATTGGAAATTTAAATAAATTTATGCATAATATCATGGAAATTTTGCTCTATTACAATTAAAAAGTTGCCGTATTTTTCAAGCCATTTGAAGTTCTGTTTTAAAAGATACTTAATTTAAGTCTTCCGAGTAAGTCTACAGATCATTTGATTTGTTTTTTACGGTCTTTTATTGTAATGTTGATAATTAATGACGAAAATATTACATATAAAGTGGATAGAAAATCGAAAGTCACATACTTAATTAATAAAAAAGCAAATTACAATCACTCGGAACGATTTCCCATTGATTATTTTTGTGAGAACTTAGTTATAAAATATCTTTCCTTAATAATCAGTCAGTCTTTCGAAAGCGTTGGCGAATTCATCTGCAAGCACGAGCAAAACCTATTAAGATTACGTGTGCGACAATCATCGCGCGCGCAAATCTTCAGAATCGTAAGGGGAACCGCAAGTTCCGGCGCAAAAGTGATTTATTTCCGGAACAGAATACACTTTCCCTTCTCTCACTCGCCGGCGTCAAGGTATTTGGCAGAACACTTCCAAGATCAACGATCAACTGCTGGGGAGAGATGCAAAATCTTGAGGGTGCTAAGCTAAAATCCCGAAATGTCTTGACGAAGAAATGATCAGCGTTGGGAAAAAGCGAGAATAAAGAATAATATTTTTGGTAGACTAAATAATAAACAAGCTAAGTGAAAGAGGCTAAAATATTGAGTAAAATTTACTGGCATTAAATTAATTTACGTTAACGTGGGGGGAACAAATGAGGAAAACAGTTATACAATCCTCCTTTATTCCCGAAAACTAAACTAAAAATTTACAATAATTACTCTGAAAAAATAACATCAAATATCGTTGTATGGAGCGCATTTTTAACACGGAAAATTTTGCTAACAGATATGCTGATTTTATAGTACGAGCACATTTTTGAAGTTTGTGAAATATCAAAAGCTAACAATCGTAGATAATCTTTTTCAGTTATACTTCTAATTGAGGAATCATTTTTCTGTTTAAAAATCTTTAAAATGATTCCAATATTTTTTTAATAAAATTAAAAACTGTCTTATTCTAATTTTTTCTATCTTTATAATAAAATCTACAATTAATTAACCAGCGTCATATGTCATACTCAAATAATAGCTAACAAATATAATATTTTTTTTTTGCCATACCACTATTTTTTCAGAACTCTCACTGGCAGGATGAGCAACGGATCGTCAACACCGCCGTTCTTTTGCAGAACAACTGCTTGGACAACAGCGTGCAAGCAAATCACAGATCAAATACTAACAGAAATAGGATCACGCCATTTACATCAGGTATATGTGCTTTTTGTTTTGCTCAATATTTCAAGTATCAAATATTGAATTTATTCTAACCATTGCATGCCTAAATAAGAAACTGTTTGAAAGTTTATAGAAATTCTTTTCTCTACCAAGAAGTATGCAAACATTTGCGAACGATGATTTTGCGCGTTATGAAAACAGTCACTTGGCAAACACAATTAATCTATGCAAAATGAGAAGCTTTCTCTCCCTCTCGTCATTAGCAATTAAGGGAGAAGTTTGGCTTCTAATATGGAAACCTTAAAAAAAGCAGGAATCCAAAGTTTATCCTGTTACTCTAATCTCGCAAATCTCTGGGTTGATATTCAATGAAACGCCGCAAGTTATTTTATCAGAGATCACAAACCCTCGGCTGTATGCGCGCATCGCTCGACTCCTTGTTAGCTTTGCACTTTTCCTTCCACGTTATTAATTTCAAACCCTGCACTCGACGATTCTCAAATCGAAAGCAAACTTCGTATGCACAGTGTAAATTTTCAACATAAAATTTTACGCATATTTTTCCAAATCGCAGTAAGCAAAACGCATTTAACGTAAAGTAATTTATGCTCGTTGAGCTCCCCTTTCGCTCGCAGTGCTAATGAAGGGCCGAACCAGAGTGGGCTAATTATTTATGCATGCTCTCCAATCACGCCCCTTTGGAAAAATCAAAATTGCTCTCCCCTCAAGCAAAACAGGCGTATCACAAGATTAACCTGCCGTTTGGCATTAATGCGGATCATATTCTCTTTTGGTCCGTCGGGAATCGGCGTATCAGGCAACGCAGGTACTTAAATGGCATCGCAAAAATGGAAATAAATGCTGTTTCCAATACCTTTCGACCGGCATCAAATTTAATCCTGTCTATACGATTCATTGTTTATTTGCCAATGCTCATCACCAAAATTAAACAGTTTTTTAACTCTACAGAACATCGTGTGATTCAGAAACTGAGCGATAAAGTCAATACTCTCTGAAATGCCAAAATTTATAATTTTAACTAGGTATCTAAATTATCAAATAAAATTTCTTTTATTTAAAACAAAAAATTTGTCCATTTAAACATACCAATTAATAAAGACAAATGGCGGAGTACCCAAACATGATAAACCATGATTTTCTTTGATTAAGCTTTCATAATTTAATATATGAAATGTATAATTAAAATATTTTTTTTAGTAATTTTACACGGTTAAAAATTGTAGCCTTATGATGGATGTAAGAATTAGTGTCGAGTTTAATGAGCGTTGTTGCTGTTAATTTGAGAAGGGCCCCTGAGCCTATAACGCGGCGTGCATTCCCAGTTCCATTAATTCTCGCATCGCCCTCGAAGAGAGGCGGTCGGGAATACCTGCGTAGATAATTCAGCAGCAGAGTGCGTCGGCCTGCGCCTGTGCTGTTAATTACCTATTAAGTGAAATAAAACATTAACGCAAAAAGGATAAAAGCTTACTTAAGTGGAAAGTCATTTTCATATTGCATGAGGCAAATGTAGAGCGGCGCGCGGAGAGAAGAGGCAGCGAAATGCACCGGCGAAAACATTTTAGCAGCAGCAGCTATTTGTTGATACCCTCCTTTGGGAGCTCGCGGCGGCTTTCGTTGTTGAAATCTCCCCGGAAAAATCCCTGCAGCACTTTGCGCTTGATAATTTAATACTACTGTATGTTTTCTTACTTCCGGACAAACAAAAGAGAGAACGCGCGCGAGCAGAATGGATGGATGCTGGATGAGTAGATGGATGGATGGGCTCTCTGTTTTAAGCGCGCGCCTGTTGACCTTTTCGGCCGTTTTATTTTCCGTATTCGCAGATCATGATGCGTTCTGAATATTTAAAGCTCCGCAACCCTTGCGCTTGCCTATCTCGCCCACTCTTTTTGCTCTCTGCTTTTCCCGCTATGGACGCCTCTCACATTTTTAAAATTTATTATCATACACAAAATCCATTAGCCATTTTTTAACTCACATATCTTGGAAGATATTTTACTCCAATAATTTTCAATTAAGACATTTATTGAAAAAAAATCTAAATTAATTTATGCAAATATGTGCTGTATATAATTTATGTTTATCAGTTAAGATTAAGACTAAAGAGGCGGTAATTAGCATTAAGAGGATTGTAATAATAAGATCTCGTCATTTTTGTCCTACATCATACATCTGCATGTTAGATACGAGTTATTAATATTTATATCCTATCTTTTAGAGTAGAATGGCACTGAACAATAAAATATAATGTTGCTCTCTTTTAATTATCATTATTGCCCCCAGAATAGGCTTTAGTGGAAGAATTATTTTTATCATCGGATATATATGACGTTCAACTGAAAGTCGATTTCATTATTATATTTAAAAATTAAATTAAATAATAAATAATATAACAATTGGGAAAATTATATTTTATCTTTATACATTAATTTAATTATGTAAAATTGATGTTGTAATACTTCCATAATATATAAAAATTCATTAAACGCAATATTAAAAAAATTGATTTTTTTTCAATCTCCAAATATTTCATATTTAATTAATTATATAAATAATTATCAATAACGTATTTAAAATGCGCTCTCCCACAATATAGCGTGTAGTTATATGGGGAGGTTTATCTCCCACGGTAAAATTCTAGTAAATATGTCGAGTATGAAATTGAAAACAAAAAAGGTTTGAAAAAAAATTATTAACATAAAATGAATGGGGGCGAAAGGCTAAATGTAAACACTGAAGATGCTCAGAATATTAAGAAAGAAAAATGGTTTAACAGAAATCTCTCTAAACTAACTCTTTTTGAATTATTTAATGACAATGACCAAGAATATGTAAAAAAAAAATTTTTTCTCAAGTATTTAAATTATTTTTTTAAATGCAGAATCTCTATATTCCTAATTTATATAATGATTCTCGATTTTCTGGTCAATTGCATCGCATAAAAAAATAGTACTGAACTGTGCACACAAAAATGCGGAAATTACATCATTATCATAAAAAGTATAATCACCAACAAACGATAAAATGTCACATAAAAATAAAAGATTTGCACATTTTATACATTTTTTTAGAACCCAAATTTTTAACCATTATCAAATAATTTAATTGCAAAATTATATTAGTCGCGTAAATACTTAATAATCTGGAACTATTATAGGTTTATATAAACACAATTATACAGCAATAATAAAATAAAATTGATTTTAATACCTCCAAGGGTTAACTAAAAATACCAAAATTCTGCACATTTTATGGAGATCAAAGAAGCAAAGGTAAACAACATTAAAGCAATCTTTTTATAAAAAGAAACCATTTCTCGGCAGATTATACTGCGAAGTGTAGCAAAGCTTGGGGTGGTTTTGCACGCGGCAATAAATGAATGACACATCAATCGCAACAGGGGAGTCTATCTAATGTAGAAGGAGCAGCACGCGGTGGGACGCCGCAACAGTCAGTCAGCCTTTGCGGCTCTTTTAACTCGTTCCACCCTCACAACAAGGAGAGCGAAAAGAGCGAGCGACAGCAGCTTTAAATACACACGCAGCAAAAATTGTGCAAGTGACGTTTTGAATTTTCCACCAGCAATATAATAATAAATATACCGAGACCGCACGCTGGCTTTCGCATGTAACATTTGAACTCTGGAAAAAGCATCACCAGAAAAAGACGAATATCTTTATTGAATGCACTGCATCTCATCCCTTCTTTTGAGATTATATTTTTCGCGCGTGTGCTCGACCGGAATACCGATCAGCACTCCACCAAATAATGTCTTGTTATTTCATGCAAATAAAACACGTACACCTCTGGCGAAAAGTGATCGCGGGCACAATTTTTCTATCATCAGCGGCTTTTCTTGTGCCGAAGCGAGAGACGCGCGCCGAGAAAAATTAAGAAGAGCAGAGATCGCGCGCGCGAGTCACGCTTGCGGCTGCTGATTGGCATATTGATGCCAAAGCGCCTGCTGTCTCTGTTGTTGAAGGGTAAATTGAAAAAACACGCGGCGCCGTCTTCTCTCTTCTTTCCCTTCAAAGAGTTTGCATAAAGAGCGGAAAATTTCATTCACTGCGCTCGGAAAACTTATTCATACACGCAAATTTACACAGAGCTGCCTGCATGTGCTCCTCTCTGCAAATGAAATTCGAATGCTTGCAATTTATCTTTTTGTGAGTGATCTGAACTTATGGAGGTCTTATTTGAATTCTACTCTATTACAATAATTGAATTAAAATTTGAAATTAAAGGATCCAATCAAAATAAAATACACTATGTCATGGTGTTGGATGCTACAGTATCCTAGCTTAGTATCATCTATGAATGAAACATTGCAGGTCAAATAACATAGTATGAACTTATATAATATTTTACTTTACAAAAGATTGTTCTTGTGCTGTAAATAATACAAGTTAAAAATATGAAACATACAAATAAAATAATGTGTCAAATAAAAAATCATCAATATATAGCAAAAAATTATTTAAATTCATTTATTTATTTATAAAATTTTGGTGTAGCGTATAAATTAAAAAATAATTTTTATTTTTATTATATATCTTTAATAAACTTGTTCTTATTAAGTTTTCTCATCCCATCTAGTGAATAAGTATTTTCTATCCCTTGCACCTCTCAATCGGGGGCATGCAGCTTTATAAAGTATGCAATCTTCTTCACTGCATACTTGCATGTTGCTTTTGCGGCCTGTCCAACTGTTCAGCAGGGTTGTATGAATATTTAAAACCCTTTTGTAATTGAAATAATTGATTTTTTGAAAATCTTATTTGACACATTAATTCGCAAATTTATTCTCTGTCTAATTGCAAATGTGAAAAGTTTGAACTAAATATTTGTGTATTAAAGCGCATGTTTTAAAAGGTGTACATTTTAGCAATGCTCTTTAATGACACTTAAATACCCCGATCATAAAATTAAAGTACGGAAACAAATAAAGGCAATGAGATGAAAATAATTATTATTATTATTGCTGCATGTGAAGACATTTAAATGACTTCCGTGACAATTATTTTTAAGAATTCCGGTCTCTGAGTTCATATAAACAATCAAGTATCAGTTTCTCACTCCTAAAAAAAAATGTCCTTTTTTGTGTGAACTGAAATAATTGTGGATTATGAGAAAAGTTTTTCTTGAAAAGATTGATCCAAATCCAAAAATTATTCTTTTTCCAAAAACTTTTCTTTTTAATTCTTTGAAGCAATAAAATTGTTGTACATTTCTTTTCCGCGATTAAACTTTCATCAGAGCAAAGGTGCGGTGTGTGCAAAGGCAACAGTTTACGCCGGCATTGTTCCAGACAGCAAAACAATGTTAAAAGCTTTGGACATAAATATTAGATTGGGCCTCTTACTGCTGTCAATTTGGATTATGCGTGGATTAGCCTGGCAGAGTATTACGGCGGCAGCGAGATGCTCCATTGTTGGCTGCGTGAATTCGCAGCTAGGGCAGTTGTGCACACCGGCAAAGCAGCTCTGTGCTATCACCAGCACCAGAGTGCAAACAGCGGCGAAATAAACGGGGAGAGAGCAAAAGCATCCCCCTTGGTATTCCCCGATGCAAGCGAGAGGAGTTTATGAATTGTAAATATTTAAAAGCTACAAATAGCTGTAGAGCATTTATGAACTGATGCAGTGTCAAATTTCATTATACTCGGAGCGGCAGTGCACTCACGCATTGGCCGAAAGCACTCTATATGCGCACAGCATAAATTTAAATGGAAATTTACAATACGTACTCGGAATCAACTAGATTGCAAAATACTGAAGTATTTATAATCTGAAGTTAGAAAATGTAAAACAAAGTACAAAAGAAAAAAGGAGTTTGTTTGAAATATTTTTTTTTTTAATGCAATAAAATTAAGCCTAATTTTATAAAATCCATTTGTTTTCATTAGTGAAAAAAAATTGAATTAAAAACGTAATTTTTTATGAGAAAGATGATAAAAATTTCTTTATATTCGTTGCTAGAAAATTAATGATACAATTGCATGAAAAAAATTTACGGTAAATTAATAAAATACTGTTCTTAACTCTATTTCTAGAACTAGACGTGCAGCAGAATTGGGACGCTCCACGAATATCCACGACAGTCCCACAATCAGTGCAGCCGAGGAAGGGATCTCTTCAGTTGTGGCAGTTCTTAGTGACGTTATTAGATGATCCTGGCAACCGGAGTTGCATTGCATGGACAGGCAGGGGGCTCGAGTTCAAGCTGATAGAGCCAGAAGAGGTACAAAATCTAATCAGCGCGCTCCCCAGTTTTTCAATGCCATCAGCGCACCCCCTATGAACACATTCACTCATATGCCTAAGAAATTTAGTTCCCTCTTGCCATGAAATGCGAATTGCCAAAAAAAGACGCCAATCATTTATATAAATTTTTCATTTCCCAGGTTGCTCGTCGGTGGGGTGTGCAGAAAAATCGGCCGGCCATGAACTACGACAAACTTAGCCGGTCACTCAGGTATTACTACGAGAAAGGGATCATGCAGAAGGTGGCCGGAGAGCGCTATGTGTACAAGTTTGTCTGCAGCCCGGACGCTCTTTTCACCATGGCCTACCCAGGAGAGGGCAAAAAAGGTGGTCATCAATCGTCTGCCCAACAATCGTCCGCCCTATACGGCCAGCAGCGCCAAATTCCTCGATACACCACCCTGGAAAACTACCCCAGCGACCTGACCACGGCGCAAGCCATTTCGTGCAACGAGCAGTACGAAATATTCAACCAGGTTTGCGGCAGCAACTTGGCCTTCCAGAACTTGGACTCGTATCACAGCCTGCAGCAGTCGGCTGGCCAGAAACTGTCTTACTACGATCTGGCGCCATCCACTTACGAGGAATCGAGACAAGACTCGAAGAGGAGAGCGCGTTTTTGCTGCAAGACAAGCACACCGGCCATGATGTTGATTGGGGAAAGTGCGGACGGAGGCAAAGAGATTGAAACCAAAGAGAGGAATTTGAAAGTGTGCGTTGCTGACTATTTGAGTTCCAATTATCCCAGCAGCTAGAATGACCACCAAAATTCACAGTGCAGAGAGCAATACGAACTTTATTCCCTTTAAGATTCAAATGTCTAATTCACTTCGGTGTGGCAACTCTGCAATAATGACGGAGGCACTTTGGAACAACCGAAACTTAAGTCATGTGAGAGTTGCTTTCGACGTATTTATTTATATCAATTTGCGCATCACATTGAATGTTGACAAAAAAAATTGGAAATTGTTACATTGTTGAGTTCAGTTGCAAAAGCTTGGCTCATTAATAAATAAACATAACTGTGGTATTCAATTATTCGTGTAAGTAAAAATAAAGAACTTGGTGGTGTGATAATTTTTGGTTTTATCACTTTAGTAAAGTGGTTGTTAAGTGCGAATCAAATTAAGCTGTTAAATTAGGAAAGAAAATTGTTGAGATAAAATTTGCCTCCTTACATGGGTCTTCCTCTGCCCCTGCCCATTCCTCCTCCCATCGGAGGACCACCTTCGCCGGCCTTGGGGTTCTTAATCGTTTCGTCGACGGAGAGGATAAGGCATGCAGCTTCACAAGCAGCAGTGAGGGCGTTGATTTTCATCACGCTTGGCTCCCAGACGCATTCCTCAAAGTTATCGGAAATGTCCTCCTTCATGATATCAACACCATACCATGTGTGACCTGTGGAAAATTAATAAATCATTTAGTTTCCTGCAAACTCGGAAAGGTTGAAATACATACCCAGAGCATGCTTTTGCCTCAATTTGTTGAGAATATTTGTTGCGTCAAAACCAGCATTGTCAGCCAGCTGCCGAGGAATGATTTCGAGAGCTTTGGCAACAGCACCAATCAAAAGCTGCTCCTTGCCGGCGATCATCCTGGACTCGTCGCGCAACATTTTGCTGAGCTCCATTTCAATAGCTCCACCACCTTGGATTAAAAATTAATAAGAAATTTGATCGAAAGTAATTTTGAATTGATAATTACCAGCAACAACTGCGTCATTTTTAAGCGTTCTCCTGACAATCATGATAGCGTCGTGGAGGGAACGTTCAGTTTCCTCCAGGAATTGTTCGGCACCTCCTCTCAAGATGAAAGTACAAGTTTGGGCATGAGCACATCCCTCAAACATGTTGAATCTTAATAATATAAAATTTAATTAATTTATTTTTTAAAAATTATTAAGATTTTCACCTTTCGCCTCCAATTTGCTTTTCAACAAAGGTTTGGCATGTGCCCAAAGCAGAATCATTGAGATCATGAACCGTGGACATGACAGCACCTCCACAAGCCTTCATGGTCCTCTTGAGGTCCTCGTCAGGCACTCTTCCGGCACAGAACATGTCTCTGTCCGCAAAATACTGGGTGGCGACATCACCAATGGGCAGTTTTGACAGCACAACCTGGGCCCCACTTTGAGTGATTTTGTCTAGTTTTTCGTACAAAATACTCCACTCAGCATCCACAATCTTTTGATACTCCTAAAATAAAAATGATTAGTCTTCTCCTAAAATATGATTAAATATAAACCAACCTCGACATTATCCAATCTGATTTCAGCATTGTCCCTCTCGGCTTTCAATTCCAACTCAATGTTTAACAGGGCAATTTTGGGATTTTTGTAAGTTTTTGGCTGCATCTCGAAACCGGCATAGGAAAAAGTCTTTTTGAACGCCACTCCTCTAACAAGCAGAGACTCCTGTATAAATAAGATTTTTCAGATTTAGTGAAAAAATGGTTGAGCGAAAAAAATTTAGTGGCAGATTTTAATATTTGAGATGAAAATGTTACCTCCAAAGCTCCACCCTGAACCTTCTTGATGCCGATCATATCGAGTGGCAAAAGTTCGTCGAGATACATAACGGCATCGACAACCAAAGTGCTGAAGAAACCCTTCTGCTGGCTCACAAGCTTCGAACTCAAAGCTGTTGCTGCGCATTTTATCAGCAGCTCCCTGGTGCTTTCAGGACTTCTCTTGTCGATCTGCAGAAATAATGATATCATCAGTTTTGCAAACATAAGTTTCGTTTCAAAATTTTACCTTGACAGCCAATTTGTTAATTTGGTCGACAGCCAGCTGTGTTGCTCTTCGAAGTGATTTAATGATAATTCTGGAGTGCACTCCTTCGTCGACAAAAGGCTTCAGCTGCTTCAAAATTTCGCCAGCAATGAGGACAACACTGGTAGTTCCGTCCCCGACTTCTGCGTCTTGTGACTTAGCAATGTCAACCAGGGTTTTTGCTGCAGGGTGGACAATGTCGAGCAGTTTCATGATGGTAGCGCCGTCGTTTGAGATTGTGGCCTTTCCGTTCTGGGTGACAATGAGCTTGTCCATGCCCCTGGGACCAAGGGTGGTCCGAACGGCTTCAACGACCACTTGACAGGCATTGATGTTGGAAACAAGCTGCTGCTTTCCTTGGGTGTTCTCGGTGCCCTCTTTGAGGAGGATGATTTGAGGTTGCTAAGAGAGGAAAGATTGTAATTAAATTTTATTTAAGTATATGGTCACAGTTCATCATTGTTAGAAATTATCTTCAGTAAGTAAAAATAAATCCGTGGAATCAAAATAAAACATTCTCGATCTTTCGAGACCCTGGGAATGGGCAGGGCTGATTGAAAGCCCAGAATTACTGCCGTATTTAATATTATGAAGCTATAAAAGTTTGCGAGAATAAATATTTAAGCCAAATTAAATAGAGTTTCTCACAAAATAATTCAAGATGAATGGAAAATTTAGAAGAAAAAGGAAAATTTTAAATCAGGTGTGCCGGTTTTTTAAGATTTTGACAAGGAAATTCGAAGTAAACATAGAATGGCATCGGCGATTTTCTGCATTGAATACAATCAATGAGTTAACTGGGCTTGAAAAATTAAAATTTTCAGCTAATAACACTGCGTGATTACTTTGATTTTAAGAGATTTCTCACCATTTCGATGGATTTTCTTCTTCACAAAATAAACACGGGCTCCGGAGAATGGCGAATTTTGGATCAACTATAAGAGGTGCCAACGGTGTGAAGTGAATCTTTTCATAAACGCAATGCTAACGTTAAGTAAAAAATACAGATTTACGTTGGCAGCAGTGGTGAATCCTAAAAAGGCATGTCGCCATTCGCTACAGCCAATCGCCATTGATTGAGTCCTCGGAGCCGCAAGCCGGCGTCTGTAAATAAGAACTTTTTGACCAATTTTTCGTCTCAGAACTTCGTAATTTGGCCCTAAACTTGCTGAGACTACACCATGGGCACCACCAAGGTGGTGCAAATCACCAACATCGCCCCACAGGCGACCAAAGATCAAATGCACTCGCTCTTTAATTATTTGGGCAAGATTGACGACATTCGCCTCTATCCAACAGTGTGAGTAGATTTTTTAAGCGTTTTTCAAATAAATATAAAAGCTTTAGATAAAAATTCAATGCATCTAAGGGTTGGAGTAACATTGCTTTCTTATTTCAGGCGAGACGTGGCCGTACCTGTTCAATCTCGGATTTGTTATGTCAAGTTTCACGATGCAGAGTGGGTTCCTGTAGCACAGCACCTTACAAACACAGTTTTCATCGATAGAGCCTTAGTTGTTACACCGTTTGAGACTAGTAAAACATTTTATAGATTTTTCAGATCCACATAGGAAAATTATTTTTGTTTTAGACGAAATTCCCGATGAACTGCACGCATTGCAGGTCTGCAACACCGGTACTTTTGGAGTTTCACAGCCGTCTCTTCCATCGCACGTTGTCAGCCAGGTATTATTTAAGTGGTATTTTTAATGGAGTAGCGTCTGATCAATCTGAATCACAGCTTGAGGGTTCCCACCCGAACCAGGTCATTGCCACCCACGACCCAAATTTGGTCGCTAATGGTCTGCCAAAATATCCACATTTGCCAGCAACCTTAGATTCTGGCAAAATTGCTGAGATTAGAAGAACCCTGTTGGCCATCAACCTCAATGCAACCGTAAGTTACATTGAAATGTTGTATAAAATAAATTTTTAAATTGGGAGCTTTTATGTCAGACGACTGAGGAACAGGTGATTGAATTTTTCTCCAAAGCTGGAGAGGTGAAATATGTCAGGTTCTGCAAGAGGCCTGGTGATGCAACTAAGTTCTGTCTGGTGGAATTTTCAGAACAACCATCCATCATCAATGCTCTCAAGTTGAATGGGTCAGAATTAAATGGAACCGCAATTAAGTGAGTAGTTTGTATTGATTCAAAATATCATTTATTAATCGGCTGGTCATTTAGAGTTTACCATTCTACACAGTCCATTGTGAAGCCCCAAGCAAAGACAAATGAAGCAGCCCAGAGGGAGATCGAGGAGGCCATGGGCCGTGTGAAGGAAGCCCAAAACCTAATATCAGCAGCCATGGATCCCGGTATATTAGAGGAATGGGGTATAGAGACTGATTATAACTAATATTATCTAGTATTTGGAATGCTAGGCAAAAGCCGCAGCAGACACAGCAGGTCTAGGTCTCGCTCCAGGTCTAGGAGCCGCAGATCAAGACGGCGCTCGAGGTCCCGTCGTCGTTCCCGTTCTAAGCGCCGGTCTCGATCTCGCAAGCGTTCTCGCTCCAGGCGCAGGTCAAAGTCACATTCTCGAAAGAGATCAAAGTCTCCAAAGACCAGGAAGAGATCTAAATCACGTTCAAGGAAACGCTCAAAGACTAAATCAAGGTCAGATAACTGAATTTTATACAGAATGGGAAAAGTAATGTCGGGGTAAATATTATTATCAGGTCTCGTTCTCGCACCAGAGATACAAAAAGTAGTAAGAGTAAGAGCTCTCACAAAAGTAAAAGCAAGAAAGACGTTCCAGAAATTAAAGAAGAGCCTGAAAAGAAGCCAGTAAGTCCTCTCAATCTAATTAAAAATAAATTTATATTTATAATTTTTCTTAGAGCAAAGATGACATCAAATCTGACTCGGAAGCAAGTGAAGTTATCAAGGCAGAGGATATTAAAAAAGAACCAAAAGAAGAAGAAGTTGAAATCAAGGAGAGGTCCAGTGAAAAAGAGAGTAAGTCTAAAAGAAAAAGGTCTCGCTCTCGTACGCCGAAGAAAAGGCGCAAGTCTCGTTCTACCTCTCGGCCACGACGATCTCGTTCTCGATCAAGACGGAGGAGCAGGTAATCGAAAAGGCATGCCATTCAAACGGGAATTTTAATTTCTGTGCTTAGGTCTCGCTCGAGACGTTCGACGTCTAGGGGCATCCGACACAAAGCTTCTCGTCACAAGTCGCGGTCTCCAAAACGCAGCCCCAAGGCCACCTCTTCTAGACACAAGAAATCCAAGAGAGACTCCCGCAGCCCTTCTATATTAAGGTTGGATGCCGCAAATTTGATTTTTTTTTTATCATAAATGACGAACAATTTTGCAGCAGGAGGGATTTGGAGAAAAAAGATCTGGCCAAGGTGCAGCGTAACTATGATGAAGAAGAGGCTGGATTTGATGCGGCTCCTCCTCCGCCCCAGCCTCCGACACCCCCAAAACCACCAACCCCTCCACCTCCTCCAAGTGACTCTGAGTCTGAGAAGGGCTCGAGCTCCGAATCGGAGAGAAATGGGAAAAAGAGAAGACGCTCTGGCTCTGAAAGTAGCAACTAAGATATTGCAAGTGCTTGTTTCAATGTCAACCTCCCTGCATCTTTTTTTGGAAAATGTGAGTAGCTTGAAAGCCAGAATTTTATTATTTTTGAGTGCACATTCAAGGTACTTTTTAATTGTATTAAATGCCGCAAAATCATGCATAATAACGCAGTTTTTTACTAGCATTTCCTTTAATCAAACCCCACTCAAATCAATTCAAATAAGATGTAGATAAATTAGGCTTTAATTTAGTGACTTGAGATAGTTACAGATCAATTACTATTGGCATGAGTGATATTGGAAGTTGAAATTGTCCAAGGCCACGCTTCCGTGTCTCGTATTTTTAACAAAATCAGATTCAAAAATTAGCTGTAAAAATAGGTAATACTAGTATCAATTTGTCAATTTAGTGAAAATATATCACCTTAAAGGGTTGATTGACATGTACGGAAACTTCAGCTGTGGTCCACTTGGCATAGCTATTATTTGACCATAGATCTTGGAGTTTGCCCTCTTCGAAATGCTGCTGCGTTACGGTTTTCAAATAAACTATCCTGACCTTAAAATACACATGATTGAATTTTCACCAATTTTCCTGACCGTTAATGATACCTTAAGTTTTGAGTTCACATTTTCAATGTAGTATGAAAATCTCAAGCATCCCAATGTTGATTCTTGAGATTTTTTTGGGTGGAAACCAATTGAATGCAACACGGCTGGAGATCCACTCCAGTTATCTACGTCTGTGTAGAGGAATCCTGTGAAATTTAATATCCGACAAAATCAGTCATGACGAGAAAAGCCCTTTCGAGTTAGGCAACCTGTCGACTGCACTCTTTGCCACCTCCAAATCGAGTCGCCGGCGTTGAGAAATCCACACACGTCCGTGTCAAAAGTGCATATTTCCGCTTGAGGAAATCCAACTAAATCTTGGTTGCCTAGTTTTTGATGGGAAATTTCATTAGGAATCAATCCAAGATCATTATTTTATCAACCGTTGCAGGAGTAGAGCCGGAGAAGCCGGCGCTTGTCGCTCTCACTCAGCTCAGTTTTTTTCCAGATGGGTCCGATTACAACTTCAGGATGTGTGGCCCTCAGGGTCTCAGACACTCCGTCCTGAGAAATCGCCATAAAATTGTTTTGTAAATCTTGTGATCGTAAAATCTAGACAATGGCTCTTTATTTTAATCAATTTCTTTACTCGGATCAAGTTGTTAATCATTTTTTTAAGGAAGTCAAGTTGTTCCCGTTTTGATTCCAATCTTATGTAAATTCGTGTTCAAAAGTGGACCGCGTTGGGAGCCCATTGAATCATTTACCTTGGAGAAAGCGTACTCGTCGTACATCATGACAGATCGGTAGTCAAACGTCTCGCCTAGAGTGTCAACCTGGTACGCATCTTGTTTGTAAAAGGCACTCGAATACCCCTAAACAAAGGAGAGACTCGGTTTGAGACTTTTATGACCCGGGAGGGACCACACTGATTGCACGTGGGACTCGGAGGAAAACAACAGGCGTGGGCAGCAATTTACTGCTTTGTGAGGGAGGCAGGATAAAAGAATGCGCACAAATATCATTCAAATGTGTAGCAGCGGTGGCTTTGCGGTCGAATTTGTATTTTCTCTTCTCGACGCGCCCGAGAGATGAAATAAAAGCTTGCAGTGTGGTCAGCGTTATTTTTTAATCGGTAGCTGCTTCAGCTGGGGTTTTGCGGCCGGCTGACGATTTTTATTTTTGCAACTCGCCTGCAAAATGTTGCTCCAATAGACGTGGATCCAGTCGTCACGATCGGGTCGATTCATTTCGTGCCAAAAGCCAATGGCGTGCAGCAGCTCGTGAAGGACTATGCCCTTGTACCAACAGTCTAACCCCAGGGACAACTCCTGCGACTCGGTGCCCGACCGACCCACTGGGGACCAACAGGCACTACTGCAATTTTAATTCAAATAAATGTAAATTTTCTTTATACGTTTGCTGATTTTCCATAACTCTTTTTTCACAAAATTTCATATCAACAAAAGTTGCTCTTTGTTATGTTCTTTATTTATTGCTATTGACGAGCAGTTTCTTTTATGACATTTGTGAGATAACAAAATTTTGGTAGCTTTTTTAAACTCTCTATAGTTAGCTTGTACATTTAACACAAATTTTTATCAGGATCTTCCATTTTTGGAATTTTGATTGAATTAAATTAAAGAGATTTTAAATCAATATTTTAAATTCTTGACAATAATTAAAAAGAATTTTAAAAAGTTTGAATGTTTTATATTTTGTGCTCTCTCTGGCACTATTTTTTTATTGATTTTTTTTAATCATTTATTTTTCTTAGATATTTCTCAACTATTTCATTTTAACAAAATTTGCTCTTTGTTATATTCCTTATTTATTGCTATTGACTCGCAGTTGCTATTATTTCACGCTTTTTTATACTATATTTATTGTTGAATTTGATTTGCAAGCGTTGCATACCTTATCGGGTTTACGAATATGTGAATTTTGCTTGGCTCACCGCTCCACTCTTTGAAACGGACACAACTGATCTGGTGGTAGTGCTCCATCGCTTCCATTAGAATTGCGCAACGCCAAGAATCAGGACAACCTTAATACAAATTAAATTTTAATATCTATGAAAAAGACAAAATTTTAAATTGATTTATAACAGATTATTCAATGACAAGATACTTTTTTAGTTGAAAATGACGATCTTTGCCCGCATCAAGTTACAATTTATTAAACGCCTACAAAAACACCAAAAAAATTAAGAACAAAATCTAATCAAAAAGTGAAAGCCGAGGCAAAAGCATCAATGTTCTGGAAAAGTTCTTTAGAAAAAACCTGAAATTTAAATTTATGCAGTTATTGTGAAATCGGTGAAATCAATAATTTTAAGAATAGATTTGGGCTATTTATTTTTCCTCTGGATCATTAATTTATTAATGTATTTTTATTCTCATCACGAGATGAATCAAAGAGCAGTGAAGCAGAAAAAACACTGACAGCCAGTCGATAATGAGATATGGCATAAATAATTGTCAAGGTGCGACAATGTATTTAATCGATCGAGCGGCTCGCACACGACTCCATTAAAAAATTCTACTTGAGCTTTTATAATATTGGCTCGGTGTGACAGCGGACGATCGATAATATGCAAATTGCGGTCGTCTCTCGAATTAAAATGAATTAATTTCGGTGTGCACAAGTGAATCACTCACCAACGCTGTCGTCGACTGTGTACGGAACGGCCGCCAGTGGCCACAGCAGGAGGTCATCTCTGATTGCGTTGCGGCCCTGCAAGAATTAATTCAATTTGAGAGCGCCCGCCTGATTTGCATCCGAGAAAAAATTGCCGGTGCAAAAAAATTAAATAAACCGAAAGGTGATTCATCGTCGGGGATCGAGTTTCGCTCAACGACAACCATTAATTTCGCCGATTTTATCGCCGCTTTTGCGTACAAGCGCGAGCACTCCATTGAGTCAGCAGTGCCAGAGGGCTGGCGCCTCGTGTTCTCCATCGCCGTTTTGTGCACGTTCGCCGAAAAGTGGCTGGAGCTAAACGCCGGCTGAGACGCTTGGCGCCGCGCTCGTTGACTGACAAACGAGCCTCGAGGGCATCCACTTTGTTTGCTTAGCGCCGTGTGTTTTTCTTTGGGTCAGTCTGATGATTTTTCGAAAGATTGGCGATTGAAAACACTAGCTGCGTGCGTGAAAAAGAAAGCAAATAAATTTCAGCTCTCGTTGAGTAAAACGACCGGCTTGTTTTTGAAATAGACGCACGCGGAATTCAAACACACGCAAGAAAATGTTTGAATTTTATAAATTCAAAAGAAAGTTGTGAATATATTAATTAAATTTAAAATGAGAGTCACCTATAATATAAGTTTAAAATATTTTTAAAAGTTGCTAAAAAGCATAATTTTGGATCCACTGTTGAATTTGCGACAAAATTCAGTGAACATTAAATTGTTGTTGGTCCGTGATGGGCTGTGAAGATTGAATTAATGATGAATTTGGTCGCGAGTTGGAAATAGAGACATCATGACTCATTTTACTCCTCAAAATTCATTGTTTCCAATTAATTAAGGCTGGAATTATTTTAGTTATTCGCATGATTCTAACATCCTTTATTTATTGATTTTTTAATTTTCAATTGATATTTTGAGGAAATATTATATATTTATATAATTAGATGAATTTAATAAAAATAATTTGTTTACATTACAATAATTAAAAGAATATAAATGTAAACAAAAGTTTATTAAATAATATTTTTAATTGTAAAGAGTAAATTTTATTACGATAAATATTTGCTTTTGGTAATAATAGTTGTGTTATAACATTATATTAAATACCACGGTTTCTTTTCATTGCGTTTTTCTCAGAATTGATTGATATAAAGCAGCACTTATATACAATCAAGAGAGATGAATCTAAAAACCATAACAAACATGCTTTTAGCTGCATTTAGCATCCTTAAAAGGTCCACTTCATAAAAAGCCATCCGATATTTTGCGCGTTCACGACTGACAGCAATTGATTTATTACGCGAACATATTCTTGTGCAATATTATGCAGTCTCAAATCAATTCAAAGAAATCTCGTCGTGACGATTTTTAATGCAAGATTCAAATCGCTTTTAACATTTGACCTTGCGAAATGACAGTAAAATATAAAAATTATTTTACAATAAGAAATAAAAGTTGAAGGGAAAAGCAGGCGTCAAAAGCAGTACATTTCATTTAATTAGCCGCGAAAAAAGTGAATAGGTAAGAGAATGTGTCATCGCGCCCAAAGGGTGTCTCTGCGCGCTGCAAAAATATACGCTTTTTACGCCCATATGCATAACACGATTTGCTCATTACTATGCGGAAAGTAAGTGAAGAAGTTTTTCGTGTCGAGAGGCGCGCCTTTTTGCATGTCGGCTACCATTGTTCGCGATGTGCGGCTTGCCCATTCTCCTGTAATATGGAGGCTGATTCAGCGCGTTTGTCTGCGCTCGGACGTTCTTTCGCCTCTTCTCCTTTCCCATATGGTCGAATTTCCTCGATCGGTCGCTTTGAACTCGGCTTAAAAGATTTGATTTTGCCGCCGCGCGGAATATTCAATACAATCCACCGGTTGCCGAGCAAAAAATTAAACGCTCTTATCTTTTTGTTCTCGGAATATCAATAATACGTCCTTGTGTTGGGAATGACTTGGAAAAGGCCGGACTGAAATTTATTCCCGCTGCTCTCGATTTTATCTGCGGCACGTTGTGTACAACTCAATCGAAAAGTAATTTGAGACGAAATGCGAAAATCCACTGTCAGGTCAACAAACCTGTAAAAAGTAATGCATTTAAAAAGTACCCGCCTGTTAGAATCATTCGCACTTATTGTTCTCGCAATTGAACTGGACATATCGAGAAGTAGAATAATAAAAACTATGTCATAAATAAGCAGGGCGAAATGGATTGTGCATGTATATACGTGGAAGTATTTGCATAAAACACGAGCATGCAAAAAAGGCGAAGTCAAAATGTATAAGAATTAAAGTCTCGAGCCTGTTTTTTGTCCACCCCCACACGACCCTGACGAGATTGCACTCAACTTTATCATTTAATTTCACGCTGAATTCGTTTTGATTTTGAAAATCACTCAAAATCTCTCTCGTTGGCGGGCCGACCCCACCGAGATTTATAAGCGGGGAAATAAAAATTTGATATATCAAGTCGGAGTGGCGTGCTCAATTGCTGATGTTCCCACCTGAAAGCGATCTTTCTCTCGCTCACATGATGTAACACAATAACCGCGCCTCTCTGTTGTTATTTATAAATTGTGGCTATAAATTTGTCTACTTTATTGATTTTAAATTGGAATTTCGGCTTTATGACACCTACTGTGGGCAGTTGAATGTCGCCCTCAAACAGACCGGCGTTGTAAAGGCCCTCGTCGGTTCCATCAATGTCTTCATCTGCGGAGGGTCTCGTCACGTCTACATTCCACTTCACGGAAGGAAGTGCTTCGCCATAGAATTTCATCCAACCTAAGAAAAAATCAATAAATTTTAGTTTTTCATTAGTGATTTTTTTTTTAGATGTTAGAATATTAAGATTTCTTCATTATCTGATTTTCATATCACATTTCCAGTGAGCCGCGATACTGCCAAAAATTGTTTCTAACTAGTTAAGGCGTAACTTGTTGTACTGCCAAAAGCAGCAGGAGTGTACAAACTACTGATAGCATCTTTTGGGCAATCTGCAATTTTGGAGTAATTTGACATTGTTTGATGTGTATCAAGGAGCGTAACACCCATTTCATTACATCAAATATTGCTCGCAAATAATATGCTAGAAAATTTGCTGAATGAATTTATCGCGGCGTCATTTGACGGCAGAAATATCATTCATTTTATTTAATATGCAGAGATGCTTTCAAAGGGAGTGGTTATTCTTTTACATATCCTGAGAGGAGAAATATATTTTCTGCTGCCTTAGTCATTATTTTTGTCAGTTTCAAACTTAATTAGAATTTACAGTAAATTGATTTTTTAGAATAATTATTTTGAAAATAGTGCGAAAAAAATTAGTACGAACTTTTGTGTTCAAGACCAATCACATTTTGATCTTGCAGGACGAAACCAGCAACAGGATGCACCGACGTTGAGAGAAAAATGTGCTGTACAGTGACAATAGAAATGATGACCGCCGATGTTATCGCCATGGTGACATTAGCACTTTGAGCGTCGCCGCCGTGTCGTGTTCAATATTTATGGCTATGCTTATCAATCGGCCCGTGAGACGCATGCAGATGACAAAAGCATGCATCAATGTGGACCAAAAAAATGAGATTCCTTGCGTGCATCAATGGGTGATAGTTATCGCGCAGCAGGTTAGTAGGACGCCGTTGAAAATCTAAATATTTAATCTCATTCCTAAGATTCGAAAAACACTTGAAAACTGGTTTATTGTGAATTTATAATTATCTTTGAAGAAAAATAGGAACTCTTGAGAAAATCATAATTGAGTCATAATCAGAATTTTCTAGAAGTGATCATTTCAAATTTTTTTCGGATCAAGGGAATTTTTTAATGTATTTTAGAAGAAGAAAAAAACGCAAGTATCCTAAAGTTTCCTCACGTCCGGCTGTAAAACAATTAACATATATTTCGCTAAAAAGAGGCACTTAAAATGAATGATCCATAAAACTTTACTCTTCCTTGATCAGCTGCTGGTCGCGGCGTGCCAAATCACAGACGTTTTCCTGGTCTTTTTTTGTATCTCTAATTGCCACGTTCGACTAAATTACATACTCATCTCGCAACGAAAACAAACAGACAGCTAATAGTTGCGTCCATCCATTAATAAGAGGGAGAAGAACCTAATTGGTCCTCTCATTTAATTACTGAAATTGCACGCAGCAGAAAAGCCGCCGCGCGCTTTTAATAAATTGAGGGGAAAATGAGCAAAAATTAAAAAGCCACACGAAAAATGAAGCGACTACTTTGTAGCTCTGGTCGTGGTTAATTCCGTTGAGGATACGCCGCAAGCCGATCGATTTTGCCTTTGAAAAAAAACCACATCGTGTGCAATTTGTTGAGGACAGACTGTGTAATTACTCTGCCAGAGAGTGCAATTGCAACAACCGGTTTTTATGATTTTTGCATGTTAAAATTCACGATATGACTTCACCAGCAGCAGCAACTTTTATTTGATGCCTTCACTCTTCAGAGTACGCAAAAAATGAAATTTATTAACTCACTCTCATGCCACTGCAATTTGCGTGATTAATTGCTCACATTAAATATTCAATCTTGAGAGCACTTGTTGCGAAACTCAAAGTTTCTTCCGAGTAAATGTTGTGCTTGCCCTTCATGCGGAACACAACAAAAATAAACTGTCGCAAATTCTTAAAGAGTAAGTGAGTCATTGGCGGAAAATTTTGCGCAGTAGCCCAAGAAAAATAGCATAATTTCTTTCAGGGTCAAGAAATTTGTTCAATATCCTCCTATATGACAATGAATGTAAGTCCACATATATATGTAAACTTAATTCTCGTCGTGGCCTTTTGAGAAGAAGGCGAAATAAATAAAGCTTTAATTAGATCCGGTGTTGGAATTTGCATGTAAACGCGCTGGCCAGAATATTCGGTTACGGCAGCAGTTTGGGTATAAATTTAAAAAAGGCAGCACAATGGAGAGAGAGACACGTATGCAGATAAAGAGAATGAAAGGCGACAAAAACACCCACATATCGAGTCGAGGAGGCGGCGTAGGCAAAGTAGCGGTGAGAAGTTAAAAAAGATTCGACGGCTCGGCCGCCGCCGCCAAGCAGAGATAAAAATTTATTGCCTCAAAAGAGTAGCCGTGGCTCCTCTTTTAAATAACAATCTAAATGAGTCACTCTCTATTCATCTTGTTTTAAATAAATTTGTTAATGGAATATAAATCAGCGCCGATTTATACAAACACAAAGGGAGAACACGCAGGAATAATAGAAAAAAGCGAGCTGGGTGCGAGTGGAAACAAATTGCAGCTGTGGATTAGGACTATAGAGTGCTGACAATGAGGTGTGTAATATTTTAGCGAAATAAAAGGATATTTGACAAATAATGGCCTAGTATAGAGATGTGGGCAGCGGGTTAAATTAATATAATATATATTAATGCGCATAATTGTGATGAAAATGAAAATTGTGTGACAAAGTTTTCTTCTAATTCAATTCAATAATCAAACAGTTTAAAAAAGTTGAGTTCTTGGTTTATTTTTGATTTGAGGATATTAAATATAAAAATTATTTTACTTGAACTCTTGAAAAATAACAAACAATTTTATTTCAAGTGAGGAACACTCCCCTGACATTCTTGATTTGGAAATAAAAGAATTCAAAAAGAACTACAGAGGTTACAGAGGTTGAATTGCAAAACAAAACAAAAAATATACATAAGGTAATAATAATAATTATTATTTTTTTTTTTTGCACAAAATTGAAGTTTAAAATGCAATAAAAGTAAATAAAAGTCATAACGCATATTTATAAGCTTATAAGATTTTAATCTTTATGTATCAAAATATATTGCTGTATGAATTGTCTTTAAATTTCAATCTGACAAAAATAAAGATGCAATTTGTCGAGAAACTTACTCATTTGCATGTGGTGATTGCAAGGAGGACTAGATAAGCAGCAGCTGTTCCAACCTTTATCGTAATGAGAGAAGCCTATCCCCAAATTCCAGCACCGTGATGTGTGACACACCAATTAACTGTTTGAGCAAAACTCTCTTTGCAACAACGTTTCGATGCTAATAGCGCAAAAGCATGCGATGCCGTTGCGAAATTAAATCCCGGCTCTCCGCAACGTTGGACGGACGGACCAAGAATAATAATATGAATATTTTAAGTACTTACAAGAGAGTGGTCCTGTTAATAGCCGATAATCCGTTGTGCTTGGTAATTAGAATCATTCAAGTTGCACCGCCAGGAGGTGTTTAAATAATTAAAACACTTTCAGCAGGCTCGGCACACGTTTTTTTATTTTTATATACACACTTTGATTAACGATGAAAATTCATTCTCGGTCTAGCTAGTTTGGCGAAAAGAAAAGAAAACGAGGATGGGCGCGCGAGAAACAAAGCTGCGCGAAGCTTGACAAAAATAATCGGATCGGCTTTAGTGGCGCGGCCCATTAAATATTAATTTATGAAAATGAGGCCTCCGCCTGCTCTTTGAGGTTTTAATTAAAAGGAGTAAATCAAGAGCCACGCAGCGCCCCTCGCTTTATTATTCAAATAACAAGTTACGCGAAACCAGCAATCATCTTCGCAATGAAAGTGAAATCTGCCGCACGGTGAGTTGAAAAAAATACGACGTGTGTGGATCTGAAAACCATCGTGCGGCGTATATTGATGACGATTTTTTTGTATATAAATATTTGTGTTTGGAGAGAGATTTATGTAAGGATATATTCAAATGAGCATGTCATAAATTTCTAATAGATGACATTAATCTTGTTGTTTCTTGACTTCAATTTCCGCTCGATGAGGTTCTGATCAAACAGCCATGGCTTGATGGCTTATTAGAAAAAGAGAAGCTATTTGTAACATTCCATTTCGAAAATTAAAAAAGGTTGGTTTTCACTATCAAGAGCAATAATTTATCACTACAGCTACCATTTTAATATAAAGATTTAATTATTTTATTCTTAATTTAAAATAATAAATTTTGTTTAACTAACCGTGACAGAAATTTCAGAAAAATAAAAATTTAGCTGTTAAGGATCTATCTATGACTCTATTTAAAAGCTTTAATGCACGATTTTGCAGAATTTCTAAATATCTTTACATTTTTAATAAAAAGGAATGCAAAAACTATTAAATAAAGTAAAGCCAGTTTTCACGGCTCTCTGTCGCCTAGCACAAAAAAATCTGAGACACAAAGAAAAATGATTCTGCCACCAAGCACGCGTTTGAAAATATTTCGCACCGAGAAAGAAACTCGTCCTCTCTGGCAGGTAAGAAGAAAAACGCTCTATCGAGAATTTAAGTAAGAGAACCTGAACATCCAAACTGAAGAAAGATTTCGTGGCTGATAAAAAGGCGATAAAAAACCAGTTGCTGCATAGGAAAACCGGTGCATAAATATTTTCACAAGTGGACAGCAGAAAATTTTTGAGCTGTCAATGAGGCGGGAGACTTTTGTCAGTCGAAAAGCTGGCCGGGCTAATTGAATTATGGATGCCTGTAAAAAGAGATTCGTGCATGACTCTCACTTTACGAGTGTCATTAGAGGAATTTATCCGTCCTATCAGTGTCGATCGGTGCCGCCGATCGACCAGAAAAATGCAAGTGTGCCGCCGAATTAAAGAGTTTTTAGATTCGGAGCTGTCCATTAAATTTCCACAGCTTATCATTCATCGGGTTTTACGGCTGCAACACCACCGGCTGACGTGCATTTGAATAATATTCTCTATAGACGTGCATGTACTCTCAGCTGAAGAGCTTTGATTGGGAAAGATAGGTTTGATGATAAAATTTATTTTTAGATATTTTTAATTACTTTTATTTATCATTAATCATAACCATTTACGATGAAAAATTGTTTTATTTAGACAAATCCATTCTAACAAACACAAGCCGCAAATATATGCAAAATGTGAGATCTGTTTTAGTTTTATGTGAATAAATATTAATATAAATTTTTAATGTAATTGATAATATCACATCAAATTAAAAAAATATATATAAATATAAAAAAATTCTATTTTATTCAAAGTTACTTTAAAAAATTTAATGTAATGTGATGTAAATATTAAAATAATTATACATAAAAATAACTTATTGTATTAAGGAAACTAAAAAATATTATTTTTTTAATTGTTTAAACACCATACTTTAAAAATTTAACGTTTTATTTAATCAATGTCTTCTGTTAATTGATTTATATATTATATCACATAATAAATTTCTCTTTACAAGGTAAATTTTAAGTTTAAATTATATCATATAATATCATTAAATTAAATTTATGTTGAGAGTTTGCAGGAAACCATTTTTCATGGAAACAATCATTACAAAAATTATTTTAATTTTGATCAATTTGAGGTGAACACAAATTAATAATCTACTAGAGGTCAGTATTTCTTACTAAAGAATCATACAAAATGGTTTTTTTATTTGAAGTTTTGCTTTACGCCCTTCACTTACCAGAAAATTTTATTTGTTATGAAATTGCTTCACAGTATGTGTACAGCCTTGGCGTGCGAAATTTGGACCATGCATTGATGGCAATCTAAACACCGCGCCGCAATTTACTCCGTGATTAAAAGCATGAATGAATGTACATGAACACACACATGCGTCACTACTTGCGTACGCCACGTGCTCATCGTCTTTCATCGCGCAAATACGCGTGCAATCCATTTTTTTTGCACCGCGCATACCCGGTGCAAGAGTCGTGGGCCGAGTTCTGAGAGTATAAATCAATGGACTCTCGATTTCCTTTCGCTTTAATTCACACCCGCTGCTAAAAGCCTGTTGAGAGAGAGGCGGCGATAATATGATTCTTGGCACCGGTAGCAATAACATTAATAAAGAGAGCAGCTCGGCCGTTGCATTCTTTCTTTCCGCCGCCACCGATACATCCTTTAGCCATACGCCTGCTTTTGGTCACCGAATTTGAGATCGCGGTGCCGGAAGGTGAAGTTTAAATGTTTATCGGCCTCTTAAAATAGCCCGCAACGGCTCTCTCGCGAGATGCATTTCTTTTTACCAATATTATATATCGGCGAGAGTGGTGCAAGAGTGTGTCACTGAACCAAAACCAAAGCATACACACATACCTCTTCAATAGGCACCACGTGGCCCTTGCTAAGTTAAACACAGCTTTGCACTTTTATGGACCCTCAAAAATTTTGAAATAAGATTTTATTGCAGGGGATTCAATATCCTTTTATTTCAATAAATAATTTTTAATTCAAAAACAAAAATTTGCCAACAGATCTGGAAGATTATTTTAGGATTTGAAATTTGAATTCAATTTCATGTGAGCTATAACAAGCTATAATTTTTATTAAGCAAATAATGCAAGATAAGAACTAAAGGAATAAATTATTAAAAAGCTATTTTTAGATATTTTTAGATTTAATAAAAAAAAGTGCTACTTTTAAAATATTCCTAAAACTCTATAAAACTCTTAATTTTCGTCAACATTATTACTATGTTTACAGGTTTCTTGAAAAATTCTAGAACTTGCGGTCGCATTTTAAAAATAAAAAATGTAGCTATACTGTACTTAAAAATCAAAATTGTTTTGGTTAAACAAAATCCTATCATTTTACAGTCTCTAAATTTAAAACCAAATACAGACGGCATGAGTTCGCCTTTGTAAATCGTTTCAAAAAGTCTACTCAGAATAAAAAATTAAGCTGGAATGATGGCCAGAAACTGGCTTCGCAGCGGCAAGCCCACAAAATCTGACTCACTCTTCACCATTAAATCGGACGCGTAATGCGCGTTTTGTATTCAGTACATAATCCTTTTGCCGTGCTTCACTGCTGCTATAAGTTCCAATTAAAATTTTGCAGCCTGCGACGCAGATTGACACTCGCAAATTCAGCGAGGCAAGCAAATGAGATGAATTTATTTCATATACACAATAAGCGCGAAAAGGAAATAAAGAGCAGAGTGGCCGGGCCTCGCCTTGTGTATTGTTAATTAAATCGCTTCTCACAATGGAAGTGCGCTTGAAAAATGTGAGAAAATAAATCTCAGGTGTGTTAGATAGAGCTGCGTGTCCGCCTACGCGCCAACATTTATCTTTCAATCTCCTTTACACTTCGCACTTCTCGCAGCCTAATCTGCGCGCTGATCTTCTTTCTTTTCCGTTCGCTCTTTTCTCGCGCGGCTGCTTGCGTAAGTGCACGTTAATACATCTCCATTAATTCGCGGCCGGGTGCGAGAGCCACGTCCGTCTTCGCGAATTATTTTCGGCGCTTGTTTTTTCCCTCGCCTATGCAATCACGAGAAGGACGCGTGTCGTAAAATTTTTACAATCGCGCGACGGCTGCATGCTGGGTAATGAATGTTTTGCAAAATAGTATTTTTGCCAGGCAGACGCGCTGCAATAATAGTAAAAGAGCGACAATAAACGCGCCGGAATCTCAGTCGGAAAATAAATAAATCTCGCGCGTATACACCTAAGCACATCTGCGGCATTTTATATCAAACACCACCAGGATCCGTGGGATGAATGAATCCGCGCTCGTTGCGCGCGCGTCACTCTCGCCACCGCATTTATTTGTCTTTGCCGCGCCGGAATTTTCCCTTTGGACCAGGTGGTTTCTGCATTTTATTGCGCTTAAGTCAGTCTTTAATTTGGCACTGCTCATTCCTCCGCCGCTCGACATGAATATTTGTTTTCCTAAGCGTTACATTCACATCCTCGTCAAGCACCAACGAGGCTATTTTCGGCCCAGGGGACAATTAACTCGATTGTACACAGAAATCTATTAGAAAACACTCGCATCTTTTTTCGTCTCTCAATGACAGAGTTTGTTTGAAATGTGCTCTTTTTTAAGGGACAGAAACTCGTTTAAAAGAAATTTATTTCAGAGTTTCCGTTCTGTTTGTTGAAAGTAGACTTGCAGAAAATTGGGTGATCAACTGAAACTTGCATATTTACGTGCTTTTTTAAAGTAAAAAGCACCAAATTATAAAATTGGCACCTTTTTTAATTCTACAATTTTTAGTGCTTTCATGAAGATTATTAATTAGTTTTAATTTGAGATATCGGTAATTATTTATGCAAAAAATGATTGGAAATTATTAATTCAGTTTTAGCTATATAAGCCATGTGAATATAATGTTGTTAAATAGCATATTAATAATATTTATTATTTATTCAATAAATTGTCTATTTATTTATTAATATTTATTTTAGTTTTATAAACTATAGCAATTTTTGTTTTATAAATAACAATTATTTACTAACACATTTTTTATTTTCTATGATGTTTTAGAGAAAACAATTAGACCAATCATAGTATTAAAACTTTAATTTTTTTTTATATATAATCATGTAACTTAACATAATAAAGTTAACTTAAGAGATCGTTGCTGATTATCAATTGTGGATTTGAATTTTTTTACATGAATCAAGAATAAATTATAATATAATAAGGCGCTTTAAATTTAATAAATTTAAAATTTAAGTAAGCATTTTGAAATCAATTTGCCTCTTACATTTCTCAGCTGACCTGAATAGTCCCAAGCTGTCCAGTTTTTATAAATCTATAAAATATATATCTGACACAAAATTTTATCAGATATCATTTATCAAACTTTGAAAACTGAATGATTAAATAATAAAATATCTAAAGATCATAAATTTTTCATCCTTGTATGTGCAAAGTAGAAGAATTTATCTCCGTGCGGCCAGTTTACCCGTCCTAAGAGTGGTGATCACGATAGAGATTACCGCAATTTCACCATGAGATCCAGAGGCAAATGTGCTCTAATTAGTAGCCGCCGCGGACGTGCAATAAAAGCGCGAGTTATGATTGCGATGCACGTTTATTTCACCTTCCTAATGTTGGCCCCATGCGCCTTACAAAGTCTTTAATGGAGGTGCAAATGAAAAAGTGTGTAAGCAAGCCGCGGATAAATAGCTAATCAAGATAAAAAAAGCCCTCCCGCAGGACCATTATAATTTTATTGCAGTTTTATTGCCGCGGCTGTTTTGCGTATATACATAGAGAATGAAAATTTCCGCGAACATTTTCGTTTTTTAATTTAAGAAGAGTTAAAAATAATGTCCGAGCACCGAGAGAATGAAACGGGAGAAAATTCATGAGGGGCAACCAAAGTATTTTTTATTTTCAGTTTCATGCAGCTGGAAGGCAACAAAGGAAGATAATCGTGTTGGGCGAAAAAGCAGCTTTTTGGCAGCGAACGCTTGCAGCAGAGCAGGCGAAAAGGTCGAGTCCTCTGAAGGTGGTGCTCGGCGAGCCGTCGGTCGACTGGTGCGGCGGCGGCGGTGGTGGGACGCTCCATTTGGAGGTTCGCTCGTGACGCGGCGCTGCTCAAGAGGAGCCCCCCGACACCGGCCGCAGGATTCACAAGTCGCTCATCCTCGTCGGCAGCAAAACCTCCCTGGATCACTTCTCGGCCCGCGCGGAAAAACGCGTAGCTGGATGGTGGCTGGACTTGCAGGGCCGCACTGAAGCCCCAAAATGACCCCTTCGACCAGGTAAGAAATTATTTTTTGGCAAAAAGATTTTTTTTTTTTTTAATTTTAAAATGAAACTTGATCGTTCATTGATCCGAAATGTGGCAAATGCCAGACAAAAAAATTATTAGTCGGGAGCAACAATAGAGAAATTTGACGCCAGCGACCACAACAAATGCTACTTCTCCAATCAATAGTTCATCAATTGTGGTCAGATTCATTACTTCTACTCGTCAAACAGTTTCCATTTTTGCAGACGGGCTGTCCATTAAGTTCATCAGAGGCGTTAAATAAAGCAGAAAATTTACAATCTTCATCGCTGAATAAAAGTAGAGATAACTTTTTTTAAATTCTCAATTGGTACTTTCAATATGCAAATCAGATTTTGAATTTGAATAAGTAGGCTTTCCGCGTTGAATACCATAATGGTCAACTTCTGCTGCAAATGAAGCCATCAATTAGATCTGTAAATCGATTGGTGAATCTTTTTCGGTCCCTTATTGGACTTGGCCGTGCAGACATTATGTGAAAATTAAGTGGTTCTCTTTTGCACTCGTTCCGAGAACAGCCACAGTCCTAACTAAAAGCTCTCACGTGGCCAGATGCGGTTTGTTCGGACTGGAGGTGTGGGACAACAACCTCGAACGGCAGCTACTTTGTATATGATTTTGCTCAAAATATACGTGCGTATAATCAGCTCCCGTTTGCAAAGTGCGCACCAGCGCGAGACAAGGAATCTCATTCGTTCCTCGAACAACCTGTCCGCCTACCGAAAGTCGGCGAGGAAAAGTGTCTTCGGCCCCAGAGAGACACTCTTGCGTTTATATAATAAATGTAATCCGCGCTTGTCTCTCGCTTGCTGCGTATTTTATTAAAAAATCGCCGCATTTCGCGTGTTTTTGATCGGGAAAGAAATCAAGAAGCATCACTGCAGGAGCAAGGTCGTCTTTTACAGCGCATAATTATACATGCGCACGGTGATACGTGAAAAGTCTCCTTTTTAACGGTAATCCACGTCGTAAAACAATAAAAGAGCCTCGAAAACAAACGCACACGCGAATATATACGTGTGACATCGCGGATTCCTCGACTTCCGTGAGTTGGTCTGCTTTTTCGAGATGCAATCAAAATTTCAGTTCTGAGAGATACAGCATGATAAAAAAGGCTGAAAATGGAGAATTTTTTTAAATCAAGAAGTTAAATTAATACCATTAATAATTTACTTCGGAAGAACAAAAATATTTTATTTAAAACATTTAAAAATTCTTTAAATATTAAATAAATAAATAATTTTATGAAAAATTTTAAAATTGTTAATCACATATTCCTTTAAAATCACAAACAGTGCGATAGCCTCACGCGGAGTTCAGACAGTTTTGTGCGACAGAGAAGATATGATAATTAATGTGCATGCAATCACCAAAAAGAACTTAGGTGGAAAAAAAATAATTGCCTAAATTCACAATTTTATAACTTTTTGACTTAGATTTCATAAATTACTCACAAGATTAATGAAAAATGAAATTATTTTGTTAAACAATATCTCACTTTTAGTACACTATTATTTTCCCCATTCTGAGAGATTTGTTACTAATAAAATTTTAATTCAAAATTTTGTATGAACAATCAGTGAAAATTTTATAATTTGACTATTATCTTTTTACATCAATCCAATATTTTTATCAGCTTAAATCATTATAAACTATAAAATGTTTACAATTAATTCACTAAAACTTATTTTAAAATTTTCAACGTTTGTAGCAAATATTATTACTGTGCCGTGCACCAATTTTCGGGAATTAGGTCAATAGTCTCTCGCGCAAGGAATGTTCTCCTCAAAATTGCGAGCAATAAACAACCGCCTTTACACACCCCCGGCCGGTGATGCTGAATTTTATTATTGTTACGCGGCGAACACATGCTTTGTATCAACAGTGACGCAATTATATATTTTGCCGGTGCTGGTTCCTGCCGTGCTAGAGAATTGTTATTTCAGCGCGCAGAGATGGGCCGAAGGAAGGCATCTTCGCTCTCCGTTGTAGTCTGAAGCGAGTGAGAGGGACAGATAGAAAGGCTACTGCCAAAGAGAAGCTCTTTTGCGGCCGCTCTCGCGCACTCAAATTTCCGTGTAATAATCAGATTTGACGGGTGAAAAAGGGCTTTTGCAGCGCGCCGCCTCGTAAATGATTATTCAAGAGGCAACTCGCATGACAGATTCTTCAGTGCACGCTGAGAAATTTTGTTTTATAGAGATATATGCATTCTGTATGCTAATAGGGAAATAAATGGAGGTCACAATTTGCCTAAAAATTTAAGTATTAAATCATTTATTTCATACTTTTTGAGCAATTATATTCCAATATTAATTGTGCAGTAAAACAAATTAATTTTTCATTTAAAATATGTCTATTGAAAATTGAAATTTAAAAAAACAAAACTCGTTAAATCTTTTTTCAATGGAAGTTTAAGTTTTTAATGATATCAATTTCTCATTGAATAATAAATGTAAAATAATTCAATTGAAAAAACATTTTTCTGTTGGAAAAAATTAACAAATGATTTTATAATTGATATTTTTAAATCTGGAAAAATCAGTTAAGAAAGAACTTATTTCTGCTGGGTTTCCAGCATTTTTCATATTTTATCTGTCCTCAATACTGGGCAAAACAATGAAAATATTTCAAAAATTCCTTGCTATTTTTTGAAAGGATTCTTGCAATATGTTTAACGGCCAAGCTGTGGCATGATTTCATCCTCTTTGTCGGAGCACAATAAATTTTCCAACTCCTCTGACCCGTGAAACAGAGAATCTGCGACCTTTCATGCGCGCCTTGTGGTCCGGCTGGATTATAGAGAGACAACGTAACAAGTCTCGACGTTGAGAAAATCATTCTATAGGAAATGATTTTTTGTTTCTAGACCACCGAATTAATTTCCATTTTAATTGAATAAATCTGGCGAATTTATTACGCAGACACCGCGAAACAACAATTATCTGCAGCCGAAATCAGAGGGGATAAATCAATTAAAATCCAGAAAAACTTGATACCCCGCTCGGGGAGAGAAAAGTCAAATTTTTTATGCATATGGCGGCCTGCGAATTATTTATGCGAGGCGGGGAGACGAGAAAATTTTATTTTCAGCCGGTTAGTGTAAATGGATCAAATTAAACACGGCAGAGCAACTTTTTGAGCGCGCGCGGCTTAATAGAGATGGGTGCGATAATAAAATAGGTAAATATAGAGAGAGAAACAAAATATTATTATTTAATTTACCTCGACGAGCAAGCGAGCGAGTCTCGTAAATATATCGCCAGAAATGTTTGTAAAGGAGGAGAGGCGCCTCGGCTCCTCAAGTTGTTATTTTTTGTTGTAATTCTCAAACGTCATCTTTTCTGCCTTTGGATTTTGTACCTCTGCTCTCTTCACGGAGCCTCATTATCCTCCTCTCTCTCTATTATGTCAATTAGCAATCGTAAAAGGCTTTTAAACCGCGCGTCGCGGTGTTTTTGATTGTTTGACAATACTTTTCTCTAATCACCTCTTTTATTTCAATGTGTCAGATTTATTAACTTGAGCTGAGTCATCTCGAAAACACCATTCACCTCCAACAGTAGTGCATTCCAGCAGGGTGATGGAATTTGAACTGCATTTTCGAATTAAAGAAAAATAATAAAATCAGTTAGTCAAAATTGAAGGTACAAATAAAAATATTGTGCATTGAAAAAAAACTGAGTTATATGAAAAAGAGACATTTTACAAAAACTCAATTTCTTTTTATTTGTTGTTACCTATGCAAATATAATTCATTTTTTTGTATTAAAATTCAATTAATATTTAATTTATTATATTGAAAGATTTTCTTTACTTATAGTTTTTATACATTTTATACAAATTTACGCTCTACTTGAAAATATATTTCCCTAATAATGATCCTATAAAAAAAATCTTATTTAATTATTTATGTATAATCCTTTACCATAAATTACTTTCAACTTTTTAAAAATTATTTTAATTAGACGATGTTCTTTCCACATTCTTTAATCATTGTTGAAATTTTTGACGTTCAGATGAAATATCCGTGTCTTGCCCAGGTATAAACAGCAAGATTTAAGTAATGCCCAAAGAAACACTCGATGTCTAGCATGTTTCTGGCTGTGCAAATAACACAAAACACATTCGTGAGTGTCTTAAATTAAGACATTCATTACCTCTAATTTCCACCACCCCTTGCACCGCAGCTTCTCTGGCTCGTTAAACTAAGCAAGAGAGCTTGATTTGCATTTTTGATGGTGCGGGGGCTCGGCGTTTTGCACTCATTACCGTCACTCCAGATCTCTATGAAATAACACTGCGTTCCGTCTGACTGGCTTGACTGACTGCAGGCGCTCGCTTGATCACCGCCGCCGTCAGAGATCCCTTGGGGATTTTTGGAAGGGCTCTCTCATGAAAGCGGCGCAGCGGGAGTTTCTTTTGATGAAATGTGAACTCAATCTTCCAAGTCACTTACCTTCTCGTTTTCGTGCAGTCTCTCAATGAGTTTGCTCTCCTAGCAAATATTAATAAGTTGCGAGCTCCACCCTGTTTCCCAACAATATGGCAAAAGCTAAACCGAAAATAATATTAAAGGTTCCATACTTTTAGTAATTAATGCTTTTTATCTTTGAATTTAAATACACACAATTTCTCGGCACTCTTAAGGGATGAAAGAAAGGTTCATCGAAAGTTCACTTTTTGTGCCAAAAGAATCTTCAGGAATTTCCTGAGTTGTAGCTTCATTTGATACAAATAAGCAAAGCAATTTGCACTTCTAGAGATTGTGATGAATTGAAAAAATGCTTTTGGTTCATTCATTGAACGCCCGTTTTATCCAATATAGAAGTGCAATATTTTTTTTATCTCAAATCATGAAAATTTGACTCCTTTCAAAAATTATTGAAGTTAAAAAATTAAATTAAATTTTAATTAAAATAATATAATAAAATTTCCTTTTTGTTATGTTATCGATATAATGCGTTTTAT